CTGTTTAATAGCTTTAAGTTATCAAGAAGAGGGTAGTTACAGTACCCAGCTATTGATCTTGGATTCTTTAAAAAATTGTTTTTTTTAAAAAGTTTCCCCTTTTGATTCAGTTGTTTCCAAATGGGGTTTTTCTGAATTTAAATCCCCACAGTAATCTAACCAGGGGATCCTAAAATTTTTACCAGTAGGGTAAAATCCCCGGCCCGTTTTTTACCCAAAGTCCGGGAATTATTTTCCCCAGTAGTTACATAACCATTTTTTGGTATTTTAAACCCCCCAGAAATTTACAAAAAACCAGGGTTTCCCTTTAAATTAAAATCCCAATGAAGGTTTAACCCATGTCCAAAAAAGTTAAAAACCAAAAAAAAGGGGTTTCCAAAGAGTGCTAAAAACCAGTAGAAACCTGGGACCATACAAGGGGTTTAAAAATTGCCCAAATAGGTCCGGGGGAAATTAAAATATCAGAAAGTTACCTTAAATAAAGGGTACCCTGAAATCTATCTGGTTAGAAACCTTTTACCCAGGGGGTTTCCTAAATTTTAAGTTTTAACCAATGGGGAAACCTTATTTATGTTCATAAATGTTTAAAAACCAAATTATTTAACTTCATAGTTTTTCCTAAAATTCTTACAAGTAGAAAAACCAACCGGGTTGATTTCTGAAAAAATTTTAAAAACCAAGTAGTAACAAAACCCGGTTTTCCTTTAAATTTACTTAATAAAAAACCTGACCCCTAACATAAACACTACAACATAGTTCCCCAAAATCAGTGTTCCTGAATTTACACAACAGTATTTTTAACCAATTTGCACACAAAAACAAAAATCACTGGATCCAATGTTTAATGTTTTGGGGAGTAACCAATACTCTCCCTGTTTTTTCCGAATGGTAAAGCTAAAAATTAACAGTAATAATTGTTTCTGTAATAAGTATAAAACATCATTTAGCCTTTAAAAAGAATAGCTTGATTATGACCCATATACTTAACTAGGATTGATGTCACATTTAAAATGCTGGGCAGCTTAACTTCTAGGTACTGTTTGTTTAACTTTATTGGTCACCTGTAATCAAGGTTGTTGAATTTTTCCAGCTACGTTAACACTTCAGTTTGATTAAATTTGATGATTTTTAATTAAACATACTTTTAGATTGTAAAACTGTTTGAATAATCAAAGGGAAGTAAACCCACAAAACATAAATATGATCTCTTTACATTTTAAATTATTTCCCTTTCCGTTGTTTGCTGTTTAGCCAAAAGGGGGAAACCAATATTTTTTGATTTTTTTGGTTGGCTTTTATATTACAATATTGGTCATATGGTGACTTTCTGTTCCCTTCCATGCAATATTTCAAACACAAATTGACAGTATAACCAACGGGTTTTTTCAAATCGTCATTTTCCTACTTGAAAAAAACCCAAAGTCTCGGGTCGAGACCCCAAACCTCCCATGGGTGGGGGGAAAAGGGGTTTTTAAAGTAAGGATGCCCCCCCCAAACCCCAACCAAGAAAGAAAACCCAAATTTGTGAGATTTTATTTTTATAAAGCAATTAATAATTGTTTAAAAGTATTTTTCCATAAACAAAATTTTTTAAAAATTAAAAAATTTAAAAGGACTAACAATATTAGGTTTACTTTTATTTCCATTTAAAATATTCCAATACACAAAAATTAAATTTTTTTAAAATAAACCCATCATTATTTAATACATGTCCGGGAAAATGTAAAAAAAAGGGGGAAATACGGGGGCCCCCAAAAAAATTATATGCTAAAAAATTTGGGAATTTTAAATTGGTTAAAATAAATTACTTATTCTTTTCAAAAGTTTATAAAAAAAAAGTTTTAAAAACATTCTTTTTTAAATTTTTCCCCAGACCACGAGTGTTGATAAATTTCGTAAAAAAATTTTCTGGGGCCCCGAAAGTTTTCACTTTACAAATTCAAGGTCGGGGCGGGCAGGCATTTAACGGTACCAAATGTAAAAAAAATTATATTTTTCATTTTTTGTTTAAAAGGCACTTTTGTTTTGGGTTTGGGGAAACAAATTTTCTTTAAAGAAAAACCTGTAATAAAACTGTACATTTCCTAATTTTTACATCAACAAAAGGCCTTTTATTCTTCAAGAATTTTGGAAATTTAGGTTTTTTACATGCTTCTTAGAAATGATAAATCAAAATTTTAAGGTACACAAGTAATTTCCTAAATACTTGTACTGGTTTAAACAAAGAATTTTATCTTATTAATATGTAAACAAGATACATGATAATTATGTTTAAATCTAATTACATGCATGTTTGTAACGCTGTTTGGCATTTTCAGTAATTGTTTTCATTTATAAAGTTTTAGTAAAGCGGCTACTTTCAATTTGAAAGAAGTCTCATTTTTTTCCCTCTTAAAAATAGAATTTTACTGGTGTTTGTAGTTATCCAATTCAACTATAAAATTGCTCCTTGTAATAATAAACTTTTTCAAAAATAATTTCATCAACATGACTATTTCAAGTCCACGTGTCAAATTAAAATTGAATATCAAATCTATGATGAAATACAATAGAGAATATTCGAGTTTTTAATTTTGATCCTTAAATTCCAGTGAACATGGTCACAGGTCCAGGCCATACATTGCATTTTTGTTTCAGGCACAAGACAACACCTGGGTAGAACCATCTGCCTTCCTTAAAGGCCCAATATGCCTTGGAAATGGTTTTATTTTTAATCCTCAAATGCCTTATGCCTTTTAGTTTCGGTGCTCTTTTATTGTTACCAAAAAGTTACTCATTGGTCAATTACCTAAACCATCTTTTGCTTCTGTTTGCTTTCCTGGCAATAGTAAATTAAAATAATTAGTAATTTGTTGGCAAGTCAAATACTACTTTGTTTCATTTTCTCTACTAAAGGCAAATAAGTTTCAAAAATTTCAAGTGCTACTTTCTTTAGAGTTTATAAGCCACTTACATGTTCCTTTAAACCATTAGTTAAATGATGTTAAAACTTGTGTTTGTTCGTCCTATTAGAAGAACAAATAAATTTATTTCGGAGGCCATTTAAATGTGCCCTTAATCCACCTGGATGTTTTTTTTTACTAACTCTATAATGGAATGGCCCTCTAGAGTAAGAATAAAACAATAACATGTATATTCATACTAAATATCAGGTAAATTGATGACAAGCTGGAACAGGTAAAATTGAAAGTTGAAGGCATAACTGGGGAGTAAGTGTGAGGGGTGGGGTTGTGGTGGTGGGTGGGCAGGTGCATGTGGGGGTGGGGTGTGTGATCAAGGGGATATTGTAAATAAATCATTAAAGTAATGTGTGAGGAAATTAAAAAATCTTATTAAAGTGTTGGAGTGACAATAATTGTATAAATAATTAACAGACAAATTTATCAAAAAAAATATGCACACTCAAACTGGGCATAAAAAAACAGAAGTTTAATATAAAGTCTATATGCACATAGCCTGGTTGTTAAACAATGAAAATATTCAATATGTCTGTATATTAAAAAGATTTCCCTGTATATCACTTAATAAAGTATAAAGTAAGTATATAAAATGCAATTATAATAACAACAAATAAACTTTAAAATTATATCAAAATTTTATCACAGAAGTTCAAGTAACCAATATGTAAAACTATATCTGAACCTACAATTTGCATTAAATTTCAAAATCTCAAATAGATATTAATGGTTTTGGAAAGATAGGCAGAAAAATAAATGCATAAACTTGAAAGACAAACAAAAATATGATGATGATGGAACTAAAGGATTTTCATTTTTAAACTTTTAGTCTTTAATTTTTAGGAAAAATTATTTCTTTTTGGGAAAAAAGTATTTCTTTTTAGGAAAAAAGTATTTCTTTTTGGTAAAAAAGTATTTCTTTCTAGGAAAAAGTATTTCTTTTCCTTTTGGGAAAAAGTATTTCTTTTTGGGGAAAAAGTGTTTCTTTTTAGGAAAAAGTATTTCTTTTTAGGAAAAAAGTATTTCTTTTTGGTTTTGGGGAAAATGTATTTGATTTCAATAAAAAGAAATATTTGTTGCATCTCCAATGATCTTTTTTTCATTCACTATCATCCTCAAAGCTGGAAAAAGGTTTTTTACTCGGTTGAAAATAATGGAAGAAGTGAAATCTATCCATAAACACCAAATTTGTTTTTCATCGAACACAATAAAATGTACATTGACAACGATGGATTCTATACCCCATTAGGTAACCCGTACCCTTGCCCGAGAAAAAATTCGCAAACTTACAATGTTTTTCATTTAGTTTTATAGTGATAGCAAAATGGCCAAATGTAGAAAGTTAAACTATATCAAATGATTCAATAAGAGGCCCTTGTATAAATGAAAAGTATAAACTATAATACAAAATTTTCTTTGTTTTTAATTGAGCTTTCAGTATTCATTATAGTTCAATTGTTCAAAAAGTTCTTGTACCTTATATTGATCACTAAAAGGTTTTGATTAAACAAGTACTCGAGTCACATGAGGGTGAATGGTTTGTTACAGGAGAAAGGTTCAAACGTCAAACACATATTCCCAGGGTCGAGAGGCAGACATACAATTTCAATGTCCCCATTGGCTACATCATATTGTCATGTAAGCTAAACAGCTAGCATCACTGTCACAAAATGGTGGGTGGGGAAACCAAGTTTGGAATTTTGAAACAACTTGTTACACTCAGTGTGTTTTATATTCTTTTTGAAACTTTCAGTCTTATACCAACAGGCACCTACTTTGTGAACATTTTTATTTCTGTACCAGAATAAACCAGGGTCCAAAGGTTATATAGAAATTTTTTAAGCTCAAACTCATATCTGTAGTATTTGATTGGTCAATAACATGCACATAATGGGCACTGACCAATGAAATCCTGCGATTTAAGACAGATCTCAGAAAAAGTTTTATTACCCTGAGGCCAGTGGGCCAAATACTTGCTAATTTCTCCACTCAGAAAAAAGTTCACAGTGACCCTACACTTGCCAATTTCTCCAATCAGAGAAAAAAATAAAACATTGAAAGAAATACTTACCTGGCTATACAGAATTTTGGACAGACAGCATTTCTGTCATCAATATGTATATCAGATGGCATAAGGAATGGTTGTTGCAACATTTTCTCATGATTGAAGGCTGATTTCACTTCATCGTCCAACTCCTCTTGTCTGAGAGCATGAAATTGTTGTTGCTCTTTGTCTAGAACCATATGATTGGCTATATTAAATCTTAGACTTACTTCACCTGAGGGAACGTTTGGGTCACCCTGTAAAAACAAGCAAATTCGTTGAATTTATATCCCCCGCCGAGTACTGGTTATTATTTACACAACAACTGAAGACATAAGGCTTTATTTATATATTAATCATGGCATAAACAGTAAAATTCTTTGAACTTGATAAATATTCAGGGCAATAACAGAGCCATAACTTTGTGTTAAAAAGTAAAATCTGGAAATGCCAATGAGATGTATGCATACTACATAACTAATCAAGGGCCATAAATCTGAGTTATAAGTATCTGACTGGAACAAGGCGACTATATGCACATCTCCTCTTAGTACCCCATAAAGTTTCCTTGAATTCCAGCCAGTAGTAGCAGAGAAGTAGTGAGGAAACAAATATTTTTCTATATGGATACTGCATAACTAATCAAGGGCCATAACTCTGAGTTAAAGTGTCTGACCGGTACAAGCCGAAGATATGCACATCTCCTCTTGGTATTGAAGGTTCCCATAAAGTTTCGTTGAATTCCAGCCAGTAGTTGCAGAGAAGTAGCGCGGAAACGATTTTTACTCCATATGCATACTGCATAACTAATCAAGGGCCATAACTCTGAGTTAAAGTGTCTGACTGGAACAAGCTGACGATATGCGCATCTCCTCTTGGTAATGAAGGTTCCAATAAAGTTTCGTTGAATTCCAGCCAGTAGTTGCAGAGAAGTAGTGCGGAAATGATTTTTACTCTATATGCATACTACATAACTAATCAAGGGCCATAACTCTGAGTTAAAGGGTCTGACCGAAACAAGCCGATGACATGCGCATCTCCTCTGGATATTGATGATTCCCATAAAGTTTCGTTGAATTCCAGCCAGTAGTTGCAGAGAACTACTCCGGAAACGATGTTTACTCCATATGCATATTGCATAACTAATCAAGGGCCATAACTCTTAGTTAAAGTGTCTGACCGGAACAAGCCGACGATATGCGCATCTCCTCTTGATATTTATGATTCCCATAAAGTTTCGTTGAATTCCAGCCAGTAGTTGCAGAGAACTACTCCGGAAATGATTTTTACTCTATATGCATACTACATAACTAATCAAGGGCCATAACTCTGAGTTAAAGGGTCGGACCGGAACAAGCCGACGATATGCGCATCTCCTCTTGATATTGATGATTCCCTTAAAGTTTCGTTGAATTCCAGCCAGTAGTTGCAGAGAACTACTCCAGAAACGAAATTCGGACGGACGGATGGACGGAAGGACAGACAACGCCAAAACTATATCCCCCTCCCGATTCCATCGGCGGGGGATAATAAACAGGATTCACCTGACTTTTTGGGGCTAGGTTTTTTCAATGTATAGGTCATTTGACAACATTTCAGCTTCTTTTTTTTTTTTGGTGAGAGATAAGGAATATTTGAATGACAAGTATTGAATTGACTGTTTAAGCTGGTTTTTCTGGTTCAAATATAGCATGTTTTTTAGCACAATTTCAGACATCATATAAAAAACATTTTATATTTCATAAGCTTCCAGGCTACATTATAGTTACAGAATGATTCACTTATTTTGTATTGTTAAAAAACAGCACATTTGAACAATGCCAAAGAAAAGTTATATAAACTATAGTAGTAAATAGATATTTCACTCTAAAATGAAAAACATCTGTTTGTTCCATATTTATGCCTAATTCTACACATTTGTGGTCATATCTAGGCAGTCAATCCACCTACTGGACTTTTTTGGATAACTAACCGGTAATAAACAGTTTTTCTGCAAGCAATGGACTACTTATCCAACATAATTTCTGAATTAGCCGTGAGAAATGACTATTAGACTTGATGTCCTAGATCAACTTTGATAGGGAAATTTTGCCTTACACATCATCTTTTTTAATATTGTGCAAGGCATACACATACCAAACACACAGATTGGTGTCCAGTTTGTTTTCGATAATAAAAATGCAAACTATTTTCATTTTAGCAGCCTCTAATCTTGTCAAGCATTTTCCTACCAATCCTGCTAGAGATTCAAACTTATTCACAACCAAATAAATTCATTAAGTAAATAATTACAAATAAATTTCAAGAGCGTAATTGATTTTGAAAATCATGCATTTAATGTACAACGAGTAGTGTAACTCGCAGGATAAGTAGAATTTAGCAGTCAATTGTGCATGACAGGTGGCTCTGAAATTCTTTTCCCTTCCTGCAAATTTCATAGAAAATATTATCACATACCCATGCCGATTTTGCCACTCCATAAAAATGGTACAGCATGACCATGCATATATTTTGACGTGATGTTATTTGTGTTATATAAACATAGCGTTAAGACACGCTAAATGTTAGGGTTATTTTTTAGGCGCGTCAATGAAAAATGATTCTTTTTCACTTCAAACGATCTTTTGGTATGTGATAAATAGAATATTTATTTGGTGTAAGTTTATTACAAAAATTATTGAATTTGTTGAATAAAAAAAATATTATGCTCGCCAGAGGCTTGCATTATATAATTTTATTCAACGAGTTCAATAAATTCAGTATTAATTACACTCATTCAATATCCTCTATTTAATTCACTCATTTCTCTAACTTACTGATATTTTTTGACCATGGCCACAAGTTCCACCAGAATCATAGTACAAATGGACAATTTCAGTGCCATGTCCACCATATGTGCCTTTAAACAACCCTGGCTGAATAGGAACCTTGCTGACAGGTTCAAACCTTGATTTGTCAATCCTTTCAAAAGACTGTTTGCTCCTGTAATATGAAAATATGTGTATGTGTTTTCTTCTATCATACCTACTGTATTCAATTTTTTTTTTTTATATTCAAAACTTTTTTATTAATAAATATTTTGAAATATAATTAAGCTACCAAAATGAAATCAGTATAGCATGCCAAAGTGTAATCAGCATAATCAACATGGTATGTTAAAATGTAATCAGCAAGATATGCCAAAATGTAATCAGCAAGATATGCCAAAATGTAATCAGCAAGATATGCCAAAATGTAATCAGCAAGATATGCCAAAATGTAATCAGCAAGATATGCCAAAATGTAATCAGCAAGATATGCCAAAATGTTATCAAATGTTTATCAGCATAGTACAGCGGGGTATGTCAAAATGTAATCAAAATGTTTATCATCATGGTATGCCAAAATGTAATCAGCAGGGTATGCTAAAATGTAATCAGCATAGTTGGCCAAACTATTATCAGCATAGTATGCCAAAATGTAATGAACACGGTATGCTAAAAAATTTTGTTTGTTTTAATTGGGTTTTACGTTACACAGACACAGCCTAGGAGATATGGTAACGTTCCAGCTTTACTGGTGGAGGAAGACCTCAGATGCCCTTCCATGCATTATTTCAGGCTCAAACGGGCACCTGTGAAGAATCACTGGTGTTCTGAAAGCTAGCTGGATAGCTTCCTCACATGAAAGAATCCAAAGTCCCTGACGGGATTTGAACCCACAGGGTGAGGGGCAAGTGGTTTAAAGTCAACAACCTTAACCACTCGGCCACAAACGCCCTTGCCAAAAAATGTAGTCAGTATGGTATGCCAAAATGTAATCAATAGGATATGCAAAAAACGGTAATCAGCAGGGTACATGTATGCTAACATGTAATACTATTGTATAATCATCATTAGCTTCCAATATAAGATACATAATAAGTATTGTGCATCCTTTTTATCATTCAATTTACTTACTGATTTTGTTTATAGGATTGCCATTTGTACATACACAACTCTCGATGTGTACCGCGTAACTCACATTCTTTAAGGAATAACAACTTCTCCTATACATAGAAAAACATGATCATTCTTAATTGCTCTCAAACCATGTAGAATAATTCTTAGTTAACATCTCTTTTGATAAGTTTTGAGTCATATGAAACCAAATAGGTCAGACAGCAATATTCCAGCTTTCCAGGTGGAGGTATTAATGCCCCTCCATGCAGTATCTCAAGCACAAGCAGATACCGTGGTAGAATCACAATCTGCCATTAGCTATGTGGTCCTAAATAATTTCTCCTGAGAGAATCCTACATTCCTGCGACTGGAACATACAGTGATGAGATGTAAGTGATTTAAAGTCTGTGACCTATAGAAACTACTCGACCATTAAGTTTTGATAATCAGTAATGTGAACAGTTTTAATGTGAACAGAAGACAGGCATTTGCCAGACATTCACATCTCTTAATGTTCTTCAACTAATAATAATACATGTACATATATTCTGATAAACAACAACAATATAAACAGTATACTTGCATCTTGAAATATCTTTTTTTTTCACTTATAACAATTCATTTAAAACTTTAAAATGACTTTTGAGACATAAAATTCATACATTGTTTATCGTTTCATGTTATTGTTATTTGATGTTGACAGGTAATTAGTGGCAATACTTATGGTGTCTCTGTATAACTGTAACATAAACTTGAAAGAAATTATGTTCTTAAAGGAACTCCACTGAGGTTTTTTGATATGACAAGGCTGAAAATAATTTTTCAAGATTCATGTTCCATAATATTTTGGTCTAGACCAATAACTTGTGTACAAGTTTTCGATCACTCACTCACTCAGTTTTTCTGGAATAATTTTCTAATGGTGAACAAGAGCGATCAGTGATCACACGTGTCGCCTCATGATGGCCAATTTCATGTTGGGACAATTTTGTGACAGATGGACAGACAGACGGACAGTGCACAACTAGATTTGGTACTGATCATTCCTGTAAAGTTTGGATAAAATTGCACCAGTAGTTTATGAGTAGTCCGGACAAGCTTTTGTGTATCTGGCAACATACAGAAAAAAACCACCTTTTTATCAAAGGGCCATAACTCGGCCAAAAATCATTCAACCAGAAAACCCGTGCAATATGCGCAAGGACTTGAGCTACAGATCAATCCTGTAAAGTTTCATTGAAATTGCATTAGTGGTATAAGAGAAGTAGTCCGGACAAACTTTAAAATAAAAAATTATTAAAGGGCCATAACTCTGACAAAAATCATTGAACCGGAAAATGCTGACAATATGACAACTAGACTTGGTACTGATCATTCCTGTAAAGTTTGGATGAAATTGCACCAGTAGTTTATGAGGAGTAGTCCGGACAAGTTTTGTGACGGACGGACAGACGGACGGACAGACAGACGACGAAATGATCCTTATATGTCGCCACTACTCCGTAGAGGCGACACAAAAATGACCAAGATTTGAAAAGCATGGTATCTTCATTCTAATTAGGCTAAGAATAGCAAAAGATACGACTTTCAATTTATTTCCGAGTATATTTCTTAATAATCGTTTGCATCTTTCTGTATTAAGTGCCACAGCTGATCTATATAAGAAATTCAAATTTTTATTTTTTTGAAGCTTTTAAACCTCAGTGGAGTTCCTTTAATGTTTATGTTTAAGATGAGTACTATGTATAGAACAAATTGTATTTTACAAACAAACCTTTTCCTTCTCTTCTTTAGACTTATTCCTTTCTTCTTGAAAAACACAAAACTTGTTTGAATCATAACTATCCTGCAACATATCATAACATCACCTTAGTACAGTAACGAATTAAGTCCTTCTAAATTTAATAGGAGTTAATCAGTTATTGCACTTAGGTGATGATAAACATGATTATAATAATACTTAGTCACATTATGTCATAATAATGTAAATAACATGCTTAAAGAAAATACACATTTTTTAAAATATTGTAAATCAAAGCAAACATGTGACATTTAATAACATGATTTATTAGATTCAATCTTACAGTTATAGATTTAAAAACTTTATTACATGTATTTTGACTAAAGTGCACTCCTTAAAAAATTGATCATGCAGACTATTGCGATAAAAGCTCAATGAATATACAACGGGCAGGGCAAGTGAATGCAATAAAAATTTAATTTCATTAGTTGTTACTCAACTAAATATGTTTTTACAATAATCAAGAGACATAAAAATTGCTGCATATATTTACAGGCAGTACATATATAATAATATTATTTGACTTTACAGTAATTATGTCAGTGATTTAGCCATAGCCAAAAACAAATTGCATGTTTTTGGAAAAATACAAATGTTGAAAACTATATTCATGTATAAAATAATTTCAGAGATTTTATTTATACACAAAATAAGTAATAGAAAGAGCACCGAAACACGAGGCTATCTGATTTGTACGAGGGGGGCGTAGCCCCCGAGTATTAATCAGATTGCCGAGTGTTTTGGTGTTCTTTCTCTTTTGTATCATAGTCAAACATAAAAGCACGTTCCCTGTTGTCACAATATGAAACCCCGGCAAAAATGAACCAATGAACGAACATCTGAATATGACATTTCTGTCGCTTTCCCTTTCTCTGCCGTCACAATATGTAAACCCCAGCAAAAATGAGCCAATCAATGGGCATGCTCTGGAGTGCGGGTAACTAATACCCGCACTCCAGTTAACGCACTGTGCATGTATATGTATACGATTTAACCCTGACACATTTTCAACAGAAAGGTCTCCAAACTATGATACAAGTAATAGAAAGAGCACCGAAACACGAGGCTATCTGATTTGTACGAGGGGGCGTAGCCCCCGAGTATTAATCAGATTGCCGAGTGTTTTGGTGTTCTTTCTCTTTTGTATCATAGTCAAACATAAAAGCACGTTCCCTGTTGTCACAATATGAAACCCCGGCAAAAATGAACCAATGAACGAACATCTGAATATGACATTTCTGTCGCTTTCCCTTTCTCTGCCGTCACAATATGTAAACCCCAGCAAAAATGAGCCAATCAATGGGCATGTTCTGGAGTGCGGGTAACTAATACCCGCACTCCAGTTAACGCACTGTGCATGTATATGTATGCGATTTAACCCTGACACATTTTCAACAGAAAGGTCTCCAAACTATGATACAATGATAATTAAAAACCTTACTTGTCCTGCAGGACCTTATTATCAAATCAAATACCTGAGATCTGAGTTTGAGCTAAGAAAAACTCTTTATAACCTTTGGCACAGGAATGATAGACATTGATGTCACTTACCTTGTCTAAATATATCTCACAAGGCTGCGGACATAAACAATCTGCTAACCACTCTTTTACCACTTTCCCGTTCTCATTCAGTGACACACAGAACAGATGTTTTTGTTTCAACTCTTCATGGACATCTTTTTGACTGAACAGTTCTTCTGCTAAAATATCTCCCTCTTTAGTATACTAAACAAAAAAAAAAAACAACAACTGAATTTGAAGATTGATTTTTAAGTAACATTTTTTTATCTTTACCGGGAGAAAAATTTAATGCAGCATCATCATGTATACAGTTAAAATTTCTAGATTTATTCAAAGGACAATAATCTATATTAAAAATACTTTGGACATGTATTATTTTTTTATGTTCTCATTGCAACAGTCATGAACTATATCTATAACAAAGAGATGGACCTAATTAATAAAACAAAATTGTGTTTGTTTCATTTTATGCCTTTTCCCCAACAGTATTTCAGTCATAAAGGCAGGTAGACTCCTAACCATCGTTCCTGGAGAGTTACACCAGTACTAGACTACCTTCCTCAGTGCTAAACTACCAAAACATCTCCCGGGGATCGAACCCACGCCAGAGAGGTAACTGGATTAGAAGTCATCGACTCTAACCCCTCGACCACAGAGGCGGTTAAAACAAAATTTTAAAATGTTTTAATTAAAAATATTTTCAAGACATAAAATTGCCACAGATCAGTTTCATTAAATAAAATTTGCTTTTAAATATTAACTAGGATATTTTGCAAATACATGTATACATATATGAATTGCTTCGTGAATATTAATCTTTTGTTTAAAATCTATTCAAACTATCACTTTAAAGCTCACCCGGCAATTTTCCAGGTTTGTTGGTGTAGGATGACAGAAGTTTGAATACTATATTTTTTTAGGAATGTGTAAGCACCTAACTAGAACCTTCACACTTCTTTTTTTTTGGTTGGGTTTAACATCGCACCAACATAGTAAAGGTGATATGGCGACCTCAGGTGCCACTATGTGCATTATTTCAGACATCAACGACACCTGAGTAGAACCACCGAAGTTCCATAACTAGAACTAGATATAGCTAGATAGTTTACTCAAATGAAAGAATTCAAAATCCCTGGTGAGATTCGAACCAACAGAGGTGCGGGGCAAGTAGTTTGAGGTCAACTTAAAAACTCCACTACTGATGCCCAACCATCAAACTAAAACATAGCTGGCCGGCAACCTTACACATTTTGTCATCTCAGTATGTAATTTTTTGTTCTTCAGTTGTATTTTTTTGTTATGTAAAAAGGCTGACGGCCTGGAGGATTTTGTTGTTAATAACTTTCAAACTTTTAGGTATCATACCCATATGTGTACAACTCCTCCATAACAAGTTGTGCTGTTTCTCCACAAACCAACTGTGAAACCATACTTATGTAGAACTAAAATAAACAACATATGAAATCTTTTCCATTATAAAAGGCTTATGAGACATTTTCATTTTTACATAAAAAGAAATTTTGAAAATTTAAGAAGAGAAATAACTCATTAAGAAATTTAAAGCTGAAGAAAAATGTTAAGTTTTTTGGACCCCTTATGCATAGAAACATTATCTTTAAAATAATGACCAGTTTGTGACATCTAAAATGTTACACACAAAAATTAATACAAAACTTTGAAACTAAATTCTGATATAATACTGCAATAGAAAGGCAAATTAACATGTTCTAATTAAAAAAATAATGTATAAATGCAGTGAGATGTTTCCTTTAAGGCTTTGTTCTTCCAAAATTGATTAAAGTTGATTAAGAAGATAAAAATTACTTTAATACTTTATCATACATTTGTATGTTATAATGTCTAAAACACTTTTCACTTTTTATTCAATTTTTTTATTGAATTTACTTCAAAGTATGAAAACACATTTCTATGGGCAAATATAGCTTAAACATTTTACAATAACTAAATCACATTTGATAAACTAAATTAAATGGGAAACTTTATTCAATATTAAATGGAGGAAAATAAGACTAAAGAGCAAAATCAACAAAAACTGTTACCTTTTCCATACACCTCTTTAAATGACTTTTTCAGATTACTGTCAACAGGGAGACCATATTCTGAAAAACAAAACTATGTTCATCATTTAATTTGTTTTCAAATTCAGTCAAAATATAAAACCATTTGATGTAAAAACATAGATGTTGGTTTCGTGTATTTTTCTTATGTACAGTAGCAACAAAAATTGAATAACCAATCTCACTATAGGTAAATAAGCATTTCTACACATAAATCAAGCATAAACTCTATGGCTGATTAAACTCAGTGACAATAAGGGAAGCTGACACCTATAATATTCTTTATAGAAGTAAATTTCTAACTGACCTGATAAATTAATACATGTATATCATAGTATTATATGTATTAACAATGCTATATATATATAAACTTTTAAAATTTGACACTAATGTAACTGAATTACATCAAAATTTCCCCTTCCTGAATCTTCCCAAAAGCTTATCACTGTAGAATATAAATATGCCTATACTTCTTTTTTTCAACAAAAGCCTGCTGGTCTTTGGCCATAATTCAAAATCTTCAATAAATAAAAATTTATATTTGAAATTTACAAAATTTAATGTTAAAAAATTCATGACATTGAGCTCATATATCAACAGAGGTCACAGAATCCCTTCAGACATCAAGCTATAAATGTTTTCAATATTTGATGTCAGTGCCTTCTCTAAGTATTGATGAAATTAGGGGAAACTACTTCCTGACTCAAAAAGATTGTATTGGTTACAACCAAACACATTTACTGTAACCTTGACCTTTGACAACCCAGTCCTTATACTAAGATAATTTTACAGAGTTTCAATGCTCTAGTTCAAATGGAATAGCTCTTTATGGAATTTATTGTCAGTTCACCTGAATATTTTTGTAACAGACTTTAGAGTTCAATTATATCAGACTAACTTCTCATAATCCTTAAGCACATATGTTATTAATGTATGTTGATTTTACATTTGTATATTAAAAAGCAAGAAACAAACTTTATTCTTTTGTTAACAAAACGGTAGAATATTGAAATTAGTAATTTTAATCTGCTTGTAAGAGATTTTTTTTTGGTTGATAAAAAGATAACATCATAATCTTTCAATCCATTTATAACTTTAACTGTTATACATGTATATCATACCAGATTTCAAGTTCACAATTATTTTTAATAAAAAAAACGCCAAATAGTCAAACAACTATCAACATTATTAACTGGTATTATTAACTAAAGATGCTAATATACTGTACATTATTATGTACTGTTTGTACATGGTATAAAAGAATTTGTGTTTGTATAATTATTATAAAATGTAATTAATTGTTGGCAATTAAAAAAAAAATCATAACTGCAAAGAAAGAAATTATGGTCCTAATAATAACTTTTATTGACATTCTTATCCATCTCTTCTCCCACCAGAGGCGTGCACATTGCAATAAAAAAGCACACAGCAGGTCAAGGTCAAGTCATCTCAAGTACCAGAGATGATTGGTGGACCTGTCCTGAGTAACTCTGGAGGGTAGCATTAACAAGTGTCCTTTTTGTTATCGTTTGTTGGAAAGCTGATGCCTTGGCAGCATTGTTGTCTCCTTCACCACCATAGAACAAAGAACAGGCTCCTGGAAGATTTGGCATGAAAAAGATGTCCCCGATGTGACTACAATAGTGGACCGGCAAGAATGGACATATGGTTATTCCGGCGCCGAGTATAAACAAACTTAAACACACTTTTATCTGTCTCATTAATACATGTACATGCATAAATCTCTGTTTAAATACAAAACTGAATAGAATGCTCAATGTCAAATTCTTATTATGTGATAACATAAAATATACCTAAACAGTAAATATGTCAGTGAGTCTACTAAGACAGATTCAAAATGGTAGTGTAAACATCAGCAGTCTTCAAAATCAGCACTTGCCCAATTGCCTTGGCCAGTAAAATTAAAATTTGGGCTACTAAAATATGCAATTCTGCTAGCCAAACTGGGCCTTGACCCCAATACAGCAACTAAGGCTTGAACCCATGATACCTAGGTAGAAAAGCAGACACCTTAACATAAAAAATATGTGCAAACAAGAATGTCGAACGACACATATACCCCCCTTTCTAGCCATTGACTCACATAATTGATAATTTTATTACATAAACTTGCCAAAAATGGGTACATGGAAGTGTTCAATTATGGAAAAATCAACGGGAACCATTTTGACATTTAAGGCCCATGTGACATTGACCTTTGACCTAATGACCCCTAAATCAATAGAGGTCATCTACTTCTTATGACCAATAACTAGGTGAAATATGAAGACTTTGTGATGAATACTTTTCAAGATAATCAGTGGAAACCCTTTTGACATTTAAGGCCCCTGTGACCTTGACCTTTGACCTAGTGACCCCAAAATCAATAGGGGTCATCTACTAGTGATGACCAATCACTATGTGAAATATGAAGACTTTGTGATACATACTTTTCAAGATAATCAGCGGAAACCATTTTGACATTTAAGGCCCCTGTGACCTTGACCTTTGACCTAGTGACCCCAAAATCAATAGGGGTCATCTACTAGTGATGACCAATCACTATGTGAAATATGAAGACTTTGTGATACATACTTTTCAAGATAATCAGCGGAAACCATTTTGACATTTAAAGCCCCTGTGACCTTGACCTTTGACCTAGTGACCCCAAAATCAATAGGGGTCATCTACTAGTAATGACCAATCACTATGTGAAATATGAAGACTTTGTGATACATACTTTTCAAGATAATCAGCGGAAACCATTTTGACATTTAAGGCCCCTGTGACCTTGACCTTTGACCTAGTGACCCAAAAATCAATAGGGGTCATCTACTAGTGATGACCAATCACTATGTGAAATATGAAGACTTTGTGATAAATACTTTTCAAGATAATCAGCGGAAACCATGTGGTCTACTGACGGACAGACCGACGGACCGACAGACAGACAGACCGACAGACAGACATTAGCAAAACAATATACCCCCTCTTCTTCGAAGGGGGGCATAATAAGTGTGTCCAAGAGCCCTATTTTAAAATTACAAAACTAATTCACTACATTTTTTACAAGTCATACCTAAAACACCCTAAACAGTTCAGGCTTTTTTCAGGTAGAGGAATTAGTTCGAAATAAAAGTCAATGCTGACCTCAATTTTTAAAATGTTGACACTAATTTTGCTATAAATAGTTGTCAACCTTTATGTTCAGGTTTAAAAGTAAGATAAATATTCAGTACAAAAAAAAACAACAACAAAAAAACCAAAAACAAATACAAACTACCTTTGCAATTGCGACACAAAATAATGTTGTTCCACTAGAAACTGCAGATACAATATCAATTTTTAATATTAAAATGGCCTTGGCTCACAATAAAAATCTTAGATTTCCACTGAGCATAAATAAATTAATTGATAATGCCCTGTAGTACTTATGCCCTGCATCCACTATAACATTATAACAAACTCTTGTATTAACCTCAAACTCAAAGCTGTGATGCAAAAACACTGATGAATTGAGTAAACACAATCCTAAAATAATTTTAAAAGGAGAAAACAGTTTTGAGCAAGATCACAGAACTATCTTGTGAATACACCAGGAATGTCAATGAATATTATATATACCATTTATTTTGTTTTTTATTCTCAAAATATTTAACAAAATAATATTTGCTTTAAGTATATTCATGATTTAGAAACATATTATGTTATCATAAATGTAACATATTTTCAATGATTGAAATAAAACAAAACTTTCAATGTTCTATGAACAGATATGTCAGAAGGCGCGCACTGTATGGCGGTTATTTGTTTATGGGCTATATAAGGAATTTAATTACATGTGAGGATTTAATCATGATTTTTCGTATGTGACAGTTTAATTATTAAAAGGTATTTATTTTTTAGTTTGTTCAAAAATAGGTCAAATTAATGTAACTACATGCTGTCTTAATTGTTTATTCGTTCTGCCTGATTTTCTGGCGGAATGTGCTATGGGTTTTTGAGCAATTTCAATATGATGTTGCTTTGCCCAGAAGCAAAAATATTTCAAAGCAATGTCATATTTATAGGACTATTTTTAATAGTTCTAAGGATCTGACATGCACTTATCCACTGCTTAAAAAAATGACACTGGCAGCATCGGCCTACAGTAGAGCTGTCATCGATATCGACAATATCGATGTATCGTTGATATTTTTTTATCGATCAATAATCGATACACATTTTAAAAAATCGATACTTTTGACTTATAAATTAAATGTCTAGAAATTATACAATTCACCCAAAATATATGCAGAAACAATTATTTATATCAAATGTGATGCTTTTGTTATATAGTGGAATTATTTCATAGCAATGGTGACAAATAATATTGTCTAGAAAAACTCATGCAGTGGACAAGACACTGTACAGAACATGTTTTTGACTGAAATCATTGAAACAGGTATGAAAATGAATGACAGACAAGTGAGTATAGGATATTATCGATATATCGGTGTATCGTTGATTTTAGTTACTTGATATCGATATATCGTTGATATGCTTTGCACTGAATCAATGACAGCTCTAGCCTACAGAATTCAAAGAAGGAAAAATGGGTATCCCCTAGTGTTTAAATAGCTGTGATATAGACTTGGATAATTTAATAGTGAGCTCGACGAGCTGGCCCGAAGGGCCTGCTCGCAAAGCGAGCTTTACGGTAACGCGAGTACCTGCTAAGTGATGGTTTTGAAAACTTTCGTCTCCGAAGTACCGAATTGGACACATCGCAACTTTTCGAATTACAAGATAACGATAAAAGCCGATGTACTCTGATTGAAAACGGAAGCGTAGACTGGTATCCTGCGCACTTACATAGGAACCATAATAGAAAGGGGAAACCAGAATAAACGGAAACAGTGTATAAAAACCGAATGACAATTTAAAACCGAAAATGTAAAATAAAAATAAACGATTATTTTAAACTATCTTACGGTAAAAGAAAATCGAGCTCGCTTTGAGGCTTTGGCTTGCCCGGCTATAGACTACACGTGTATATTTAAAAGAAAATTCAAACAAAAAACAATTAAAAAATATATAGAATTCTATACCTATCAATGAAATTTTCAGTGTCAGTTCTAGTTAGGCGCCGCCATTTACTATGTAACTCAATGATAAAAGGCGGTGTATTCCGATAACGGAACAAATCTCAACTTTTCGGATTAATAATAATCGTCGAGTGTTCCGAGTGAAAGCGGAAGTGGGTACATATAATACCGAATGACACCTTTAAAACGGAAAAATGAAAGGATTTTTTACTGACTTCCCCGTTCATAGGCTTTGCCTAATTTCATATTATATGCTTAATAAAATAATGTTATCCAAATTTAAAGAATGACCGGGTACTATTACAGTAAATGGTTACTTAACACTTACCTTTAGAACACCTGTCTTGCCATAATCTTTCAATGTTAGCGATTTCATTGAATAATGAACATGTCTTTGCTACGCGAGCAAGATCAGTTCCTTTTAAATACGCGAAACACACTGTTATCAATTCTGGTGGAAGATCCAAAATATTCATATTTGTAATTCTTACTTGTATGAAATTTTACGCTGCTCACCGTCCGGCTCGCGTGTATTCAGTGAAGCGTGAAAAAATGTATTGAAAATGAAAACAATTTCAGCAGTGCAATTGTTTTAAGATTTTATTGCTTTTTCTTTTGAAATTTAAGTAGATTTTCAAGGAATTGGAAAGAATTAATGTTGCATTAGATGAATTATATTTGTAAGAATGTTGTCGCCTTTTTGAACAGCTAAGGAGACAAATTTTTAAGTGTCCTGACCAACTTTTTCTCTTATTTCTTCTTGGCAACCATTTCTTATAAAAAACAATATCCCCGTACTGCCTCTTTCCGATCAGCTAACAGATTTTTCTATAATAACTGACAGTGAAATTATAAAAATAAAATTTCTCTTACAATTCTGCAAATATTATCATTTCAGCTAATAAATTCAACAACTTTTTAAAATTTTACCTGAATTATTATTATGAATCGAGGACAAATCATTACTGACCCATTTTCTTGTTCTTCAAAATTTCACAACCACTTTTCAATCAGTTAACAAAATATAAACTGTACCACATAAAAATTGTCATACAATGTTAAAATATAACCAGTTATGTATTTTGAAGAAATTTTGACAAACTCAACTTCAGATAAAATGGTAATAAACAATTTTAACTATTTATAAATGCCATTTTTTCAATCTTGATATCTATTTGCAGTAGTAAAGCTGTCACAATTGGGTATGGATGTACATCTGTCAATGTGCATAACAGAAAAAGCCTGTTTCTTGTGAATTTTTTAGGATCTTAGGGTCTATATGACCCATTCTAGTGACAGCTTTCTGAAAAGTTATCAGAGAGAATGTTTTTCCTTGGTTAAGTGACTGTTACTTTACTGACGTATTACCTTCCAATTAAGAATTGTATGGTAAAAATATGTTTCATATTAAAATTATTAGCTTTTGAAGTGCAGTTTACATTATGACTTAGTGATATTAAACAGTTTGTCAAACTAAATATCCATTTCTGCAGACCAAAACTGACAAAAAAACTGAGTCTTTAAATTCAATTATTTTTTCGAAAATATTGCGATTTGTAACTGGGTAAATAAAGGATTAGTGGAAAGCACACGATTTTACATATTTTGAACTAAAATACTGGTATTTCTTTTTTATTTGCCATAATTGACATTGCTGCTGATGAATGTAGTCAAGGTAAATGCAAGATGTGCTTACAATTTGGTTACATGACAAATAAGGTCAAAAATAAAGAATTTCTAGGGATGATTGAAAAGTGGTTGTGATTGAAAACTGGCAGTATGTGGATATATAAAATTTGGATAATTTTATGTGACAATGTGATAATACAGTATTTGCATGATTTAATTTCTTATAGGGATTACAACTAAAATAGTGTAAAGGGCAATAATTTATATATTGACCATGACTGAAGCTGCCCCGGCTAGGGGACCAGTGGTCCCTGTGCCTGCAACAATGCCAGAGTTGGCCTGGTATGAGTTTGTGTTAAATGAGAAACTTTTAGAGGATCATTTATCTCAGGAAAACCCAGGTAATATATGTTTAATTACAAATAATGTCTAATTCTGAAAATACAGTAATTTAGAAAATGCCCAATCAGGCTTATGACATAAAAAATCATATTTCTAGAAAAGTAATAAAGATATTTCTTGAAACTTTTTTTTGTTTATTGAGAATTATATTTGACATAAACAGAAATAACAACTTTTGGCTACTGTCACTATTGTGAGAATTATTTCCCCTTTTTCATGTTTTAATAACACATAATTTTTGAAGTCCTTAAAAAATATGTTAAATTTGCAAAGTGTAAAACAAAATAGGTTAAATAACTTCTTTTTGGTCTAATTCATTGCGCCAACATCTGTCAGCATACATTTCAGTCAGTTTTCAGAGAAAACTTCAAAGTATAAATAATGTTCAGTGTCAAAGAATTGTCAAACTATAAATTTATGCCAGAAACAGAATTTTTACTGGTGCAATAATCTAGAGCAAAATGAAGTTGATTGAGAATTTTACATAACAACATACAGTAAAAACCCGCATTACGACCACCCGTTTTCGAGACCAACTTGCTAATGAGAACGATTTTTTTAAGACCCGATTTTTTTCATTGGTCGCCAACATCGATTTTGAGACCACCCCGTTATTCCGTAATACGACCAGTAAATTCAGTCCTGTTTCGTAAATTATGTACATTTGGAAACCCATAAATACGACTGCGGGCACTTTCAAACCTTGATATTGATGTAATATTGTGTATTTTGCTGAAATCCTTTTGACACGTGATGTAAACAACAGTTGTCCTAGTTTTACGTTATTTAACAACATCCAATTTATGGCAGAGGTCATGGTTAGTTTGTATCAAACCCGGAAATAATCAATAATTGCCGATAATTTATTAATTTCACACCTTTAATGTCATAATTGTAGGATTAAAATAACAAAATATTGAACCGAAAACTTTCGGTAAGTTTTTTGGAGGTGTTGTCGCTATCATTATCTCTTTTGCTTCATACATGTGTAATTTATTAATTTTAAACAAACATAAATGTGATGTAATTATGTTTTTTTAAGTTGTTATCAGGGATGAAAACTGTGAAAATAGTTAAAGGTTAGTTGGTTGGTTTGTTTTGTAGTCAATTGGCGATTTTCATGATTCAGTCTTTAATTGAGTAAGTTGTGTTATTCTTTTAACTAGAATATAAAAATCAGTTTGTGTTTAAAGACATTCATAATACATTTTGTATCTTTAGAGAAGTTAAAAAATTTCATAAAGTCTATTTGAGCTGCACTTTGAAATAATGAATAGGAAACATAAAGAACAAAAAGGAAACTGACTTTAATATGTGAGACGTTTATGTGACACTTGTTATTTGGTCTGAGTCTTTGTCTGAGTCATACAGATATTGATATGTAGAGACTTGTTTTATGCATACTTTCATTACAAAATTACTGTTACATAATGCTTATTTTGATAATGTGCTTTTGTTTAGAAATGATTCAATATGATTCGTAACGTCAAATGAAAGTTTCTGTAATAATGTTTCTTAATGTTTAAAAATAAAAGAAAATAAAAGTGTATGCATTATGTCTTCTCATTTGAAATAGGTTAACCCAGAAATAAACAGTACAGTACATGTCATCTTTTAATGCATTGCCTGGTTTTCTGTTTGATCAAACTCATTAAAGAGACCAACCGCTATTAAGACCAGATTTGCAAAGTCCCTTCAGTGGTCTCATTAGCAAGTTTTTACTGTAATTATTATGAACTTCAAATATTTAAATTCCAGAAAAATGGAAAAGGGAAATAATTCTAAGAAAATAAAAGATAACCAAAATATTTTTATTTTGATTTGTATCATATATAAATGCTTAATAAACAAAACAAGTTGGAAAGAAACATATTAATTATTTTTCTAAAAATATAGTATTTTATGTCTTATGCCCGATCGGGCATTTTCACCAGCCTGTTAATATCTTTTTAACTGAATTATAAATTTATTATGATTTTGATCACAGGCACAAGTATTGGACCTGGGAAGAAAAAATATGACCAGATTGATAAAAAAAACCCCCTGTGTTCATCTTAAAAGTGTCAAAATCCAAAAAAAACTTGTAAATTATGACCCCCTTTAAAAATATCTTAACTTATAGTATATTTTTAAAGGGGGTCATATTTTACAAAATTTTTTTGGACACTTTTAAGATGAACACAGGTTTTTTTATCAATCTGGTCATATTTTTTCTTCCCAGGTCCAATACTCATGCCTGTGATTTTGATATACCATATATAGGTAATTATTTCAAATATCAGAAGATAAAGATGTCAATACAAGCATGCTAGTCGTTTCAATACAAAAACAAAACCCGTATTTTTCATACAAATATGTATGCTTTAAACTGTGTACAAGAACTGCTTATAACTCTTCATACATAATTTTGGTATCCTGCCCTTATAACTGAAAATATTCTCTACTGTGAATATATCAGGATTTCCAAGATTGTGTGAGGAGATGAATATTGTGTAACAATCAATTTTCATGGGTGATCATGATATGAAAACAATACATCACAATTACTTTGTACAGGAAATGTGCCAGTATACGTCTTTAATATACATTGTATTTTTTTTCACAAAATGGTGCTACAATAAGATTTTGAACTTGTAAGATCTTCAGTTCATTAAACATTTGAAAATGTAAAAATGCTTATTGTACTACCTAAGCATTTCCATATTGATCAATCAAACTAAGTAAGTATTTTGTTTTTGCCATTGATTTTTATATTATTTTTGATTTTTGTAAAGGATATATAAAAAACACAAATGTGAAATCTTCTGAAATCTGAATTGCTTGATTTTCTTTTAGAACCAGGTCCAATCCAGTTGATAATGCAATTTCTTCAAGAAGCTGAAAACCAGATAGCAGCTAATGGACCAAACGCTGATCAGCAGCAGCCTACTCAGGTGCCTCTTGGTACCTCCCCCATCCCTTTACAGTCCCCTGGCTCACCTGTCAGCAATGCCACATCACCACAGCCAATGGATATTGATCTAAGAGTTATAGATCCACCAGCTGTTGATCTCCAGCCAGAAAAACCAGGTTAATATTATAATTTGTTTGTTTCAATTCATTTAGCTTACTCTCACGTGGGTGCAAGTTTACAGGTGTTTAACTGAAATTCAGGTTTTTTTTTCTACTCTTGAAAGCTCTTTTTCTTTATAACCAATTAAAATATAAAAAAAATTCAGGGCTCTCAGTTTTTCTGTTTTTTTTTTTCTGATTCTGATATTTTTAACTTGCACCTATGCTTTCAAATTTTTGAGATTTACTTTGCAATTCTTTTTTAAATGTATTCTTGATTTGAATGATATATTGTTCCTACTTAAAAATAATTCAAATCAAATGGATTTATTAAGAATAAAGAACTTAAAGATATTGCTAAGTGTAGGAAGAGTTCTTATTTCAGTATCTATTTATAAACATTGATGGAGTCTAATTAACAAAACATTAAATATTTATGAAGAAAACAAAATACATGTACCTTTATTATTATAATTTAGTGAAGTTATGAATATTTTTTTCTTAACCCTTTCCCCCATGAGCATATTGTGAAAAATGGCCATTTTCACTGAAAAGCCTCCTCTTACAAGTTCAAACTGCTATGAAACTATGAAAAATGCTAAAAATCACTATTTTGCCTCGATTTTTTCCATCAAAATTTATTCAAAGTGCTGCAACTTCTCAAGGGATTGAGATAGAGTCAAAGGCTTTCAGCGTTGGTTACACATTACCTTATGATCGACCTGGGGTCATTTTAAGCCTCTCACAAGTCCAAAATTTTCTTGGCGATGAGGGGGAATCCGCCCCCCTTCAAACCCCCAAACAGAAGGGGGCACATCCCCTTCTAGCAACCCCCTGATGTATCTTTTGGATGGGGGGCGGCGCCGAAAAAGTGCTCACTTTTTTTAGCAACATTTCTCAAACGAAAACATGTGTTTGGGGCCCAAATAGGACATTTTTTCACTATTTCAGGCCTAAAAAGGGGGGGGGGGTCGAAAGTGCGTTGTTTCGCGTATATCTGAGGTAAAGGGTTAACAAAAAATGATGAAAAACTTTGGAATCACCAAAATCTAGTTCTTCCATGTTAACATGTGGTCTTTTACCTAATTTTGGTTGAAAAATTGTTGTTTTGTAACATTTATAATTTTTTTAGTTAACCCTTTCCCCATGAGCATATTGTGAAAAATGGCCATTTTCACTGAAAAGCCTCCTCTTACAAGTTCAAACTGCTATGAAACTATGAAAAATGCTTCAATACTAATCAAACTTGGCACAAATGTTGACTGGACCATTGCCTTTGTAACGACATGCTCAGTCTTAAATTTCCTGTTACCGTGGCAACGAGGGGACATCTCAAAATTGCCAAAAATCACTATTTTGCCTCAATTTTTTCCATCAAAATTTATTTCAAAGTGCTGCAACTTCTCAAGGGATTGAGATAGAGTCAAAGGCTTTTCAGCCTTGGTTACACGTTACCTTATGATCGACCTGGGGTCATTTTAAGCCTCTCACAAGTCCAAAATTTTTTTGGCGATGAGGGGGAATCCGCCCCCCCCTTCAAACGCCCCCCCTGGCAACCCCCTGATGTATCTTTTGGATGGGGGGCAGCGCCGAAAAAGTGCTCACTTTTTTAGCAACATTTCTCAAACGAAAACATGTGTTTGGGGCCCAAATAGGACATTTTTTCACTATTTCAGGCCTAAAAAAAAAGGGGGGGGGCGAAAGTGCGTTGTTTCGCGTATATATGAGGTATAGGGTTAAAGCATCTTTTGTCAGTATCAAGCAGAAAACTTTATGTTACTTATAATCTGGCAAACATTTTCATTGATTGGCTGTTACATCATATTTCACCTACATGTACTTTCTTGCATCTTTATTGTAATTAACTTCAGTGGCTTTTTATTTCAAATTGTGTGTTATCAAATCCTGCTTTCAATTTCAATTTGCAGCACTGCCAGTTGTCAAATTTAAGCACGTAAACCTTAAGATATACATGTATGTATCAAGATTTAGAAGACAACAGTTAGAATTGGGTTAATTTCAAATTAATGAATGATCACAACATTCACTTTATTGATTAATATTAAATTGTAAAATGCACATATCTGTCTTGTACACTTATAGTAAATTTTGATATGCATTGCAGAATGTTTGCAATTATATAAAATTATACACAGCTTTGTTAAGAGTGGAGGCGTGGCCGAGTGGTTAACACGTCAGACTAGTAATCTAAGGATTGCTGACCGCATGGCTTCAAACCCTGTCAGGTGCAAGCTGTTGTTTCCTTGTGCAAAAACTTAACATTCTTTGCTTAGTACTGGTTGGTTCCAGGAACAGATTTGAGAGTGTTTCAATTAGCTTATAGCTTCCAACACAATCAAACTAAAATAAATTTGTATAAACTAACTTTGTTAAGTTAAAAGAAAATCTTGTTTTACAAGCACCTGAAGTCTGTTGACATGTTAAAAGTTTGATGATCATGTTAATCAATATTCACTTCTACCAATGAATCAATTAGTCATATCTATTTTATCAATATTCCCTTCTATATCATCAATCAATTAGTCATTTCTGTTTTATCATAAATTACATGTCGATTACTGCTATGATAAGATTTTCCATTAAATCAAAATATTGTGAAACAAGTAGTTTTGGTATATATGTTATTAATGATAATGAATTGTTTGGTATGCATAGAGATATACATGTATCAAACTGGCTTAGTAGGCTTTTTACAGTTTGCTGTTAATTTTAGCACTTTCTTAACCCTTAATTTGTGTAATGAATTTGTCCTGCTTTGCAATTGGAACAGTCCATTTGATAATTGTGGGATTTTAATATCAAAATACAAAGATTGAGCTACAGCAGCACGGAGGTGCAGGCTGGTCTGACTCAACAGTGGTGGTAAAGAGTAAAGATTTTAGGTTTCAGCAAGGTAAGGGTTGAATCCCTGAAATAAAGTTAGTAAAGGCACTGTTTCACAGTTGGATAATAGCAGATCGGTGTTGTATTTTTTCTCTCAACAAAGTTGAATACGTGTTAATGCTATTTTGATATACTAAAATTTCTTCTCATTTTTAAGTTTTGTGTAAATAATATGGTATCTAGTTAAAGATTTTTCACAACCACAAAAAAGAAAAACTTTGACATTTATAATACTTTTCTAAACACGAACAATATATTAAGATGGTATTTTGAAAGAAGGTTCCTATTTAAGCAGTACACTTTAAACAGAAAAAGGGGTAACAGAAATGTAAACAAAATGTTAAAACGTTCAAACATGATAATATTTTCCACCATTTTTACAAGCAGCATTGTGACCAAACCATTCATTGTTTTAGGGAAAATTTCAAAATATGTTTTGACTGAATAGTGAACAGTACAGACAATGATCATTGGCATGTGTGAGCTTGCTGATGTTGGTCAGCACTGGTGGCATGGATAGGTTCAGTTGCCACCAATAGGGTAAACAGTATAGCACGTGAATTTTGAAAGTCAGTTCTAGATTTTAAAAAGTTAAACAGGTCAGTCACACAAATTCATTGGGATTAAGATTAATGTAACTGTTGTATACCTAATCAAGTACATGTAAACTTTGGCCTAGTGACATGTATTTTTCAATGCAGTTTATGTAAGGATCATAGGCAGGTACTACTACAGTCAAACCTGTAAACAAAGGCCACCAAATGGACATATAAACAATGGTCTTTATAGACAAGTGGTCTTTATTTGGAGGTTAATTTATTCCATTTTATCAATGAAGGGTTGTCAAAAGGTGGCCTTTATCCATAGGGTTATGTTTATTCAGAGGTCACAGGTCTTTAACACATGTTTGACTGTATACACATATATACATGTAACTGCTATATAGTTCATAAAGTACAATGTATAATGGATATATGATAATATTTTTTAAAGTATCAGGCAGTATTCATAGAGTGGACTGGAATTCAGTTATAGCTCAATACAAAGTGATAGTACATATAAATTTGAATACATTGTAAACTGGGATACATTCTTTAGCTAATGAAATAAAGAGCTTCATTGATTTTTCTTTAACCTGACACCTTCATTCTCACCCGTTTGAAGACAATGCAACCCATTAGGCATGTAGTATACCTTTCATTGACTGAATGGGAAAAAGGCGCGAAACTTTCAATTTTGGTTGGATCTTGTCTTGAAATATTTTTTGACAGATTTGAAAAAGTGCTGACATAATTGTTCTGATTTTAAGTTAGAAGATTATATTACCTTGCAGATTAATTCTTTTTTTTTGAAGACGGAAAATCATATTAGATAAGATACTTGCAAAATAGAGTTCAAGGTTTAATTCATATTGTAGTGGTAATATACTTATAAACTTTATAAATTTTGTTATAGACAAATCAAACCTATCTTTAAAGCAAAATATAAGAGACCTTATAAAGATGCCTTTATTTGCTGTCTCTAGAAAATTTGATTTAAGCCACAAATATGTTTGGTGTCACACTCCCAAGTGTTTGAGATTTTAAATAAACTTAAATTGGATCGAAGGTGAGACAAAAGTATTGGCATTTAGTGAAATATTTTCTGTCCATTATTCATATGTTTATAATGTGGTCTAAATACAACATGTACATGTATTTACTGCATTTTGAATAAAATATTCCATGCCATTTTAGAATTTTGATCATTTATAAATTGAGATTTGACATTGAAGCAGCATGCCTCTAGATTCATGTTAATATGGATGAAAATTTAAAAAAAATGTTTTTAAAAGTGAAATATTATATTGAGAAGTGGACAAAGAAAGTGTTTTACACATTGCAAACAGCACTTTATGATACAGCTATGTAAATTACCAAAAAGAGGGCAAAATATAGCCCTTACTGTGTTAGTCCTGCAATCTTTTCATTTTTCTGAAAATCCTAGTAAATTTTTCTCAAGTTTGATTTTCTTGAAATATTTTGGCTCATCTGGCAATTAGCTTTAAATATTAATTGCCAGTATTTTAAAATATATATTGCTTTTTCTATATGATATCTGGATGCTGTTAAATTAACAGTCTATTCAAATACTTTCATTTGTTTGTACAAATCGAATCTTTGCTACATATAAAAGAGCCGTAAACTTTTAAAACTGATTGTTTAACGTCTTAACAAAAATCAACTTGACCTAGCTTAAACTATGCATGTACATTTATAATTGACATAGAGAAATAGTCAACTTTGGGTTTAAATAGTCAGTAATATGTTTGTTTGTAAAATTAATAATTATACTGTTATAGGGAAATTTATATTAATATTTTATGCAGTTTGATCAGTGCTTCAATGTAGTAAGGCATGTTAAATAAAAGCTCAGTCTATGCTTGCAATATCATTTAAGTTTATTCTTTCATTTTGTTATTTTGTACATACATGTATCAAAACTGCATAATTTCTCCTTTAAAAGTTTACCGTAAATCCATTATCACAATAGCTTTAATAATAACATGTCATTTTATACAAAATTATTGAAATTGTATAAATTTTTTTTTAGTCCCCTACCGGTTTACCGGAGGGGACTTTAGGTTTACCCTCCGTCCGTCTGTCCGTCTGTCCGTCCGTCCGTCAGTCCGTCCGTCTGTCCGTCCGTCAGTCCGTCCGTCCACAAAACTGGATCCCGCGATAACGCAAAAAGTACTGAAAATATTTTAATGAAACTTGATATATGGATAGATGGCAGTATGGAGATTATGCACGTCTTTTTCTTTTCTTCCTATGTTGAAAATTCTGGTTGCTATGGCAACAAATAGACTGAAAATATGGCAAATTTTACACATAACCTGGATCCCGCGATATCGCAAAAAGTACTGAAAATATTTTTATGAAACTTGATATATGGATAAATGGCAGTATGGAGATTATGCACGTCTTTTTCTTTTCTTCCTATGTTGAAAATTCTGGTTGCTATGGCAACAAATAGACTGAAAATATGGCAAATTTTACACATAACCTGGATCCAGTGATAACACAAAAAGTACTGAAAATATGTTTATGAAACTTGACATATGAGTAGATGGGAGTATGGAAATTATGCACATCCTTTTTTATCTTCCTATGTTGAAAATTCTGGTTGCTATGGCAAACAAATAGACTGAATTTCAAGATTTCTGATTCTAGTTTTTAAGTTTTTTCACTATAAGTTCTTTATTTCTTAAGGTATTTTCTTCAAAACTTTAAATATAAGTTGCTTGTCATCAACCACATCATATGTGACAAGGTTCACAACTCTAGCACAAAATTTATCTGAATTACCTCCCTTGAACTTTAAATTTTCATGAAAAAACATTGTTTTTTTTTAATAACTTCTTTTTCTGAATGTATCTACTTCAAACTTCATATAAATGTTTCTTATTGTCACTCAACATTTGTGAGTGTTCAATACTCTAGCAAGACTATTTCCAGAATTATGCCCGTTTTGAACTTAGACTTTTTTTTGAGAAATTGGTAATTTTTACACCAACTTCTTCAATCATGATAGGATTTTAAAAATGTTATATTTTGATAACAGGGATGTTTAAAAAATAACTTTAGAGTGTCCTTCAGTCCGTCTGTCTGTACATAAAAACTGTTTCCTGTGATCACTTTTAAAGAACTTTTTCAACAAATTTACTTAAAATAGGAACCTAAGTGAATGGCCAATGGCCCTTCAGAATGTTGCTTGGGCTCTTACCGGTAGGGGACTTATGGATTGCTTGCAATACTATGATAATTGCTTGTTGAAATTTAGAACTTTGTGTGTCAGTTTATGCATATAATATAATGCACAAGCGTGAAAAACTTAATTTCACAAAGATAGGAACAACAGAGAATGTGACTTAAGGTAGGATTAATTTCTCTGTTGCCACAGTGTTGTTGGGTCCTCTGTGACCATGTGATTTAGGAAGATTTCCTCACCAATTTGGAAACATGACCCTACCCACAGAATTGTGTATTTCTGCATCATTTTTAATGAGATTGGAACAGCTCACACTGTATTACATGCATATTCAAATTTAAACAAAGGTTTATTTGGATCCTTTAATATTTCACTTGTAAAATTTTGAAATCAAAAATACAATATGCTGTGACGCACTGACAGTGCAGTTAATGTGTTACAAATGACGATCATTTTATTAATCTTAGCTCTTGAAATGGGAATTATTTCCTTGAAACTTGGAAATGAACATATGCCTTTTTGGTATTGGAGAAAATGACCTATTATCAGTTATAAAAAAGGGCAAAAACTTTTTTTTTCAAATCACATATACCCCTCCACCACTGAGGGGATGAATCCCTTTAAGGGTACATGTATTCAATAATTTAATGATAAGATATTGAGATAGATTACAAGAAAGAATAGTCCGGCTTAATACTTAAGGGTGTTGAACTGTGAATAGGACATCCAGGGTTCGATTCCCTGATGGTGCAGGTCACTTTAGTTGTGATTGATTATGAAATCCTTTCTACAGTCATTCCCACTGTATGTCTGCTCTGATATGTACAGAAGTTATCAGTTTCTTGTGAAAGTGAAGGCAACTAGTACTGGTAAACTGTTTGACAGCATGCCCAGGAACGATCCGGTAGCTGAACTGATCTGGCAAATTTGATGTGGCTAACTGCCATGATCGGGAGTGAAAACTACCAACACCACCGCCACATTGCTTATAAGAGATTGGTTGTTCTACTCTCCTAATAGCTTTATATGACTAAAATAATGTCACAGGTGAACTGATAGTTTGTATGACAATCTGATTAATTTTCCGAATGCCTGACCTAATATTTTGTGCCAGAAATCTGTCAGCTGACATTTAAATGATATCATTAAGTACTGTTTGATTTTTTCGTTTGATAAAAAGAATATATGTATTTATAAGAGGATTTAATCAAGATAATCTGTTATTTATTATGCTACCATAATTACGTTATCTCGGAGTTCTATTTTAACATGTGCTCAACATAAGAATACCTTTTTTTATTCTCATGGCCTATATGTTTTGCACCTTGTTTAAATTGACTTAAAAAGGCTGTATTTTTTTTGTATGTACGTTATTCTTTGTAAAGGTTTTGGTCCATCTTAAGATTTAAACAAGATGAATTGTAACTGAATAATAAAATGTAGAAATCATTTAGAAATGTTAAACTAAACACAAAGGGCTTAATAGGGATGCATTGTATACTAGTTTAAGAAGTTGAGAAAACGCTTTTATTGTTGAACGTTTTATTGACAGGTTTATAATGGATTATAGGTGAATAATAAGAAGAAGCCATCAATATGTTACAAAGTTGGGGGGAGGGGGCTGTTGGTACACATTGTTCGCACTGATAATAAATTCCCACAGAGGTGTTTTAAAAAGATTTTATTTGCCACCGAGATGGAACACGATTTGATTATTTGCATAACTAAAGTTTTAATATGTAATAAATGATTTATGTTTAGTATTTAAGATTTATAATGCACCAGACTTGGTTGAGGAATGCAGTAATTATAATCGCATTATCTTACATACATGTACTGTATTGATTTTGTTTGGAACTGACTGCTTTTGGAATCTGTTTTAATGAATAAGAAAATGAATTGTTTGATTGGTTTGAATAAGTAGCTAGCTTTAAATCAAGTAACCCTCACCACTGTGGGTTCGAATCCTGGCAGTGGCAGTTTATATCTCGGATTCTTCTTGTGTCACAGTGAGGATGTTACAGAAGGTTGATGGTTCTACTCATGAGTCTGAAATTCTGTACAAAGGGTCATGTTAAGTTTTTCTCTCCAATTTAACTGGGAAATGGCTATATGATCATATATGTATTAGTCTCACCAACAGAAAAAAAGCCATGCAATAAGTTTCCTATAGAGATTGTATTAGGTAGACTGTACACAAAGATGTCTTTTTGTATATAGCAAGTTGTGTCGTCATTTATATTCACTATCAATTTTATATTTCAGTAACACCTACTTTACCTGCCAGCGACAACAAAAAGGTGCGTTGTCTGCGGCTCCTCGCACTCAAGGTGGCAGCACATCTAAACTGGAACCTCACTACACTAATAAAAGGGTATCATATTAATCTATTTGAGTCTATTTATTTCTTTGTTAACAAAAACAATAGTTTATGTTAAAATGTAGTTTAATGAATCCGACATATCGAAAAAAGAAATCTTTAAGATTTCATGATGATAATTTACACTAATTAGACCAACAACTATTGTGTAAAATTTCACATCTAATTGTGAAAAATGACCAAAAAAATGTTGAAAACTTTGCAACACTTTTAACTCAAATTGGGCTATGAAAAATACAAAAATATGTTTTTCATTTTATTTCTGAGTATATATCTTTTGCATGTCTTTCTGTTTTAAGTGTCCCAGCTGATCTTCGTAAGAAATTCTAATTTTATGTTTTTTGGCCTTTGGACGTCAGTGGAGTTCCTTTAATGCCAAAAATTAAGCTGCTTATACAAGCATGATAGGGAATATAAGATTTTCTTTTTACAGTGGCATTGTAATTTATTACTTAATTAAATCATAATAAAATGCATCTGATTTCTATCTTTTAAAAGTAATAATGTCTCTACATACATGTAAATAGTTAAGTACTTTATATTATGTGTTTTCATGTCATTTTTTCACAGAAATTATATGTACTTGTAAAAATAATATTTTTGTTACCTAGGTTACCAGTTACAATGTTAAGCACATTATTGACAGAGTTACTGAAGTCTACCATGGAGATGAGCCCAGATGCTGCCAAATATACTGACCTACATTTTGATGTTCTCTCAGACGACGCAGTCTTTGCTGCACAACTCTATCATAGATGGTATATGCTCACTGTACCTCTTACCAAACTCAATATTTGAAATGGACTTTCCCACGTTTCAAGCCAGACAAAACCCATTCATCATTTTAGGGAAAATTTCAAAAAATTTGAAAAAATATGAAAAATATATACTGACTGAATAGCAAGCTGTGCAGACCATGATCAGATGGCATGGATGTGCTGACTGATCTTGGCCTGCACTGGTCACAAGGGTAGATGTTGCTGCCAGTAAGCTTAAGGTTAATGAGATCAATATGAAAAAATTACTATCGCTTTATGTCAATGTAAATGTATTTGTGCATATTTGAAGTTTCAGGATTAAGTGTGCACCTTGGTGATTATAACTATGTGTTAACATGTTTGGATATTGATTGATAAACTGCATTAAAATGACTTTATGAAATAATAAAAAAAAAATTCCTCATGAATGCTACATGTATTTTCATAAAATTTTAATTCATCTTTATTATTTTGTAGTAGTAATTTTTCAAGTACCATTGTTTTATCTTTCAGGAGTATTTTAACTCTAGTCAAACACAGTTTTCCTGGTAAACCAGTGAAGAATTTTATGCAAGTGTAAGTTGTATTTGTATCATAGTTTGGAGACCTTTCTGTTGAAAATGTGTCAGGGTTAAATCGTATACATATACATGCACAGTGCGTTAACTGGAGTGCGGGTATTAGTTACCCGCACTCCAGAGCATGCCCATTGATTGGCTCATTTTTGCTGGGGTTTACTTATTGAGACGGCAGAGAAAGGGAAAGCGACAGAAATATCATATTCAGATGTTCGTTCATTGGTTCATTTTTGCCTGGGTTTCATATTGTGACAACAGGGAACGTGTTTTTCTGTTTGACTATGATACAAAAGAGAAAGAACACCAAAACACTCTGTAATCTGATTAATACTCGGGGGGCTACGCCCCCTCGTACAAATCAGATAACCTCGTGTTTCGGTGCTCTTTCTTTTACATATCTACCAGTAATCATAACCTATTATACTAGCATTACCATCAGATCATAATGAATGACTATCCCACACTTTGGGGCATCTAAAGGAAATTGATTAAGGCTGTTGACTTCAAACATCTTGTCCCTCACCTCTGTTGGTTCTGGTCCTGTCATTGGCCATGAATTCTTAAATGCTCAGATGCTATCAAGCAAGCTTAGGGAACATTGGTGGTTCTACTCTGACCTGAAATAAGGCATGGAGGGACGTCTGAAGTCTTCCTCCACCAGTAAAGCTGGAATGTCACAATATGACCTTTACTGTGTTGGTGCGAGGTAAAACCCAACCGAATAAAGAAAAACAAACATTTCCATTCATACTTTTCTAAGGTAATTTAATATAAAAAGAAGAGAAAAACATTACTGGATATTTTTTACTTATGGTACATTACATGCTTGTCTTTGTTTATTTATTGCACTAGAATGATATCAGGCCTGAGTTACAAGTTGTAAATGTTTAGACTGACTATACTTAGAAAAGGCAGAGCTATGGTATTACCCAGGCATCAGTATCACACTTTGATTAAGTTTTTGCATGCTAGTTGGTATCTCCAAAACTACTGAAAGGAATGGGTTGAAACTTGACACACTTATTTATGAGCATTATAGGAAGTCACATTCCAAGGCCATTTGAAAGCCACATTTAAATTTATTGTGATGTAAATGAAATTGTTGTTATAAAGAGGTAATTGCTCTACTGAGGGTTACTTTTTAAAGGGTTGCACCTGATAAACATATTATATTGTATTTCAGACAAGGTCAGTCTGACCCCATCACATCGATGATGCAGGCAGAGTCTATCGTAAATAATGTAAGTTATAATTCTACTGTGATATGTATTTATAGGTCATTTTATTGAAAATAAATAATTTTCTTATGTAAATGAAAATGTCAGTGGAAATTCTACGTGTTTTTCAGAGATTTTATATGCTACCATGCAACATGCAATATGCTTAACAGTACAGTCTGATCAGGCTATATCCTATTTTCCTCTGAATTTTACAGAGTCTGTTTATAGTTCTATACCCAATGGAGAACAAGCTCATCTTTTCCAGATCCAAAGGGGTCCTATAACCCTTCTGACTATATAAGATATGATATAACATCAAGTTCTGCGAGGGCTTTTTTTAGTGAAAATCAAGCACAACATTTGACCCATTAACACCTCCCCTGGAGAACTAGTTAAATGCCAAAAGCCCTTTGGAATATGCATTTTCTTTTGTTGTAATTTTGTCACCCCCCTCCCCCCTCTTATAAAAATCCTTGATCCCCACCTGTTTCATGATGTAAACTCCAATAGTATAAATATTTAGTGATCAGAAGAATAGCATATTACTCTTTGTAATGTTTTATCACTGCTTTAATTGGTTATTCATACAATTATCATCATCAAAGCTTGGTATACCTTGTGTTTACACATCATTGAAGTAATTTTTCTTTTTATAAATTACAGTTACGAGACAAAGCAGATGTATCGGTGGAAAACTTACAGAAATGTATTCAGTGTGGTAAAACTATAAGAATGCCACAGTTTAACAGTATTACAGTTCCATCAGAACATCAGGATAACCCGGTATATCAATGGGAACAGGGTACAGACATCATTCCAGAGGAATATATATGTCAGGTAGTAATTGATTTCTAATTTATGTAAATAGTTGCTTATTGATAAATCATGTTAGATTTGTACAGTAGTTGGTCACTTGTGGAGAAATTTGGTAATTATTGGTTAGTTATCAATTAAATCACATACCTAGGAATGGACAGACAAAGGGTGATCACAAATTATTTGGACCTTAGTGGCCAGACAAAAAACCATCACAATTTGGCATTTGCCTTTTGCAGCCTGGAAAATGTCTATGATTTACATTTTAAGAATAAAAAACACATGTTAAAATTAAATTTGTTTTATTTTAATGATTCCTTTAATATCTTATGTGGCGTTAATACTGGCAACAGAATTTTACTCAGTCCAGGGGAGACAACTGACTGCCTCCTATACAAGGTAAAATGGCCAAGTCAGTGACCTAGGTTGAAACCTAGTGTCGCATCCCAACAGTTAATGCACACACACCCTGAGAGAACGGTTGCGGCTGGGCAGCCTGGATTACTACTACTCCTAACAGACTGTCCCGGACGTAGCCCTGCCCTAGGCCTCCCCTCCATACCTGGAGGTGGAGGGGGTGCCCCGTTACTCCGGAGTGCACCCCAACAAAATACATTAAAAACCATGCCTGCATGCTTTAAAGCAAGTCAGGCTAGGAGAAAGAGCCAGGCTGTTAAACCGGAAACCACCCTTGTTTGTCTCCCCGGCCGCCACAGAATACTTTATGTATTCCCCCATGATTAATTCTTACTACAATTAAACCTGAGAGCAACGTAACTACGTTTTGAATAACAACAAAATTAAACAACTTATAAGAATACAAAGGGTCTCGTAAATGTGTGTGACCCAATATTTTCACATTTTTTATTGTCCAATTTAATTAGCATTGAGTTTAGGGTAAAAAACTTTCGTCGGTGGTTACAAACATTTTCTAGAGCCAACTTCCAGTTTTTTAGAAGGATATCATGCCAAAAATTTGAAAAGGTGGGTACCATCTAGTGTGGAAGAGACTGACTTCTTTAGCATGAATGTAACAGTCATTGTTTATATATTTGCCACCATTTGACAAAATGAATGCTTTAACGGCTGCATTGACTCGATTCCTTTTCTTTTCAATCAGTTTACCTGCGCCTAAAGGGGCATAATGCCCAGTAACGTCTCTGGAGGAATAGAGGACCAGATATGATGGCACCTGTAAAAAGGGCTTGATATCTCAATAGAGATTCTTTTATTTGCTCTATTTATGTCTTTACCCGTGATACCTTCTACTGTTAATTCATTTGAAACCGCAATGTAGCATGATAAGATCTGGTCTTTGCGGTTACATTGAAGTCGATCTCATGTTTTCCTTGAGTCCATTATAGTATGTAGTTCAGCCAGCTTCAATCCCCTTTTTCCCAGCCACTGAACAGAAATATTACGATTGGGTGAATCCGAGTTTGAAGATCTTTTGATGCAGCCGATTTTGCCCAATGCACTATTGAGGAGCCCACTATCCAGATGTGTTTTGGACCTGAAATTAACTTTGGGATGGTTAGGGATTGAACTGATTGATAGCAATTACTGGATAGTTAAGCTGTTAAACGAATATATCTAGTGTAGGCACTGGATTTCAGCGGCCACATAGACTTAAGCTGTTCGTCTGAGACACCCTGACTTGCAAAATATGTTGCCCTCCGATACGAAAGCTATGTGACCTGATGAAAATTGGGGCATTAATAAAACTGCAATGTTTTGCGTAAAACTGATGTAAACTGATATCTGGTAAGGCTTTTAGCATTAAAGTGAACAAAAAGGTGGTTATTGCTGAAGTGTGTACGATTTTTAAGATGTATTTGCATGTTGTTCACTGGGCAGTATAATCCACCTGTGGCACGTATACTTATGGTTGTTGACAATCCATATTGGTCTGTTTTTGACCATCTGATGCATAATTGCATTATATTATCCGAGATGTGGACATCGTTAACAAGCAATAGTCTTTGACCTGAATAATTTGAACTTGGAGTAGTAAATTCTCCTACCCTTAACAGGCCAAAAAATGCAACAGAAAAGGCTGCACTAAAAAGGACCTGTTAGTACATACATGTTTTAAGGATGCAATAAGGCTTTCTAGCAAAGGGAGAGTAATTGGAGCCCGCAAGTCTTGGGCTGGACCCCCTTGAAGCGGCGTAAACCTTCTAATGACTTAACGACTAAAAATGAGGTGGTTGTATCAGACAAGCCACGTTATTTTTGTGAAAATGACCAATGCCTGATATATAAGTAGCCACAGATGATGCAGCAAGGCCGTTGTTTTGAGCAATATGCAATAAATAGTAGGAGATGCTCTAAAGGGATGGGCCAAGATTGTGGCAGGCCATAACTGAGCCGAAAGTATGCAAGCTTTCCGACACCGGAAGCATATGTCTTGTGGGTTGAAGCTGCTAAAGAATTAAAATAAAGATTCTGAGCTGTGTTTATTAAATGGTCCATAGAAGTGATGGAATCTTTGTTGGCTGCATGTCTGCATAGGGTGCTGGCCCGTCTGAACTTCCCCCACTGTGAACGAGAAAGGGAATCAGCTATTATATTTTTTGACTAGAAGGAATATAGGTTGCTTTTACAGAAATATTATGTGTGAGCATAACCATGACTAGATGTCTTACAAGGTTTCATGACTCTTTCAGATTTGCAAGTTTGTGTCTTTACTATCTGAACTACTGCTTGGTTTATCTATATGGAACAAAACTTTCTTGTTACTGAACACACTTTGGCCCATGTACAATAGCTGCTACTACCGGGAACAACTCGAGGAGCGTCATGTCTTTAGTAAGACCTTCTTCCACCCAGTGTAATGGCCAAACCCCTGAGACCAATGACCTGCAAAGTAGATGCCATATCCCCCAAGAGGACCCCCTGCATATCTGTGTACAGCTGTAGATCAATGTTAGACAGCCAGCAATGGTCAGTTATTAATGTTATGCCGTGTATGCGGGCCAGAAAATTGTTACCACAGCTGTAGATCTTTTTTCATTTGACCAGATACCCTTATCTTATGATATGGCTTTTTAATACCAATGGTGGAATTTATAAACCTCCTGCAAAATGCACGGCCTGGTGCAATGACTCTGCAAGCAAAATTGAGTGAACCTATCAGAGATTACATGACTTTCAAAGTAACCTTTTTAGTATTAAGGATTTGTGTTATTTTGCTCTTTAATTCCACGAGTTTTTCTTCTGGTAAGTGCATTACCATTTAAACTGTGTCAAATTCAATGCCTGGGAAAACAATGGAAGTAGTTGGGTGACAACAAGTGCAACTGGGATACCAAATTTTTGGCAAGTAACTTAAAGGACTGCAGTGTGTGACCATGCTTACAGCTTAAAGCTGGCTCCCCAAATGGAAATTGTCAAGGTAGTGTTGAATATTAGGGTTATTACTGTTTTCAACTACAGCCCAGTGTACAAAAGTGGCGAATTTTTCCCAGATAGCACAGCTGATGGATTCACCAAATGGTAGCATCTTATCATAAAAATAGTAAATGACAGGTCCACTTGGGTGACCTCACTTGGGACCTTGAAACCTAGTAAGTCAAAATCCTTTTGGGGAAATTGGTAACAAAAACGGAAGGCCGACTTAACGTCTGATTTACTAAGGCGGCAACCTTCACCTAAGGAAAAAAACCATATTTGCGGCCTGATTGATTAGTTGAATAAGATACTGAACAGTACTTTTCATCTATGTAACTATTAATAGATTCATCTTTAGGATAAGACACAAATGGTGTATCAAGCGGAAATCTCCCCCTTTTTTGGGGACTAGATAGACCAGCAGGAGAAATTTTGCATGGTGGTAAATGGCATTGACAGAAAAGGTCCCGCTTTCCCTGCAGCCTTTATTTCTTTGATTATTTACTTTGAAGTATTGAAGGTAACTGTTTTGCACTAAGCAAGTTGGGTGAGTCTCTGAAATAACGGGGGCCCTCATAATGTAATGGGAAACCATTCATTTACCCATATTTAAGTTCCCCAGCACTGTTGGGTCTGGGTACAGATTTAAAGATGATAGTAACTTTGTAATGTTAAGGGCGTTTTGCCTTTTTGGTACAGTAATCGTTCCTTTACTGCTGCTGACTAGAGCAGCATACTGTTCTGCGATGATTACCTCCACAGAGCTGGCATGCATGCTTTGTACCTACAATTTGTAAAGCGACAATGACGACCAGCATTGAAAAAAATTACAAGTAAGTAATGATGGGCTTACATTATTATGGGACTTATTATGAGTGCTAGAATTGGTGGATGTGGTCAACCTTACAGGATATTGTGTTGCTGGAGAGCCTGAAACATATAGAAGCCATAACTCCACATTAATGACACCCCAATGATTGGAAGGATTTGAAGCTTGCAAGTGGCGAAAAACTGATCATCGTATTGCCACCAAGTAGGTGACCTAGTAGATGCCAAGCCAATATCCCGCAGATATTTCAGAAAGTTCTTGGGCCCTCATTTGAAATCGTTCTAAAAAAAATGCTGGCATACATGATAAAGGCCGAAGTCCACTGATCGATTGACAATTTTTGAACTCTCCTGTTCATGGGGCTTCACAAAAAATCTTCCTTCCCTAAACTGGACTTCGCCAGCAGGTCCGGTTTCTGAGATTTCATTTAACTGACGTTGTGATTTGAGTAAAGATCCCCAAGTCTAAAAAATTTCACTTGCCCAGATTTTTTCTTTTATCTTTTGGGGACACAACTACCTAAATGGATAAAAAACACTAGGGATGGGTTATATCCGGATGTGGGGTGACAGTGGGAGGGGTTACAATTTGAAACGTAGGGGGTGGGGTTGAACTTGGTGAGGTAGCTGGGGGAGAAAAATGAGGATGAGTTATGTCCGGATGTGATATGACAGTGGGAGGGGAAATTAAATCGTCGAATGGGGTAATACCTAGTGGGGGGGGGGGTGGAAAATGAAAAAGCGGGTTCCCGATTTTTTTCTCCCGAGGCCTCCGTCCACTTTTATTCAACTGATTCGCCCCCTTTTCCCGCCCCCAGTTGCCCATCGGCACTTCTCTTTTCCCTTTTTCCCGCGGCATTTATTCTTTTAACTTTTTAAAAAGCTTTTTTTGAAATCGGTAAAAATTGCAATAACCCGGAAAGAAGTTTATTAAAACCCCCCCTTTAGAACCCGGGGTAAATCCGTACCCTCCCTTTTTTTACCCGGGGGGTAATAAAACAAGTCTCGATTTGATTTTTTTAAAAAAAATTATCGAATTTTAAAAAAATTTTTGCTAAATCCCCTTTTAAAGGGCATAAAATCAAAAAGGCAATTTCTGCCATGCCCTTTCTTTTAAGGGTATGGCCAGAAAGTTGCCATTTGATAAATGACCTTAATTGAATAATGAATCATGGATTGCAGTAAATAACTTAATTTTTAAACCTTTGAACTATAGTAATTATATGTTTTTAACATGTTTTAGTTACAGTTATCATGTTATGAACATGTTGATGTTTACAGTACATGTTTATTACAGTAATCATGTTTTGAACATGTTTTTATCTACAGTAATCATATGTTTTGAACATGTTTTATTTACAGTTATCATATGTTTTGAACATGTTTTTATCTACAGTTATCATGTTTTGAACATTTTTTTATCTACAGTAATCATATGTTTTGAACATGTTTTTATCTACAGTAATCATATGTTTTGAACATGTTTTATTTACAGTTATCATATGTTTTGAACATGTTTTTATCTACAGTTATCATGTTTTGAACATTTTTTTATTTACACTTATGATGTTTTGAACATGTTTTTATTTACAGTTATCATATGATCTTGGAACATACTTCTTCTATAGAGAATCATATCATCATGCATTGGAAATGTTCAGGGAAACAAAAGATCTTCTTAAACATGTAAGTGTCATCTATGTAACTGTTAATCTTGTAATTTTACTAATTGATATTTATGGCTATGGGAACTTTAGGCAACAGTAGAAACAAATAGTAAATGTACTGTGATGGTATGCATTCTGTTTCTCTTTATATATGGGTTAAATATGCAATAGGGTAGCCTTTAGACGACCTATTGATTTTGACCTCTGTTCCATGAGTATTTTCAGATACCATTTTTTCTTCTTCAATATTTCATTTAATGAAGATTTTTATGCCCCCACAGAGTGGGAGCATATAGCGTTGCACTTGTCCGTCCGAGTGTCAGTCCGTCAGTCCGTCAGTCCGTCCGTACGTCCCGAAATCTGTGTGAACGCAACTCCTCTTAAACCGGATGGCAGATTTTGCTTAAACTTACAGGGATGAACAACCTTAATGTGTAGATGGTAGTAAAGGAAGGAATTTTCGCTGCGACCAAATTTAACAGAATTATGCCCTTTGTTGATTTTTTTTTCACTAGATACTATGAAAGAAATTTTTGTGAACGCAACTCCTCTTAAACCGCATGGCAGATTTTGCTCAAACTTACAGGGATGAACAACCTTAATGTGTAGATGGTAGTAAAGGAAGGAATTTTTGCTGCGACCAAATTTAACAGAATTATGGCCCTTTGTTGATTTTTCACTATATACTATGTAGAAATTTTGTGAATGCAACTCCTCTTAAACTGCATGGCAGATTTTTGCTTAAACTTACAGGGATGAACAACCTTAAGGTGAAGATGGTAGGTAAAGGGAGAGAATTTTTTGCTGCGACCAAAACTTTACAGAATTATGGCCCTTTGTTGATGTTTTCACTATATACTATATAGAAATTTTTTGAATGCAACTCCTCTTTAAACTGGATGGCAGATTTTGCTTAAACTTTCCAAGCGATGAACAAAAACCTTTATGTGTAGATGGCAGTAAAGGAAGGGGAATTTCGCCGCTGCAACCAAAATTTAACAGGGGAATTATGGCCCTTTGTTGTTTTTTTTTACATTATATACTATGTAGAAATTTTGTGATTGCATAACTCCTCTTAAACCGGATGGCAGATTTTGCTTAAAACTTCCAGGGTATTAACAACCTTAATGTGTAGATGGTAGTAAAGGTAGGAATTTTTGCTGCGAACAAGTTTTTTAACAGAATTATGGCCCTTTGTTGATTTTTAGTTTTCAAACTTGTGGCACATGTAGTCCAAAAAATATTTGACCTAGAGTCATAAGATTGACAGAACAGTGGTGTGTGGGGGCATCCGTGTCCTATGGACACATTTCTAGTTTGTATACATTTTGTAGTAATTTGAATTAGAAATTATATCATTGAAAATACACTATTTCAACTTGTCTGTTTTGTAGAAGAAATAAGTTGAGCCATTATGATTGCTGTATCATCATTATTGTTGTCATGCCAACACTTATATGTAGCCCTTTATTTAAATATTTTAAAAGGTATCAACATGAAACTTGGAATACTTCCTTATCATGACAATGTGCAGTTGTAAAACAAGGGGAATAATTCATAAATCTTTATTTTTGGAGCTGTGTCCCTTTTAACTTAGACTTTTTGTCAAATTTGTTATTGATAGCTGTTGCCTTTAACAGACGGAAGTGTTAACACTGCATTCAGTGCTCTGGTTTTATATTTATAAAACTGTTTAATGCAAAACTGAAAAACTTCTGTTGAAAATCAAGATGTTACAATCAAATAATGAAGAAATTAGGAAAACATTATAAAAGAAAAATGTATGAAAGATAGGTATCACAAAAAATATTGAAAGAAGTTGAGAGAGACTTTGGATTAAGTACAATATTAGCCAACATAAATTGATATCAACCTAGTTGGTATGTTTTGTAATTCTTAATTGGACAAATTTGTAACCTTGTGTCTCAAAAGAAGGGGTAACAAAAATATTCAGAGGCATTGATTTAAATTATTTGTTACAATGTATTTTTACAGCTGGAGAATCCAAGTTATTGCCAAGTTAAGGAGCAAAGGTTGAACGGTTATTATGTGGCATGTAAAACATTGAAAGAGTCATCAGCCAAGCTTAGTGCCAAACCTGAAAGTTTGTACAGGAGAGCGGAATCAGCTCGTAGAAATGTGTTTAGAGTATGCCTATAATTTTATTAGCTTGACTATTTAAATAATAAGAAGAGTTATTGTACTTACCCAGGCATTGGCGTCACACTTTGGTTAAGTTTTTGCATATAAGTTAGTGTCTCCAAAACTAAAGAAAGGAATGGGTTTAAACTTATTTAAGAGCATAATAGGTCACTTTCCAAGGCCCATAACTGTTTTATCGATTTTGACAGAATTATGGCCCTTTTTGAACCATATGCAGGCTGTTCTTTTACTATCAGGCTCTGAGAATAGTTGAGCATGCTGTCCTATCAACAGCTCTTGTTTGAATATAATATACCATACTGTCAATGTAACTTGAGTGTTTGATATCTTGAGTTTATAAACATATTTACAAGATTTTGTATGTTATTGATTCTTCAAAGTAATTACATTCATTTCTAACAGTAACTGAAATATTTTTATGAGCCAGTTGAATAAATGGTTTTGAAAAAAAAACTACAACTCAGAATTGTTAATGATTGCATTCTTTACACATGTCTTATTCCTGTTTAGATTATTTAAGGCTGCAACATTTTCAGCTTTCAACTGTCATTCAACTGTTAGAGATAGGGATGTACAGCCCTAGGTGGAGTATGAAAATAAACTTTAAAGCAAATAAAAAAAAAAAAAAAAAAAAAAAAAAAAAAAAAAAAAAAACACCCAAAAGCCCAAACATAAAAAAATGAAATATTATCCCAGCTTGGGTGTCTGTTTACTGTTTACATCATTTAGTTGCTGCCATATTTTAATTTTTGTAAATATGTTAAAGTCTAAAACTGAGATAGATTTATACCATTCCCAGAGATAGTATTATATAATGTTAAGTTTTTGTATGTTACAGGGTTTGGTAGATATTTTAATAGAGGACAATGTGAAACAAGAATTAAGCAATGCCTATAGAGCTAACCTTGAAGATGAACTTGCTTCAAAAGAAAGGTTTGAGTTTTTATTACAGACAAATGTTTAATAATATGTACTTTTAATCCACTCATAATTAACATAAAATGACTATTATTAAAGGAGCTCCACTGAGGTCATAAAGCCTAAAATAATAAAAATTTGAAATTTTTGCATAGATCAAGTGATGCCCTAAATATGGAAAAAAAGAAAGATAGTAAAGAAATATAGTCAAATTTAGTTTCATTGGAAAAAGATTTTTAGCAGCATTTGATTGAAAAAGCCTTTTCAGTTTTTAGCCATTTTGCACTATGAAGTAAGTATTCTGGGAAAACAGAGTAAGGGATTGATATCTGAAATTTTGCACACAAGTTACACTGTCTCCCTGATATAAAGTGCCCTGTTAAAAGAAGTAACTGGGAATGATGAAGCGATATAACTTCACAATTTGCCCATTTGTGTAGCATCTATGTATCTGTGCAAATGTTTCTTTTTGTGTAATTTATACCGTATTTCCTCAAAAAGATGCATTACATGAACAGAAAACTAACATTAAGCCTTAACCTGCTATATTTCTGTAATGAACCTGTCCAACTTTGAATTTGAGACAGTCCATTTAAAGTTCAAGGGATTCTAATATCAAAATACAAAAATTAAGCTGCCAACAGTATAGAGCATGGTCAGACTGCAGGGAAGTGCAGGCTGACCAGACTTTATATTGGTGGCAAAGGCTGATAATTTTTGGTTCCAGTAAGTTATGTTAAGTTACTTAATGAAGAAAAAGAGAAAAATGACGGGATATATTAGTTTTATATAAAAGATATGGAATGATTATGGTATATATATTTCAGTCTAACGTTCACATTTATACAAGTTAGTGTGTGTAATGTTATACGAGGGGTGATGGAAGGAAAAGCCTTCGTGTCAATTATCGCAGATATCCTAGAAGATGCTGATATAGCTACCATTAAATTCCTTGTTAAGGTAACATGATGCTTGTTTTCTAACTTTGTTTTGTTAAAACATACATGTGTACTTTTGATTGCTAGAAGCTAGAGTGACTTACCTATAATATTACTTGTATAGTTATATCTTATAATGCATTATTTTCGAGCTATTCTTATTCATACTTTACTGGCAATTATAAAAAATAGCTACAATTTAAATACAGAAAATTAAGAAAAAAAACTCTCTTTAACCTGTTACTTAAATGAAGTCATCTGTGGTCTAAAATCCTGAAGGGCATGAAATTTAATTTTCTTTCATAACATTAATCAACAGGGTTTAAAATTGAAAGATAAACAAATGGTCATAAAGAACTATACTCGGAAATGATTTGAAAATATTTTTTTATTGCTATTCTTAGCATGATTTATGCGGTCATTTTTCAAAATTGAAATAATTATTCTGAAAAAATAAGTAAGCAAATCATTTGAAATCTGCAAAAGTTATTGGTCCAGGTCTACATCAAAAAGTGCAAAACTCTACAGACCTTTGTCAAAAAACGACAGCAATAGCAATTCCAGTTTACACATTCAGCAGACTAAGGATTCCCGATTCAAGACATCACTCCTGTAACTCAATAACTGTAAGATGCTGTCAACAAAATTTAATCTTATGGACCTTTTTATAAAGTTTTACTTTACATTTTGTAACTGATTAACCAAATTTAAACTGTTATATCCCAATATCGTTATATCTGAGAGGCAACAAATTTGAAAACTCGTCTGGACAGCGGCAACAGCATCTTTATAAGCTATAACATTATAAGTGGAGTTTCCTGTATTTACAAATAGTGAAATACAGAAAATGAAGATAAAGATTTGTTTAAATCTCAGGTATTAGCAGTAGCCCTCAATGGAGCCTCGTTTGTACAGAAGACCAATCTTGTAACTTTCTTGTGGTGAGTAATATGTTATGGATTTAATATCTATTTCAGAAACACTGCCTTAATTCTAATTTTATTTATAAATAAAACAAAATGATAAGAGAAATAATTTACTTAACAGTTGAAACAGAAGGTGCAAGTTTATTTAATATATTGATTAAGTCACAATTTTATCCAAGTTTTATTTATTTGCAGCCATTGGCAAGATAAGATAACTTAATGATGTCATGTTTGTTGACAATTACCTCCCTTGATTGATGGTTTTAAAAAAATGTTGCTCTATAATGCCATATAGTATAATAATGTCATATAGTATAGGTTTATTTATTGTACATGTACTTTCAATCAAACCATGGCTATACATCATTATAATGTTAAGATAATATTTTCTTTTGTTATGTAATGATAAGTTATTTCAAGTCAATGTGCAATTTAAGATTTCTGCTATATGATACATTTTAACAATACATTGATTACATTTTCATTATTCAGGCACGTAGCTGAAGCGGCCCCACCTCATTCTCACTTCATCCCCATGGTATTACAGAGCGACATACGTAATCATTTCACCGGTTATGAATGTGATCAGATGAGAAAGTTAGAGAATGGTAACACTGATCAGATGTCATTTGGGACAAACCTTGATGATTTAACCACAGTGGCTAGCAGTTATCCATCAAGCAGAGGTAGACTGAATTATTAGGCTAAAAAAATTACACTTTCGTTTTTTTAACTGAATCTTTATTTTCAATGTTCCGTGGACCGCCGTCGCTTTCATTCTTTTCCTCAGAGAAAATGACAGAGTGCCAAGTGAAAAGAGGAAATGGCCAGGTTCTCGAAGCAATCGAAACAGCCCGAGTTCCATGGACCACAGGTGACTCCTCGCTTCCCTTCTTTTCCCTCAAGAAATGCTATAATAGAATATGATGCATAGGAATTTTAGTTTGATTAAGTTTTTGCATGCAAGTTGGTATCTCCATAACTGCTGAAGGGAATTAGTTGAAAATTCCCACACTTATTTTGGATTTTGACAGAATTATGGCTTTTTTATGCCCCCGGGCATATAGTGATTGAACCGTCTGTCCGTCCATCCGTCTATCCGTCTGTCCGTACAAGGTTAACCTAGAACGGCAAGTTGGATTTTTCTTAAGTTCTACCTGTACCAATGGCTTCTAAGTTTACACACTTACTAATCAATACAAAGTACATGATCTGGGCAAGTTACATAACTCTGGCTTTCATATTTACCAAGTTATTGCCCTTTTCAGCACTTAGAAAATGAATAATGGTTAACCTAAAATGGCAAGTTGGAAATATCTTAAGTTCTATCTATACTAATGGCTTTATAATTTCCACACTTACTTATCAATACAAAGTTCATGATATTGCCAAGTTATATAACTGTGTCATCCATATTTCCCAGTAATTTCCCTTTTTTCACTTTGAAAATAGGGCCTTGTCTGGTTAACCTATTTCGGCAAGTTGGATTTATCTTAAATTTCTCCTAATTACTTAATTTCTTTAATGATATCTTTCATATTTAGTAGGTGGATACCTTTGATGGTCCTCTAATTTTTTGTGGAGTAAGCGGTCTTTAGGGTCAAGGTCAAAAGGTCACTGGTTTAAAAAATAAATATAAACATTTTTGCTCATACAGCCTTTATATTTTATGTGATGTTTTAGTTTAATACAAACATGCCAAGGGAGGTCCTCCTTCTTTGGATGTAGTAAGGGGTCATTTGGGTCAAGGTCAATGTTACCAATGTCAAGGTCACCAAGGTTAAAAATAGATTTTTACATTTTTACAGGTGTATTGACCTTATTCTACAGACAGATGTTATTTATAATTGATAGAAACATAAACTTTGATGGAGTTAGTGGTCAGTTGGGTCAAGGTCACCAGTGCTAAAAATAGATTTTTACACATTTGCTCATACAGCCTTTATTAAGTGACAGATATATTTTATACTTGGTAGGAAGATAACTTGCATGGTCATCATTTTGATTTGGGTAGGGATCAGTGGGTCAAGGTCACTTGTGCTAAAAATAGATTTTTACACTTTTGCCCATACAGCTTTTATTTATTGACAGATGTATTTCATATTCGGTAGGAAGATAACTTGCATGGTATTCTTCCTTTGGATGGAGTAAGGGGTCAGTTGGGTCAAGGTCACCAGTGCTAAAAATAGATTTTTACACTTTTGCCCATACAGCCTTTATTTATTGACAGATGTATTTCATATTTGGTAGGAAGATAACTTGCATGGTATTCTTCTTTTGGATAGAGTTAGGGGTCAGTTTGGTTAAGGTCACCAGTGCTAAAAATAGATTTTTACACTTTTGCCCATACAGCCTTTATTTATTGACAGATGTATTTCATATTTGGTAGGAAGATAACTTACATGGTATTCTTCTTTTGGATAGAGTTAGGGGTCAGTTTGGTTAAGGTCACCAGTGCTAAAAATAGATTTTTACACTTTTGCCCATATAGCCTTTAATGACAGGTGTATTTCATATTTGGTAGGAAGATAACTTGCATGAAGTTGAATATTTTTCATCTTCACAAGTCAGAGCAATGACTTGGCAACTTATATTTTTCACAATTACAAAATGCTATGACTTTGTCAAGCTATATAACTTGTGTTTACAATTTTTTGGCAATTTTTCTGTCCATAACTGAGTGAATGGGTAAACATTTTTTGAAATATTGCTACTGACAAGAATCTGAGCCGGGGGCATTTGTGTTTAACAAACACGTTCTTGTTTAACTTCAGATTTTGTGTGATTAAGATTTTTATATGACTAGGTTTTTCAGGTAGAACATCAACTAATGTATATATTATACAAGATGGTGAAATTAAAGGACCTTTAAGACCCTGAAATGCTGGCATTTTGATTCTCAAAAACTAATAATTTTTGTTATCTTGTTGCAGCACAGTTTTCAAAAAGTTTTTCATTGGCTATATAGGTGAAGCATCTTTTGCTTCTTTTGCTCTTGAGCAATTGGTGTAATTGTAGTGATTTAGTATTTTGTATTGAAGTCAAAATACAACTTTGTTTACATTTTGCAACCCTTTCAACACATAACTGCACATTCAGCGCTACTTTCTTCAGCACTTTAACATCTAACTTGCTCTAAATCTATTATTTAAGCATTATAACACATAATTGATCTTTCTAAAGAATAGAAAAATCATTATTCAGGAGCATAATGAGTCTGGTATCAAGGTTTGATAATTAAATCTTATGTTATTTCGTACTTCTGTTTCACTCTGGTGAATATAGAACTTCAACTAATGTTTATATTATATATTATGGTAATATTAACCAGTATTTGATCAATAATTATTATGATATTTTAGATTCCTCTGTCACTCTGGTGAATGTAGAACACCAATTAATGTTTATGTACGATGGAGACGTTATTCACCATCTTGTCAATGAACTTGTAGTCAATCAGCAGAAAACACCTGCATATGTCATGCAGCTCAATGAAAAGGTAGGTCTAAAGTAATAACATTATAAAATGATGTTGAAATAGTATAATGATATATACTGTAACATTTATATGAGAATGTAGCGTTTTGAAAATGTTTGCATAGGTTTAGTTTTTGCATGCAACTTGGTATTGCCAAAACTACTGAAAGGAATGGGTCGAAAACACTTATTTGAGAGCATAATATGTGTTGCTGTTACATGGTTTTTGACAGAAATATGGCACTTTTTTCGAAAATATTACTAGTATTTATGCTCTTGTTTTACTATGAGGCACTGATAATAGTCGAGCATGATGCCCTACTGACAGTTTTTGTTGTATTTAATTGTATTTTTATATTTCAGTGGAAGGTACCGTTTGAAATGCTGGACATTATACGTAAACTTCCCCCTAGTCTGGAGCAAGCATATGCGTTTGTTTTGATTGGAAAAGGTTGTCACTGCATGGAGGTCAAGGTATTTTCCTAAAAATCATTTCACTCTTGTTGAGCTTATGCCTTAAGCATTTAAAGATTTATGAAAGGTTGTTAAGAGATCTTTACAAATATTCTGCCCTTTTTTGGTTCACTTTGCCTAACAAAAACGATAACTCTGGAAAAAATGAAATGAGCGAATGATCCGATATTTTGCACACACACATTATTTGTCCAGAACTTCATCAAAAGGTAAAGAAATCTTGGAAAATATAATTTTCATCAATTCATGTCAAGAAACCTTAGTGGTGTCCTTTTTTTTGGAGGACAGTTCTATTCAGGTGCCCACTTGATCAGAAATATTGCATTGAGAGACACCTGAGATCTCCCTCCACTGGAACAGTTGTAATTTATATCCTTGACTGTGCTAGTGACTTAAAACGCAACAAAGAAATCAATAATTAAGTAATTTATTTAATATCTCATGTAGTTAAGTGAGAAAATATAAATTTTAATGTAATGAACTTTTGTATAAATTGATATTTTTCCTTCTTTCTATTCTTGTTTTGTTACACTATTGTAAAAATGTATCATCTTTTGACAAGTGCTCTTTCATGTGGCGACATGGCCGAGTGGTTAACACATCAAACTAGTAATCTAATGACAGTCTTTCCGAAAGACCGTCGGACCGTCGGCTATGACCGGTAAAAAATCAGAAGGTCCGATAAAAATATATGTTTTGACGGCCCGACGGTCCGGTAAAAATTAAGGATTTATAAAAACCTTACATTCAACATTTTGCAAAGGCCGATCATTTACCTACATTCAAAACAAATCAAAATGTTGTCATTACACAATATAAGCTCGTGCAATGCTTGTCAACTGTTATGCATTCTCATAATGCAAACTTTAATGTAACAACGTAAGATAAAAATATCCGACAACTAGTACAATTAAAAGTCAAAAAGCGGCCGTGTAAATTACATAAGCGGCCCAGATGTGAAAGGTCAACCGCTATTAGTTTGTTTACACAGATGAAAGTGTCAGTGAATTAATTGGAACAATTTACGTCTTTAATCCACAGACTTAGAGAAATGTTAAATTACATGTGTGCTCAACTGGTGTTTAGCTATGAAAGATCGTCCAAGGTGTTGACAAAAATTAAACTATACTGTGAAGGTACCAAAATCATTGAACAATTAATCTGTCAACTTCACTAAATTACCGATATATATAATTCTGTTTACATATGCCAGACTTTTGCTGAAATTTACCCTCTCATTTTGCTAGTATATAGTCTGAATGAAATTAAAGTTTAAATAGCAAAATCCATTGAATACATGTATAACAATATTTATGTTTACATTTTGATTGTGGTGAAAAAAGATAACTTCACTTGTTGATAATACAATTTTCTTTTTGTACACAAATTTTTTGACTGCTGACACTTATCAAATGACTCAAAATGCTATACCAATCAGGTTTTTTTCGGTCCAGTAAAATCATGTTTGGTCCAGTAAAAATTTTCAGTTTACAGGACCTACTGTCCAGTAAAACTCAGAAGTCTTTCGCATAGACTGTAATGATCGCTAGCCGCATGGGTTCAAACCCTGGAAGAGGCAAGTGGTTGTTTCCTTGAGAAAGAATGTTGTCACTCATTGCTCAGTACTGGTTGGTTTCAGGAATGGATTCGAATGTGTGTCTATAAGCTAAAGCTACCTACACAATTGAACTAAAATAAATTCTGTATAAACCAAGTGCTCTCTATAGTTTTTATGCAGCTTTCATCAGATTATAGGCTCAGTTTATTTGAGCAAAGAAGTAAGTTTTGAGATTGTTAAGTCCTGGTAATTTTTGTTACATGCTAGAATTTTTCTAACAGCTATACAGCTTATTAGAAAATTTTGACTTATCTTTATAGAAAATTGAATAAATAAGATAGGATCTAGGTTTAATAGCGGACCCAGTGTGCATGCATTTTTTGTTACCATGCTTTTATTCTGTTTCTAAGTGTTGTGAATTTTATTGTTGCTTTGAAAATAAGTATGTAAAAGTGGGGGTGTGGGGGCAGCAGCCCCTAATAAGCAAGTGTGCTAGTATTGTTTATCTTCTTGGGTACGCTAATCTAGATGTGTTCCGAGAAATACATGAATAGATGAAGCTAGTAATTTATAATTCAGATATTTGAGCGAGCAAGAAATCTTCTGGGAGTGGCGGATAATGTAGTGTCGCAGTTATCGTACACCCTGTCTAAACATGTAAGATGGCAAATGATGATGGTAGATCTACAGCAGTTCTTCCTGAATGAGACTTTCAGTGAGAACAGTTCACTACAAGATCTTATCAAGAAGGTGAAGACTTGTATAACAGCCGTGAGGCTCGGTCAAGGTGTGTATAGAAACAAATGGACTTATTGAAATATTTCTTGCTAGTCATTGAATTGTCTGTGAATTGAAGTTTTCCTATAAAGAGTTAGCCTTAGTGTGATATTTATATAAAGAATTTTTATCATGAATTGACATTTCTTACCAAGTTGAAAAATTTTGACAAACCTTCTCTGCAGTTTTTTTTCTGGAAGCAAACAAGTTTGCTAGTTCTTGTTGCTCATGCAAGCAGTTAAGCTTAAAATTGTTTGATTTCTTGAAAGTATTGAATTGCTTTGAAATTTACAAAACTGTCTAGAATGAACCACTACCAAACAAGATCCAAACAGACACTGTAGAAGTCGTATATTTTGTGCATTAATTATTTATTTCATGAATTGTGAATGTTACTGACAGTGTTGATATTTCAGATATTCAGCCAAGTCCTGATGTATTGGAGCATTGCTCAGCTTTCCTGTTAAATATACGAGATTGGACATATCTCATGAACATGGAGAATACCAACAGTGGTCATATAGAGGTGAGTTTACAAACAGCAGTCATATAGAGGTGAGTTTACAAACATAACAGTAGTCATATAGAGGTGAGTTTACAAACAGTAGTCATATAGAGGTGACTTTATAAACAGTAGTCATATAGAGGTGAGTTTACAAACAGTAGTCATATAGAGGTGAGTTTACAAACAGTAGTCATATAGAGGTGAGTTTACAAACAGCAGTCATATAGAGGTGAGTTTACAAACAGCAGTCATATAGAGGTGAGTTTACAAACATAACAGTAGTCATATAGAGGTGAGTTTACAAACAGTAGTCATATAGAGGTGAGTTTACAAACAGCAGTCATATAGAGGTGTGTTTACAAACAGCAGTCATATAGAGGTGAGTTTACAAACAGCAGTCATATAGAGGTGAGTTTACAAACAGTAGTCATATAGAGGTGAGTTTACAAACAGTAGTCATATAGAGGTGAGTTTACAAACAGCAGTCATTTAGAGGTGAGTTTACAAACAGCAGTCATATAGAGGTGAGTTTACAAACATAACAGTAGTCATATAGAGGTGAGTTTACAAACAGTAGTCATATAGAGATGTGTTCACAAATAGTAGTCATATAGAGGTGAGTTTATAAACAGTAGTCATATAGAGGTGAGTTTATAAACAGTAGTCATATAGAGGTGAGTTTATAAACAGTAGTCATATAGAGGTGAGTTTACAAACAGTGGTCATAAAGAGATGTGTTTACAAACAGTGGTCATATAGAGGTGAGTTTACAAACAGCAGTCATATAGAGGTGAGTTTACAAACAGCAGTCATATAGAGGTAAGTTTACAAACATAACAGTAGTCATATAGAGGTGAGTTTACAAACAGTAGTCATATAGAGATGTGTTTACAAACAGTAGTCATATAGAGGTGAGTTTACAAACAGTGGTCATATAGAGATGTGTTTACAAACAGTAGTCATATAGAGGTGAGTTTATAAACAGTGGTCATATAGAGATGTGTTTACAAACAGTGTTCATATAGAGGTGAGTTTACAAACAGTAGTCATATAGAGGTGAGTTTATAAACAGTAGTCATATAGAGGTGACTTTATAAACAGTAGTCATATAGAGGTGAGTTTATAAACAGTAGTCATATAGAGGTGAGTTTACAAACAGTAGTCATATAGAGGTGAGTTTACAAACAGTGGTCATAAAGAGATGTGTTCACAAATAGTAGTCATATAGAGGTGAGTTTATAAACAGTGGTCATATAGAGGTGAGTTTACAAACAGTGGTCATATAGAGATGTGTTTACAAACAGTGGTCATATAGAGGTGAGTTTACAAACAGTAGTCATATAGAGATGTGTTTACAAACAGTAGTCTTATAGAGGTGAGTTTACAAACAGTGGTCATATAGAGATGTGTTTACAAACAGTGTTCATATGGATCAAATTGTTACTTGCTTTCAATTTCATAATAATACATTTTAACCAATATGCCAATAACAAAATATTTGAATAAAAAGTAATAAATAAACACCTCATAAATTGTTGTTACAGATTTGATATATTTGTTAACAGATTAAAATAGCATATAGGTGAGATATATTAAAACATTGTATTTTTTTTAACTTTTAGGCATGCAGACTTGTATCTGGCTTACTGAATGAGCTTCCTTCTATCAAAAATGCTCGGAAACCAGCAAGAGACTTGTGGGAAACCAGTATGTAATTTAAAGCTTGACTTTTAGCTATATGTATTGTACTCCCCACTGAGTTAGCGTCACACTAAGTTTTTGTGTGCATGTTGGTTTCTTTAACACTTATAAAGGGAATGGGTTGAAACTTCACAGACTTGTTCTATGTGATTATTATCTAACATGGTTGGCAAAGATCCCATAACTCAAGAGTTACATTATAACAGAGTAATGCCCCTTTCCTTACTAACAGACACTGAAGATAGTGGAGCATGCTATCTTACAGTCAGCTTTTGTTTATATTCTTAATTGCTGTCAATATTTCCTTCTTTTTTCTATTTTTCTTTTTTTTTCTTTCATTTTTCATGCTGGTTATTACTTTCACTTTCAAGAAAAAGCGGAGCTATTATCATGATTTCTGTGGCACTGGCTAACCTTTTGGTTTTCATTTATGACCTTATGATTTTAAACTAAAGCTGCTTTTAGAGGCAAATTTTTATGTGTCTCCCACATTCAGTGTTATATTTCATTATCTACATGTGCAGTGTAAAAGCTGTTAAAAAATATAGTGTTTATTTGTTGTTTTTTAAATTCTGAAGAAATATTGGTTATAACTTTTTACTTAAATTCAAGGTGAGAAAAGACTGGTGATTTTATATCTGTCTTCTATTATTTCAGTTGTGACAATATACAGTACCAATGCTCAACATAAGAGAACATCTAGTGGCCGTGACAGTGCAATGTATCGTGACTCGCAGCTTGGCATCCTGCCAAGAGATTTCTTTAAAGTTTTTCTACAGAAGATTAAGGTAACATTTCCTGACATGCAATTACATTAAAAGTTTTTCATTATTAGATTTTTTCAAAATATTCATGGTGTAACATAGGGGTTTTTAATAGCCAAATCTTGCAGAATGGTGATAAAAGAATGAAAAAAGTTAATTTGTCAAAAATAAAATTGAAATTTTGTTTTGGATGGTACATCATTTTATGTTTGAAAATTGTTACATTATCGATGCATGTTTCAAACTTTGCATGATGAATTTTATCAAATCAAAGCAATGAATTTTAAAAAAGAAATAAATTATTTCTATAATATGTAATAAAGTTTTGTCACTATTTTTATATAGAACAAAAATGTTTTCTATGTATCACAGGTTGAATTTAATTGTTTTGATATCTGGAGAAAAAATAAACACAATAAAAAAACAACCAAGCTAAAAATGACACTTTTGTTTCAAAATCATTCTGAAATATGACATAATGTGTCACCTTAGTGCAATAGCGGGTTAAGTCCTTTTAAATCTAATAGGAGTTATATAGTTATTGCACTAGACAAAATGAAGTGATCTATTTCTAGTATGACTAAATAGGTAAAAAATGAAAACTTATTATAGTATTAATACAATAATTATAATAAATTATTACTTTTGTTTCAGGAACCATTAGCTTTAAGTGTGTTCATATCACTGATGACAAAGTTTTATAATATTCTCAAGGTGAGTTAGACCTTCATAAAAAAAAACCTTGTCATTTATATAAGTTATTGAAATCTGGATAACGTGTGATCCCTCGGAAGCATTAATCAAAACAAAATTACATGAGAAAAGCAGACAGATTGAGTCTGTACATTAGGGATAATGAAAAAATGCAACAGCCTTAACGCTCCTTAGTTGAAAGTTGTTTAACATGTTTGTAAGAAAGTGAGTTTTCTGTTGTTTTAAAGAATTAATGATTAAATAAACTTTTCCCAACAGTATATGGGATCTATAAAAAAAGACAAAGGTTTATTGTGAATATAACATGGAAAATTGAAAGTTTTCCCCTTAAATTGTGTGTATTGGCTGAATTTGGAAGAAAGTAGTTTGGCAAGACACTAGTGAAAAATGAAGAATATGTTTCACTGCAATGAAAAATAAATTATTATTATGCCCCCATTTCGAAGAAAAGGGGGTATATTGCTTTGCACTTGTCGGTCCGTCGGTCCGTCGGTCCGTAGACCAAATGGTTTCCGAGTGATAACTAAAGAACCCTTAGGCCTAGGAACTTCAAACTTGGTATGGTGATTGGTCATGACAAGTAGATGACCCCTATTGATTTTGGGGTCAAGGGGTCAAAGGTCAAGGTCACATTGACCTTGTAAGCAAAAACGGTTTCCGATCAATAACTAAAGAACCTTAAGGCCTAGGAACTTCAAACTTGGTATGGTGATTGGTCATGATCAGTAGATGACCCCTATTGATTTTGGGGTCAAGGGGTCAAAGGTCAAGGTCACATTGACCTTGTTAGGAAAAACGGTTTCCGATCAATAACTAAAGAACCTTAAGGCCTAGGAACTTCAAACTTGGTATGGTGATTGGTCATGATCAGTAGATGACCCCTATTGATTTTGGGTCAAGGGGTCAAAGGTCAAGGTCACATTGACCTTGTAAGCAAAAACGGTTTCCGATCAATAACTAAAGAACCTTTAGGCCTAGGAACTTCAAACTTGGTATGGTGATTGGTCATGATCAGTAGATGACCCCTATTGATTTTGGGGTCAAGGGGTCAAGGTCACATTGACCTTGTAAGCAAAAACGGTTTCCGATCAATAACTAAAGAACCTTTAGGCCTAGGAACTTCAAACTTGGTATGGTGATTGGTCATGATCAGTAGATGACCCCTATTGATTTTGGGGTCAAGGGGTCAAAGGTCAAGGTCACATTGACCTTGTAAGGAAAAACGGTTTCCGATCAATAACTAAAGAACCTTAAGGCCTAGGAACTTCAAACTTGGTATGGTGATTGGTCATGATCAGTAGATGACCCCTATTGATTTTGGGGTCAAGGGGTCAAAGGTCAAGGTCACATTGACCTTGTAAGGAAAAACAGTTTCCGATCAATAACTAAAGAACTTTTAGGCATAGGAACTTCAAAGTTGGTATGGTGATTGGCTATGACCAGCAGATGACCCCTATTGATTTTGGGGTTAAGGGGTCAAAGGTCAAGGTCACATTGACCTCTTAGGTAAAAACGGTTTCCGATCAATAACTAAAGAACCCTTAGGCCTAGGAACTTCAAACTTGGTATGGTGATTGGTCATGACCAGCGGATGACCCCTATAGATATTGGGGTTAAGGGGTCAAAGGGCAAGGTCACATTGACCTTGTAGGTAAAAATGCTTTCCAATCAATAACTTAAGAACCCTTAGGCCTAGGAACTTCAAACTTGGTATGGTGATTGGTCATGACCAGCAGATGACCTTTTGATTTTGGGGTCAAGGGGTCAAAGGTCAAGGTCACATTGACCTTGTAGGTAAAAACGGTTTCCGATCAATTAACTAAAAACGCTTAGGCCTAGGAACTTCAAACTTTGTATGATGATTGTTCGTGACCAGCAGATGACCCCTATTGAGTTTTGGGTCAAGGGGTCAAAGGTCAAGGTCACATTGACCTTGTAAGTAAAAACGGTTTCTGATCAATAACTTAAGAACGCTTAGGCCTAGGAACTTCAAACTTGGCATGGTGATTTGTCATGACCAGCAGATTACCCCTATTGATTTTGGGATCAAGGGGTCAAAGGTCAAGGTCACATTGACATTGTAAGTAAAAACGGTTTCTGATCAATAATTAAAGAACGCTTCGACCTAGGAACTTCAAACTTGGTATGGTGATTGGTCATGAGCAGCAGATGACCCCTATTGATTTTAGGGTCAAAGGTCAAGGTCGCATTGACCATGTATGTTAAAACGGTTTCCGATCAATAACTAAAGAACCCTTAGGCCTAGGAACTTCAAACTTGGTATAGTGATTGGTCATGACCAGCAGATGACCTATTGATTTTGGGGTCAAGTGGTCAAAGGTCAAGGTCACATTGACCTTGTAGGTAAAAACGGTTTCTGATCAATTAACTAAAAACGCTTAGGCCTAGGAACTTCAAACTTTGTATGATGATTGGTCGTGACCAGCAGATGACCCCTATTGAGTTTTGAGTCAAGGGGTCAAAGGTTAAGGTCATGACCAGTAGATACTTGATAACCCTTATTAATTGTTTGATCACTGGTTCAGAAGTCATGCATAATAACCTTATCACATGACTAATTGGCTGCTGATAGGGGGCATACATGTTTTACAAACATATCTTGTTTACAGTAAAAATATGGAAAATGAAAATATGCATTTTATTTCATCAATATTTCTCAATATTTTATATATAACTATATAATAAACTGATATTATTTATTTCTTTCCCCCTGATCTAGGATGATATAACAGTGGAAATATACAGTGACTACCTAGCCATCTGGCCATCGGCATTGCCCAAGTATGTTTTTAACAGTTTTGCTTTTGTAATTTTTTAGATTTTCTTTCAGTAAAGAAAGACTATTATGCACATATGTTAAAGTAAATTTGTCTATTGTAGTACAATGAAGAAAGTTAATATTGGAGATGCTTAGCAAGGTTATTAATTTGCACAGTTAAATTATTCCTTTACCTGCTGTATTTGTGTAAAGGATTTACTCTGCCTTAAATAAAAAAATAATTCACTTGCTGTTTCAAGAATTTTAGTATCTAAACACAAAAATCAAAGGTATACTATGCTCAAATTTGATAATAGAAAATATTGATAATTATCCCCCGCCGATGGAATCGGGAGGGGGATATTGTTTTGGCGTTGTCCGTCCGTCCTTCCGCACTCACAGGAGAGTAATTATGTGGCTAGAGGGACAATAGGTAACTGTTCTTTCTCTTTGATGTCATTCATTCCGTAATGCTTTTATGTGGCTATTTTCTTTTGTGTGGCTAAAAAGAACAATAGAGAGAACAATAGAGTAGCCACATAATTACTGTCCTGTGAGAACGTCCGTCCGTCCGTCCGTCTGTCCTTCCGTCCGTCCGAATTTCGTTTCCGGAGTAGTTCTCTGCAACTACTGGCTGGAATTCAACGAAACTTTATGGGAACCTTCAATACCAAGAGGAGATGCGCATATCGTCGGCTTGTTTGGGTCAGACACTTTAACTCAGAGTAATGGCCCTTAATTAGTTATGCAATATGCATATGGAGTAAAAATCCTTTCCGGAGTAGTTCTCTGCAACTACTGGCTGGAATTCAACGAAACTTTATGGGAATCATCAGTATCAAGAGGAGATGTGCATATCGTCGGCTTGTTCCGGTCAGACCCTTTAACTCAGAGTAATGGCCCTTGATTAGTTATGTAGTATGCATATAGAGTAAAAATCGTTTCCGCACTACTTCTCTGCAACTACTGGCTGGAATTCAACGAAACTTTATGGGCACCTTCAATACCAAGAGGAGATGTGCATATCTTCGGCTTGTTCGGGTCAGCGATTTAACTCAGAGTAATGGCCCTTGATTAGTTATGCAATATGCATATGGAGTAAAAATCATTTCCGGAGTAGTTCTCTGCAACTACTGGCTGGAATTCAACGAAACTTTATGGGAATCATCAATATCAAGAGGAGATGCGCATATCGTCGGCTTTTTCGGGTCAGACACTTTAACTCAGAGTTATGGCCCTTGATTAGTTATGCAGTATCCATATAGAAAAATATTTGTTTCCTCGCTACTTCTCTACTACTACTGGCTGGAATTCAATGAAACTTTATGGGATACTAAGAGGAGATGTGCATATAGTCGCCTTGTTCCAGTCAGATACTTATAACTCAGATTTATGGCCCTTGATTAGTCATGTAGTATGCATACATCTCATTGGCATTTCCAGATTTTACTATTTAACACAAAGTTATGGCTCTGTTATTGCCCTGAATATTTATCAAGTTCAAAGAATATTACTGTTTATGCCATGATTGATATATAAATAAAGCCTTATGTCTTCAGTTGTTGTGTTAATAAAAACCAGTACTCGGCGGGGGATATAAATTCAACGAATTTGCTTGTTGTTACATAGTCTCTTTCTAAATGTTGAATAAACATGATTTGACTTTACACAAATGTAGATATGTCAATGTTTAAAATCCTACATGCTATAGATGATCACAATATGTGTATAAAGTGTCATTAAAAAAACAAACTGGCAGTTTATCTAAGAAAAGGCCAACATTACTTCACCTGTGATACAGAACACAGCTTCCCAGTAAGAATTTCTTAGATTTCAATAAATTTCTGTGATTAAAATATTTGACGCAAGGATGAGCATAATATATCTTTAGGCTACCAACAGTATAGTCTTAGCTTGGTCAGACTACATGGATGTGCATGCTGGCCTGACTCTATACTGGTAGCAAAGGTTCATCAGTTTCCGTTCCAGCGGGTTAATAGTTAGGCTATTCATTAGTGTAACTTATACTATAGAGACTTTACTATTGATTCTTTGTATCTCAAATGTTAAGCACCAGTATTTGAACAATGGGAACTATAGAAAATACGTCAATTAAAAGTAAATCTGTCTTAAGTGATCAGCATAGAATATTTTGGCTAACGAAAATGGTGTCATAATTTTACTTTCACTTTAAATTATATGTATATTCACATATATACATGTATGTTTTTAGCCATAGCCACTTCTTGTTATTAGCTCACCAGAGCCGAAGGCTCAGGGTGAGCTATTAGTATCAAAGGGGGATGCTCCGGCGTCCGTCGTCCGTCGTCATGCGTCAACAATCGTCTTCTTCTCTGAAACTACTGGGCAGATTTACTTCAAATTTGGTCTGTAGCATCCTTGTGACAGTCACACTTGAATTTGCTCATGTCATTCCAATTGGCCCCTTTTAGGGGTCAGCAGAGCTAAAAATAGAAAAACCTTTAAACATCTTCTTCTACAGAACTAATTGATGGATGATCACCAAACTTTGTCTGTAGCATTCTTAGGTAGTCTTTTATCAAGTTTGCTCATATTAATTTGATTGGCCCCTTTAAGGGGCCGCTAAAGCTAAAAATAGAAATACCTTTAAACATCTTCTTCTACAGAACTAATTGATGGATGATCACCAAACTTTGTCTGTAGCATTCTTAGGTAGTCTTTTATCAAATTTGCTCATATTAATTTGATTGGCCCCTTTTAGGGGTCTCTAGGGCTAAAAATAGAAAAACCTTTAGACATCTTCTTCTACAGAACTAATTGATGGATGATCACCAAACTTTGTCTGTAGCATTCTTTGGTAGTCTTTTATCAAGTTTGCTCATATTAATTTGATTGGCCCCTTTTAGGGGTCTCTAGGGCTAAAAATAGAAAAACCTTTAGACATCTTCTTCTACAGAACTAATAGATGGATGATCACCAAACTTTGTCTGTAGCATTCTTGGGTAGTCTTTTATCAAGTTTGCTCATATTAATTTGATTGGCCCCTTTTAGGGGTCTCTAGGGCTAAAAATAGAAAAACCTTTAGACATCTTCTTCTACAGAACTAATAGATGGATGATCACCAAACTTTGTCTGTAGCATTCTTAGGTAGTCTTTTATCAAGTTTGCTCATATTAATTTGATTGGCCCCTTTTAGGGGCCGCTATAGCTAAAAATAGAAATACCTTTAAACGTCTGTTTCTACTGAACTAATTGATGGATGATCACCAAACTTTGTCTGTAGCATTCTTTGGAAGTCTTTTTTTCAAGTTTGCTCATATTAATTTCATTGGCCCCTTTAAGGGGTCTCTTGGGCTAAAAATAGAAAAACCTTTAGACATCTTCTTCTACAGCACTAATTGGTGGATGATCACCAAATTTTGTCTGTAGCATTCTTAGGTAGTCTTTTATTAAGTTTGCTCATATTAATTTGATTAACCCCTTTTAGGGGTCTCTAGGGCTAAAAATAGATAAACCTTTAAACATCTTCTTCTACAGAACTAATCGATGGATGATCACCAAACTTTGTCTGTTGCATTCTTAGGTAGTCTTTTATCAAGTTTGCTCATATGAATTTCATTGGCCCCTTTTAGGAGCTGCTAAAGCTAAAAATACAAAAAACTTTAGACATCTTCTTCTACAGAACTAATTGATGGATGATCACCAAACTTTGTCTATAGGATTCATAGGTAGTCTTTTATCACGTTTTGCTCATATTAATTTGATTGGCCCCTTTTAGGGGCCGCTATAGCTAAAAATAGAAAAACCTTTGAACATCATTTCCTTCTGAAATCACTTACTTTGTCTGTAGCACTCTTAGGTAGTCTTTTATCAAGTTTGTTCATATTTATTTGATTGGCCCCTTTTAGGGGCAGCTAAAGTTGAAAATAGAAATACCTTTTAACGTCTCCTTCTACAGAAGTAATGGATGGATGATCACCAAATTTTGTCTGTAGCATTCTTAGGTAGTCTTTTATCAAGTTTGTTCATATTAATTTGATTGGCCCCTTTAAGGGGCCGCTAAAGCTAAATATAGAAAAACCTTTGAACATCATCTCCTAATGAAATATTTGATGGATGATCACCAAACTTTGTCTGTAGCATTCTTAGGTAGTCTTTTATCAAGTTTGCTCATTAGTCATATTAATTTGATTGACCCTGTTTAAGCTAAAGCTTTAATTCCACAGGTCATGGCATTTCTTCAAATTATATAAGATATTCTATGCTCAAATTTAATATTAAAATATATTGACAATGGATACACAGTCTTTTTTTAAATATAGAATAAACGTGTTTTGACTTAACACAAAGAAGATATGTTATGTTTTAAACTCTTCACACTGTAGGAGGTCACAGTATAAATATAATGATTATATGTGTCATTAAAAAAACTTTTTTTTTTTTTTATAGAAAAGACCAACTTTACTTGGCCTATAATAGGATATGCAGCTTCCCATACACAGTTTATTCATTCTTTTATCCAAATTAGACATTTTCAGTAAGAATTTCATAAATTTCAATAAATTTCTATGATATAGGATATCTTTTCATAATGAAAGGGAAACATCTTATGTTGGAATGTGTACATAATGTTATTCAATTTTTCCAAAAGAGGTTCAATGCCTTGGAGAAAGTCTAAATGTCATGACCTGTTTATGATGTGTAATTAGAAATGGGACATTATATTCCACCATTGTAAGGTCAGTTGTAGGTCATTAACCAGGGGAAAAAAATAGGCCTAAAGAAACATTAAATTTGTTTCTCCTGTACCTGACTAACATAGATGAGTTTGTATGCTCAATTTTGTTATTGAATTTTGTTAAAAATTGTATTTTTTCATTTTTTTTCTTGAATTGGATTTAAACTTGGAAAAAGCACATTTCAATAAATTTTTGGACAGACTGTTGAACCTGAGTTTCATGTGCATAATTGAATTTTGGTATTAGTGGAACTGTTTTTGATATTTTTGAAACCATTGCACATATTTTCTTGTTTTTGATGTACAGAGACTTGAAATTTGGAATGATATACAGAGACTTGAAATTTGGACCAGGAATGTAATTTCTGATGCGAAATGAATTAAGATATCAACTGACTACTTTTGATATCATTATTTGATATTGTTTGACCTAGTTTATCGGTTTTTTTTTATGTACCTGCTGGAAATTTGGACAAGGGGTTTAATTTCTGATCCTGAATTGAATTTTGATATGAACTGGCCTACTTTTGTTATATTTCATATCGCTTTACCTACTTATGTACAGACTTGAAATTTGGACCAGGGGTGTAATTTGTGTAATTTTTGATGTTGAATTCAATTTTGATACATTGATTTGCATGTGACATTTTGTGTTTTCATTCAAAAAAGTTAAAAAACAAATTGTTTAGTCAAAATTAATCCTGCTCCAGTGGTCATTTATTCTGCATTTATTCTACATAGTCTCATAGGAACACACTTGCAACATACATATTTTTAACAAAGCCTTTCCAAAATATTAGGGCAAAATATTTCAATTTATATTGTGAATAATGAAATGATTGGTTAGATGAGTGATCTAGGGCCATCTTAGTGGCCCTATTTTTTATTATGAAGAAAAAAAGCTAAAACAATCAGTCTTGTGAAAGTATATTAACAGAGGGGCAAGTTAAAGGGGCAACATTTGCTGTCATGGCAGTGAGTATTTGTGGTTGTGACTAAAAAAGTCAGTGATGTTATAAATCCTGAACTATAAATAGCATGCAGTGTTAACCTGCAGAGAGAATGTAAACAAAAACAGCTGATTTTACACAAGAGGTTTAATGGATATGACATTATCAAGTCATCTTGTCCAGATATTATTTTTGAAGTCAGTTGTTTTTTTTCTTTTTTTTTCACTGGAATGCTTTATGTGTCCTTCATCAAGTCAGACAATTATATCAAAATCCAAAAGTATAATGTGCCTTACATGGGGCATTTCTTTTAGGAACAACCTGCTAAAAATGTTTTGACAGGAATTTAAAATATTTTTTAAAGTGTTAATGTTAAAATTTTATGCATATGCAACATTTTGTTTGATTAACATTTGTGAAATGTAATTTTTGACTACAAGATATTTACAACAAAATATAGAGTAAATGAAATATACCTGGAAGTTACTTTTACTGTTTTAATGAAGTTTAAACCATTCAAATACAAGTTAAATCAGTACTTTGAAATTTAAAAAAACCCATAGATTAATGGATTATTGTAAATTTCTTAGCAAGTCAGTAAAAGTTATTGTTTTATTCAGCATTCCAATGTGTCGTCTGCTGAAAATCTCCCTCCCTGAAATATACATTGTCTGCTACAAATCTCTCTCCCTGAAATAAACACTGCCACATGCTTCTGTTTACTACTGAAGGTTCATGACTGTAATGATCACATGGCTCCTCCCAGGGAAATTCAAATTTCAAATTTGACAGCCAGTACTTTTTTCCAGAAATACACTTAACAAAGTTATATTTTGAATAATTTTAGTCAATCTTTATCAAAAATATCTATGCCTACAAACATGCCAAGTGTTGTTTTAATGCATTTGGTAATTAATCTTAAATCTTTGAAAAAGGGTCCCTGAAGCGGAGCATGCATAAAATTAATAAGAAACCTGCCCTAGCGCCATCTGCTGGCTTTTATAGTCCAGTTGGGCCTTTAAAGTTTAGCTGAACTTGCCCAAAGAGCTGGACTTGCCTACAGCAAATTCTTTTAAAAAATAATAATTTCCAACACTGGAAAGCCGTTGTTTCTGGTGAGCGACTCAGGGCCATCATGGCCCTCTTGTATATCTTTGTAGTAAGCAAACTCTGTACAAAAACAACATCCAATTTATCATAGCTACAAGAGCAGCAAAAAATTTTAATTAGCTTTTAATCTATGAGTAATAATAAAATTGAAGACTTACAATATGTCAATTAGTATATTTATGAAAGTTATTTTCTATTATTTTAGTACAAGTGGTATACATGTAGGAGCAGTAGAGGAACATGTATCTGTGTTAATGCAACACGCCTTACAGAAAGATCCCTCCAACTCTTCCTGGCTTAGAACACAGGCGGATCTTCTCTATGGTTTGTAATAAATTGTCTCTTCCAACGCAAAGATTCCCTGCATTGGGTCTGTATTGATATGAGATAATGGGAAATGAAAAATTTGTTTTGTTAATGTAAGTTTGTAAGATGTACCAATGGTTCCCTAAAATTTCCTCCCTGTTTTTATGTCAACACCATTTCTGTATATATCACACAAAGTCTTGTCAGATGTTCGTTAAGAGTGAAAGCATATGGATATTTTTAAACATCATTCTGGCCACCCCTGGGTATTACAAAGCTATGAGACTATTATCAAGAGTATCTGTTTAATCAAGAGTCAAGACTGCATGTTTAAAGTTTGGAAATGCTGTTAGGTGCACTCAGAAAGCAAAATGGAAGAATATAATGATTTATGTATAATGATTCTCAATTTTTTTTTAATATATCATATAAAAATACAACCTGTTATTTAATTTTACCCATGAAATATGGTGCTATATCAGTCAAATATATTTCATATTTTTTAAAAATAAATATGAAATATAAATATGAAATGGGACGGGACGGCAAGTGAAAATATGTGAAAACATGTTTCGTGAAAATATATTCCATATTTCACTCAATCGAAAAAATATCCTCTTATTATTTTTTCTGCCAGAAACAAAAAATGTAAAATTGTAGCCCCATTAGAGTTTTGAATGTCCAAATCTACATGCATTTTTTTCTCCCATTGAAATAGATTTAAAAATAATTCAAATTGCTTTATACAACAAACATTTTCAAACATGATTACTTTATCTCAGTATTTTTTTGTACTTCACAGCTAACAACCAGTACTCTGCTGCTATGAAGTTCTATATGGAGGCTGGTATAGTGTCGTCAGAATTCTTCGCCAATGCTGTACCTAAAAGTATCTATGATGATAATGTATACAGAAAAATGATGAAATGTTGCTCATACCTACAGTGTCATACTCAGGTAATGTTTAGTATTAGTGACACACTAGGGTAATGTTTTGTGTCAGTGTCACACTCCAGTAATGTTCAGTGTCACAATTTTGTAGTGTTCGATGCCATACTTTGGTAATCTTCGATGTCACACTTTGGTAATCTTAAGTGACACAAAACCCTTGGAAATTAAAACATACCAGGTAGACATAACCAACCCTTAAATTTACCTAGGCAGCCAAAAGCCTATATTGAAATTTTTCTATGTAGATAAAACACATGTCTAAAAAATACTTATGAAATATATTGCTTTTAGCAAATTTGGCTGTCATATGACACTTGAGTGCCTTAGCTGTTTGATAGAGAATAGTATGAAGCGTGTTAGAATGAATTTTATTAACGAAAACCGGGTTATTGTAATGCCGAAGTGGGCAATAACTCAATAACTTTAGTTTGCTTTGGCCTATTGACACCAAAGTTGGTGTGTAGGTAGCTTATATCAGGAGGCAGCTTGGGATTGCTACCCAGGTGTCTGTAATCAAGGTCAAGGTCACTGTTACTAAAATAGAAATTCAGTTTCCACTCAATACTCAATAACTTGAGTTTGCTTTGGCCTATTGACACCAAACTTGGTGTATGGATAGGTTATATCAAGAGGCAGCTTGGGATTGCTACTCAGGTGTCTGTGATCTAGGTCAAGGTCACTGCTACTCAAAAATAGAAATTCAGTTTCTGCTCAATAACTTGAGTTTGCTTTGGCCTATTGACACCAAACTTGATGAATGGGTAGCTTATATCAAGAGGCAGCTTGGGATTGCTACCCAGGTGTCTGTGATCAAGGTTAATTTGTATTTAGTTTTCATGTTATAACTTGAGTTTGCTTTGACCTTTTGACACCAAACTTGCTGAGTGGCAGCTTTGGATTGCCACTTAGATATCTGGGAGCGAGGTCAAGGTAATATGCTTACAATAGAATTTTCAGCTTCTACTAAATAACTTCAGTGCACTTTGACCTATTGATTGCTGTCACATCAAAACTTGGTCGTTGAAAACCTGGTTTTCGTCGCATTGCGACGCTTCTTGTTCACAAAAATACAAATGCATATGAAATATATAGGAAAGTGGATTTTTTCTGCTCTGGAAATTTTAAGGATGGGTTTCTGTTGGCCTTTGTGAAATGTACTAGGTTTGCTATACAGTTTAGACTTTGTTGGGTTTCATTCTACATTATTTTATGAATTGTATTTGATATAGTTGATGCTTTTTTTTAAGGTATTGTGTAACTTTGAGTTAAATGTGTCTAAATATGAGATAATTTTTAGGTATCTTATTTCTGTCTATGAGTTACATGAAGTTTTCAGCAATATTCTATTGATATACTGTAAAAATCTATTTACAGGTGGCTGTATTGTGCCAGTTTCTAGATGAAATAGATTACTCCACTGCCTTCAAGGCATTGCAGGAGAAGAACACATACGATGCAATGGATTCTTACTATGTTTGTATCTGGGACATCAGCATACTTGAGTACCTTGTCCGTATCCTTTTATATTAGTTCATTATAATATCAAAACCCCTTTTTAGGGACTTAGACACTTTTAAAGTACTTTTAAAGTGATTTTAAATGACTGGATCCTAGGATGCTTGACTGGATCCTATGTGTCTTGACTGGATCGTAGGTGGCTTGACTGGACCCTAGGATGCTTTACTGGACCCTAGGATGCTTAAATGGATTCTAAGTGGCTTGACTAGATCCTAGGAGGATTAACTGAAATCCTAGGTGGCTTGACTGGATCCTAGAAAGCTTGACTGGATCCTAGATGGCTTGACTGGATCCTCGGCAGCTTGATTGGATCCTATGTAGTGTGACGGGATCCTAGGAAGCTTGACTGGATCCTAGGAAGCTTGACTGGATCCTAGGTGGCTTGACTGGATCCTAGGTAGCTTGACTGGATCCTAGGTGAATTGACTGGATACTAGGTTGCTTGACTGGATCCTAGGTGGTTTAACCAATAAATCACTAGTGTGGATTAAGGAAGCTAAGAGAGATTTTCATATCTTGTCTGATTCAAACCCACAACCTCTAGACAAGGAATCTATTGCCTTACCTCTTCATTGTCTTAAATGTTTCTATAAATAGAACTGGTTTAATAATTAATCAAGTAATATTTTGACTTTGTTCTTTTTGTATTTTATATTCTGTAATAATCAAAAATAGAATTACATTAGTCTTTCTGTCTGTCTGTCTGTCTGTCTGTCTATCTGTCATTTAACTGTTTATCAGAAATTAGAGTTTTACATTATATTATATCAAAATCTGTAGTATTCTTGAACATATAGCCAACCAAGCTGTTTATTAACATACTTTGGACTTAAAGGCAGGCAAAAGTACTATTTTATTCCTAAGTACTTCAGTAATTTGTGAACTAGGTAATCTAAAGGTCATGTGATTCATCAAATTTTTTTAATTTACCAGCGTGATTACAGTAGAATGTTAAAACATTTTTATCCTTGTTTTTGTCATTGAGAGCCTTTACATCAGCATTTCGACTAGTCATATAGATAACATAATCAAAACTTTAGTGGAATGTACTTGTGACTTAAATTATTTATTTCGTTTGACCTCGGTCCTAAATTAAGTAATTGCTAAAACATATATTCTTCTATTTTACTTTTGGTTTTGATCCTTTGTGTTGCTTCAAGCTTGTAACACCCCAGGTTAGACAAAATCATCTTTATTGTGTTGACGCTATATGACCTAAATTGTGTTGTTGCACCGTTAAACCAAACAAACAAAATTTTTTTTAAGTAGCCTAGGTTTTTTTCTCCCAGATTATGATCAAGATGAATTATGTTTACTATTCTTCTTCTTATTGATAGATCCTTACTTTGATCTTTTATTTGAATAACAATAGATTTAACCACAAACATTTATATGTGCTCTTTTGTTAACAAATATCTTGTGGTTAAAATTGTTATTGTATCTAATAATCTGATCATTAGAATTAGTCGGGTCAGGGGTATATGCATTGTTATACATTAAATCCTTACATCTTTGCAAAGATCTGCACACAAAAAGAGGAGAAATGGAGAAAAGACAGTCTGCAGTATGTATATTTTTATACAGATTTATCTTTTACTTAATATGCCCAAATTTTTTGTAATGTCACCTTCCACATGGTGCTTTCTGTTTGGATATCTACAGTGCAAGAGGTCGGTAGGTTAAAGGTCAGGGTCATGCCGAGATGCAGATGTTAAAGTGTCAAAAATGGCGTCTTTTTTTCATGTACATTTCAAAACTTGCAATTGCTGGGCAGAAGTGTTTACCATCTGAGATGATATGTCTCTTGAGGAGCATCCAGGTCCATAGGTTAAAGTCTTGTGGAGCATCCAGGTCCATAGGTTAAAGTCTTGTGGAGCATCCAGGTCCATAGGTTAAAGTCTTGTGGAGCATCCAGGTCCATAGGTTAAAGTCTTGTGGAGCATCCAGGTCCATAGGTTAAAGTCTTGTGGAGCATCCAGGTCCATAGGTTAAAGTCTTGTGGAGCATCCAGGTCCATAGGTTAAAGTCTTGTGGAGCATCCAGGTCCATAGGTTAAAGTCTTGTGGAGCATCCAGGTCCATAGGTTAAAGTCTTGTGGAGCATCCAGGTCCATAGGTTAAAGGTCATGGTCATCATGAACCGGTCAAAGGGTCATCAGCATTGATAGTGAATTGGTTTGTGTAAACTGTATAAATTTGACATTTTGCCATGGATTAAGAAGATTTTATGCTCTCAAAATTGGGCATATAGGAAAATGCATGTCTCGACCTTACTACGATCGTAACACAGATGTAAGACCATCATAGCTTTTTTTCTGATTGTCTCGAAGAGTTCGTAGTTTACGAAGCATAGTATACATATCGGAAAGTTAAGGTAAAAAAATCGACCTCAGTCTCGTAGCCTTGTTTCAGAGATTACATTTAGATATGTTATGTTTTTGTCATTTTTAGTCATTAGTACTACTTAAATTTGCAAGTCTAAAGAGGTAGTGATAAGCAGACCTTTAAATCATTTGTCCTTTTTGGATAGGATTCTAAAGAATGTGGCAGACATAAATATGCTTCAAACTCTAATGGTCATTTAAACTTCAACCTTAATACAAAAAAAAATAAAAAAATTTTGAAGTTAAATTAAAGGATCTGCTTATATTTTGAAAACTTGAAACGTTGGTATAGTGGAAATAATTGAAATGTTAGAAGACTTTTTTCAGGGCATATGTTGAAAACTTATTTAAAAATAAAAATATAATAACAAAATTTTTTGCTGGAATGCATTCATTTTTTGACAGTTTCTTTTATATACAAGACCTATTTTACATGTTGGAGAAATTATGTAAAGTTTGTAGATATATAACTTTGGATGGGGAAACAGACAAAAGGCCTACCAGACAAAATAGCCCTCCTGTCCAAAACTGACAAGGCCTACAAAAGCCCTCCCGTGAAAATGACAAGGCTGACAAAAGCCCTCCAGTGAAATTCACAGAACGGCTTTTGTCCGCCTTGTCATTTTTGGATGGAAGGGCTTTGTCTGGGAGGGCTTTTGTCCTACACTCCTTTGGATGTTGTATAATGATGCCAATTTATTTACTTATAGATGCGTGCATTAACTCAGTTAGATCTGAACAGTAACAACCCAGAGGATATCATACAGAGGGCCATACAGATCCGGAAACGTAAATTTCTACGTGCCATGGCTAAACAATATGTCTAAAGAGACCCTTGGTGGAACTTTAAACTCTGGACATGGATAATGGCTAAATAGCCTCGGATTATCTGATATTGCAAATCTGTTACTGTACAGCGTTTTAGTATATGGATACAAGGTGCATAACTCTCAATGTGGATGTTTGCTGACATTTTACTGAAGGAATCAGGAAGGCTTTCTGACTATTGTTAATGATTAGAGAAGTTATTTGTGAAGAAATTAAATTTCAGTTATTTGAACTGAAGAATATATTCATACATATATGGTGTATAAAGTTATATTTGGGAAAGAATATGTTTATTTCTCTGTTACTGGGGAAAATAGATCAGTGGTTGTAGACATAAATATTTGACTTTTGGAAATAATACAGCGGAACATGTATTGATAAATTGTGTGGATTTATGAATCTATCATAGGAAATAATAAAGCACAGTTTTTATTTCACTGTTTACAACTGAATGGGTTTATGAAAACTTGTTTGCAACTTTGTAGTAAGATTTTTGGGTCATAAGAGCAACCTTAGGAGTCTGCTGCTATAAATTTCAATATAATCTGCAATGTATGCAGACGATAAATTATCTTAATGGTGTATCTGAAAGCTTTAAAGTTCAATGTTCTTGATATTGTTTCAGTGTTCAATTGTTTTGAAATAGTGCTTAATTGTCTTTATATTTTCCATGATTTGCTATACATTTTGCAATATGGTAACTTAGTCTTTGAATGTTGGAAGTGATAATAATAGCCTGGGTTCCAGTCAGTCGATTTTTCATGTGCTTCTGTTCTATCAGAAATTTGGTTTAAACAATATTTATTTTCAATATATTGCTTACATAATGTAACAAAGTACACATAAATATTTACAGAGAGATTCAAAATTAAAACAAAATTACAATGTATACAGAAATTAATAAGTGTACTTAACATGTTATCTATAAGAATAGAAGAGAAAAGCTAGAAGCTTATGCTAAACCTCACTTCTGATGCTAAGCCTCGCTTCTGAAATTTAACGACCAGTAATAGTGACGACCAATAAAAGTGACGTGCTAATACAAAATAGCATGCATTTTATGAAATAGCCAAAAAATATTAATGACCGTGATACTAGTACTAGCAGTTACTTGACTTGGCTATCTGTATACAGTCAAGCTAGCTAAACTTGATTATTTTGATTGTTTATACTCCCATCGCATAATGTTGCGGGGGTATTCTCGAACTACATTTTCACTTTGCCCCCCCCCCTGTGTCTGCTCTGTAACTCCCTATATACCCCATGAATGATTTTCTTCATGTTAACTTCAACAAAGCCATGTGCATAAAGTGTGCTACCTCTATGCTTACTAAAGGTCAAGGTCAGCATGAATCAAAATGTCAAACTTCAGGCAAGTTTGTGCCTGCTTTATAAATCCTTTATAACCCCTGAAGGGTTTTCTTCAGACTTGGCTTTAATGTCACCTCATCAATGCAGTGTGTATGCCTATTTATTGCCCACTCAAGGTAAAGTCACATTTGAAAGTCAAACGTTAATTTTGTGGCTGGGTTATAAATTTTACACTTATTTGAACACGTTCTTTAAACTTGGCCTCAATGTTCACCTTTACAGATATTTGTAAATAGACCCATATAATATAGATTGTCATATATGATATTGGTTACTCCTGTGACAGCTGTTGTTGAAATTGATTCAACTTAACAACATAATAATGGATTTTCTCAATTTAACAAAATAAGTGAGATGATTGGGCATATCTGGAATATGGCCGATTTTTGTTTGTATAATCAGAAATTTAGATTTCCTGATGCAACTTAATGCTTTGACTTCGGACATAAACATTATGTCTTTTTATGTTACCATTTTAAAGAATGCATGTTTAAAAATAACACTTTTATCTAAAACAAGAAATAAAGGGAACCGGTCTACGCTTAGCTTTAGATCAATGTTGACTCGGACAAAGGACACGAAAGGTGTAAATATGAAAAATATAGTGTAACAATTTTGAGGGAAGAAAAAAAACAACTAAGAAGTAAATAATTATAAAACTTATATTTGTTACTACAACTATTTTGCGAAATTAATAGTCACATCATGAATATTTAAATTGTTTGCGTTTTTTTACTTGGTTAAAATTGAATTTAGTATGTCCAGGAAGTTAACAACTTGTGTCTGTAATTTTATTGTACGAAATGAATGTTCTATTCCATTTTCTGTGGCATTTGCATTGTATTTGTAATAAGTAACACTCGGTTTAGGGTCATTGACTATTGAAAAAAATCTTAAAGAATTCATTAATGCCCACCCATTGAAAGTTTGCATGCAACCACTGGAACTTTCATGGTAACTTTTTTTCTTCAAATTACCCTGCCATTCAACTTTCCTGCACGGCTCTTGTTTAACTAATCACTTGTAACAGTCAGTGTGGAGACAACTTCTGTTTCTTATTTTTGTTTTTGCGTAAAGAAATATTTATGTAATCTGTATTTCACATGTGTGGTTATCATGAACATTAAATATCAAAAAATTGTATACTAGTATTTGAAACTGATCGGATTCTTAAATAATAAATCTTATCATTATGTCTACATATAGTTAAAAATTTCTTATTCTATAGACCCATTTGAGAATGTCACAGATAAAAAAACTTTTGTCAATATTTGACATCTACGGGAGAATATAGCTGCTTGTAAATAATTTATTTTTCATTGGATTTTTTTGCAAATAGGCTTAAAACGTGACTTTATTTAATGTTTCCAGGTTCCGAAAAGTTATTTTAATATTATCTAAGGAATGAGACGCATAATTTCAAATATCCTATCCCTGTACAATATCTTCCGCATTCTTTTTTAAAAAAACTCATTTCAACGTTTTTTGGCCTGTAATTTAACAAAACGCATTAATAAATTTTATGCAAACACGCAGGTGAACCTCTACGGTGTATTTATACAAAGAGTTATTTGGGTGCATTTCAGTTCTTCACACTATATACGGGATAGTATGAAGAGATTTATTTGTACTTGGTGTTGACAAAGAGCTTCGCAGGCCTTCAGTATTTCATGAGCAAGAATAAAATTTCTCATATTCAAATTAAACCAGTTATTTTAATATCGAAATGTGAGTTCCTCAAGTAATCGTCTAAAGAAATAATGCAGAAAAGAAACGGTAGTAAGACAAAATGCCGCGGCAGCTAAAACGCCTATGCCTTGCACATGTTTCAAGCGGTAGCGCTATCTGGTAGATATTGACGTAAAACGAAAGCTTACATTTGGCAATTACTAATTTGAAAATGAAATCGGAGAAATAGGTATGTCACGGTAGCTCCGGAAAATGGCGATTTTATAAAAAATTCATAATAAATAATTCTAACATTATCGTAATTAATAGAGAGCACAAGCCACCGCACCTGTTAAAGCCCGTTGCCATTTAGCGGCCATGTTTTTTATGCTATCGCCATGTTATTTATAGTGCAGTTATAAAAGTGAAAATGCTTTAACTGTGACCAATCGGAAAAGAAACCGGACAAATGACTCAGTCCTGGTGTGCTCCGAAATATGGCGTATATTTTTAAAAAGTACATAGAATTTAGAAGACCGGGCTGAAACGCCTAAGACACGCGGATATCTGACGGTAATTTGCTCTTATATTGTAAAACAATATGATGCCCAGCTATTGTACTATCAAATGTACAATAAAATTGAACAATGGGTTAGCCAAGGTAAGCTCCAGAAATACGAAATGCCGCAGGGTTAATATACAAAAAAATCGCCGCACGAGGTATCGCCATTGGCACATTTGCATCTAACTCACATGTACGTTGAGCTTGCACCAGTTGCCTTACCTAACAAAAAGCTTCAATGTTCTCACATTGCCAAACTTATACCGAAACCGGAAAAATTGATGGCTCTCTTTGGGCTCCGATAGTTCTGTCCGACGTCCGTAGTTGAAGTTGGACGGAACAGGCCGAAAAGATGCGATTGAAGGACCACGAACAAAATAGTAAAAGTACACGGAAAGAATACAGTTATTCGGTTAAACCTATGCTAAGAAACTAACCAAGTAAACAAATAATAAGTATATGCAGTTATATTTCTTAGGCTAGCGTCTGTGACTGAGATTACCTTGACGATGGCTAGCTGTAAAGATCTGGCGGCCGTGTTACTTGGGCTACCGCCCAGATACATGAAATCGGCGCCGTGTCGCACTGGTTTTGGAATCAGAACAATGAGTAAGTCTTATTGGGCTCTCGAAAAGGGTGCTTTGACAAAATTTCGTAGAATTTATATACAGAAAGAGCAAAATCGGATCTTCAAAAAATGCCAGCTGAGGACCTGCCTTCAAGCCGTCTCTGTCTATAATTGACTCACTCACCCTATTACCTTTTGTCGTCCCTCCCAGTTTAAAGGTCGCTCGGTACCAGTCAGGACATATATATGTGCTCTTCTGGTTTTAGAGGTATGTAGAAAGCGTACCGAATAACGTAAATGTTAGTATAAATTATTCTACTAATCTTTTGCCAATGTCTTGTGCCTGTGGGACGTGCACGCTCTGGATTATGATGATTAGAGAGGGGGGATTTAAACTATATCGTTGTTCGCTTTTATACTTTTCTTCTGGTTTGCTTCTCTTTTTTATCTGATTGCTCAGTTCTATTAAGTTATATAGTTCTTTCGTTGTTCATTGATGTTCTATCTACCCACATGACATTATATTTCAATGTGTCATTTTCCGATGTGAATTGTACACAGTTTTATGACATGTATTTAATACTCAATCAACCTGTTTAAATAAGTACCCAAATGCACATTTCATGCACAGAATCGGGGAAAAAACACCGTACACACGGTACAACAAGAGTTTATTAAACAATTGATATGTCAGATTTTTATGGGGTTTCCTTTAATCAATATTTGTTAAGTGCTTGGCAAATTGCAAACTTGTAAAAGTTTAAGTCAGGTCAGAAATACTGTTTTAGTGAATATCAATTAACTTACTTTTTTTTACTTACAACAGAAATTTATTCACATAATTTAACCTTAAAATAAGCCAGATACTAGTATATATAAGTTAATAACACGTGAATAGCCCATCTCTGAAATATTCTGATCTTAATAGTTAAAAGGTAGGTAGACGTAGTAAAAGAATGATTCAATTTCACAGCGAATGTCTAGGTCAATTTCAAGCTCATCATTCGCTTTATTTATTTTAAAAGTGTATATAGACAGCCCTATGTCAGTACACATTACTCGCTGTGCAAAACATGATAAAATTGTTTGTTTAGTGTGTCAGAATAACTAAAAAGCTCTCGTTCAGATATCTTGGGACTTAATTGTGTGGGTCCTAGTAGAGATACAGGTCTACATGATTCTTAATTTGATGCTGATTGTACGAAGCCAAAATAAAGCGTAGATTGAAATACTCGTGTAAATTACCTTGTCCACCCAATTAGTTGCTGTGGGCAATTGATGAATAGATAAGATACTTTAAGCATCGATACATTTTCAGTTCAGTTCTATTGAGCAATTTCCCCGCTCCCTTTATTAGAAAAGTTCATACTAACAAAATTAAGTGTGTTTGGGTTCTGCTGGGCTCCTTGTCGGTGGTCCTGTGTTGCTGGGTCGTGTGGGGGTTGCGTTCATTGAGCGCCGCCCTTCCTTGTTGATATTGTTTTTCATATTTAAGTGTTTTTTGGCAGCTGCAAAATCAACCTGTAATTTATCTCGAAGTAAGTGATTTGTGTGTGTGTGTTTTTTAAGTTTATTTTCGCTCGACACCGAAAAAAACATATGTCCGAGATCTCAGCGTCCATGCCGGTCCACTTTAGAAGTCGCATCGAGGACGTCTTTTTCATGCCGATCTTCCTCATCCTGTACTTCGTTCGATGGAGGAAAGACAATACTGGAAAAGCACCAGGTTCCGTGACGGCAGCAAACAGGCGGTAAACATAAAACGGCTCTTGTTAGCGCCACCCTCTAGAGTGTGTCACGACAGGTCAACCAATCACCTCTGGTACTTGAGATGACTTAACCTTGACCTGCCGTGTGCCTTCTCCGCGACGTGCACGCCTCTGGAGGGATTTGGAGAAGTAATTTGTCTGGTCTTACAACACTTTTATAGCGCTGTTATTGTTGATGACTGAATATTGCTTTATCAGTACACTTGTCATAATTCAAAATGAACAGCTTCAATCAAGTCATGTCGGCAACTTTAACCGATATTTGTTTTTCAAAGCCGTTTAGAGGGTTTTCCTTTTTAAGAATGTTTATATTTTAAGAACTTATGCCCACTGCCTTCATCTAGATGCTTGTTTTTATTGTAGTCCAGGAACATTATTTTATCATTGATTCAATTGTTTGGTGTATTTGAGTGCCCCGGTTCTAGGTGTATTACAGACATTAATGACATTTTTCATTATTTTCAACCACTACGCTCTGGGGGAGTTTTCAGTTTTCCAAATATTTATACTTAGGTGTTAAAATGAGCCGCGTCATGACAAAACCAACGTTATGCGTTTGCGACCAGCATGGATCAAGACTGCAGTCTGATCAGGATCCATGCTGTTCGCTTACCAACTCTATTACAAGTAGAGAAACTGATAGCGTACAGCATGGATCCTGATCAGACTGCGCGGATGCGCAGGCTGGTCTGGATCCATGCTGGTCGCAAACTCAATATGTTGGTTTTGTCGTGACGCGGCTAAACTGTTGCTTCTTAAGACCTCACTGTACATTGTTACATGTTGTGGTAAATTGGAAATCATTGATTCCAAAACTTCTTCTCATGCTTATTTGAATTTAAGGATGTTGCCTTATCAACAAATAAGACCATACCGAGTCAGCTATTTAACCTCTTTCTTTTCTATTAATTCTTCATTAACATTCTTCCATTTATTTTTATTTACAGGTCTGTTTACCTTTACAAGTTGCCAAAAACTTTATATCATATTTATTCGATAGGATTACCAAATACTTTATATCATATTTATTCTATAGGACAACACATGAAATGACATCATTTTCACAATAACTTACATGAACCAAAACATAAATACGCATTGCCTGAAAATAAATAATTTGGTTTCTAAATCGAGCCACTGTAAAATATTAAATTTATTATGTTATAGCCATAGTTAGAGTAGAGTTTTTGATCTTACAAAAATCTTAAACTTGATAATGTTGAGCTTGCAAACAGCAGTGATTCTAGCGTATGTTTCATGTTGTGTTACACAAACACCAGTATATGTGAACACAAAGGTCGGAAATATCATGGGATTTCAAGAGCACATTTCTCTTGATGGAGAACAGAAAACAATTTCTAAATTTCTAAGTATACCGTTTGCCGAATCAACAGAAGGTCAAAACAGGTTTAGAAAACCGGTTCCGAAAGCTCCATTTAAAGGAACGTTTGACGCAAGTAAAGAACCAGCGGCTTGTTTACAGCAATCTCAACAGGATACTGCTTTATACAAAAATGTTTACGGCGTCTCTGAATTTTCCGAGGACTGTCTGACACTTAACATTTATGTTCCACATGAGCTTCGAGTCAACGACTTACGACCAGTGATGATTTGGGTGTATGGTGGGGGTTTCATTCAGGGAGCATCATCAGTTTACAAACCTGAAGCGTTAGCTATATTTGGAAACGTTATTGTTGTAACAATTAACTATCGTTTAGGAATGTTTGGTTTTTTACGCGACCCTAATGGTGTATTTCCGGGAAACCAAGGTCTTTGGGACCAGCATCTCGCTATAAAGTGGATACATAATCACATCGATAGTTTCTATGGGTACAAGAATGAAATAACAATATTCGGCCAATCAGCAGGAGGAGTGTCCGTTATATTTCAGGCTTTATATCCGGGAAACGCGGGACTATTCAAAAGGGTTATCTCAGAGAGTGGATCTGCAATCGCGCCATGGTCGGTAAAAAAAGCATCAAGTTTTGAAAGATATTTCTACGATCAAGGATGTGATCCTTCATCGAAGACATTAGCTACTTGCCTTCAATCAAAAACTCCAATATCACTACAATCAAATGCTACAAATTTTGGCCCGATTATAGATGGTGATTTTGTAGTTGCATCTCCCACCGACATTGTTAACGGCAACTCTACAAACACTGCTAGAGCTAGAGACTTCTTTGCTTCTTTGGATATTATTGTTGGTGCCAATGACAAAGATGGCGCTGGGTCTTACCTAACATATCAATACGTACTTAACCACTCTAATCTCGAATTTAATATATCGAAAGATGAATTCAGAAATACAGTTGTTCCAATAAATGTTGATAGCAACCTTTCCCCTGCAGACAACGACACAAGAAAGGCATTAGAAAAGATGTTGACATTTGCCTACACCGACTGGAATGACCCGGATAATTACGTCAGTATACGACAAAATGTTGTAGACATAACTACGGACGCTGCGTTCTTTTCACCGGCGTCTCGGACAGTAGCTGCACATGCCAGATTAAATGTCGGGAAGACGTTCCTGTATGAATTTGCAGTTCACACAAAAACACATTTTTCACCATTACCTTCCTGGATGAAAGGCAAGTAACATTATTTTTGCTTGAGATTATTTGCATATGCTAAAATATCTTCTTGTGTACAAAAGTTTATCAATCCACAAATGTAATGATTTTGAACCTTAAAAGACTAATAACCTTTATGGAACATGATATGTACATGTCGGTATAAAGTTAGTGGAGCTGTGACTATATGAAACATTTAATAATAGGCCTCCTAAAGTGGAAACAATTTCCTTTAGTAGGATAGTTTTTTTAAGATCAGTAACAATGAATTATTAACTATCTGCCGATGGGGGGCATGAATTAAAACCAGACTTTTCGGAATCTTAAATTGAGAAAGTTATCCGAAATACTTACAAAAGCTGCATGCTACTAGAATCGCGCGTACATTTTATTTGTCATTTGAAGATAAGACATGAAAACTTGATGTTATTCTATCACTTATAGTGTTGGAGATTGAATATTGTTTAAACCGACAGGGTGCATTTAATGTTGCACTTTTCAATATATTTTATGACCACACAAAATAGAGCCGAATCTCTAATAAATGTTAATGGCCTAATAATTTCAGAAGGTTTTCTTCTCATGAATTGAATTTTTATAAATTTAAACAAACAACATCCATTTTAAATTGCAGGATCTAATCATGGAGACGAAGTACAATTTGTTTTTGGATTTCCTTTGCGTTCAAATATATCGCTGGTTGGTATAAGCAATTTCAGCTATAGTTCGGAACAAATACAAGTCGCTCGTGCAACCATGGCAATGTGGTCAAACTTTGCTAAATCAGGGTAACAGTTGTTTAAAAACTTGTTCATGTGAGCTTTCAGGATTATCAATAATTTTGACCATTCTTTGTAAATATCGTCGTACACGATATTTTTTTAGAGAACAAGCAAAATATATGCTGCTCTTGAATTGTTTTACATATGCTTATGAACAGATAATGATCATAAATTATATAACGGGACAATGTTTTCTGTTTTCAGAGCACACATGCCTAAATCTATAGGAAAGTCACAAAAAAGTATTTCATTTGAAATAAGTTAAACGTAGATCTAATTTGTTTTCTAGAATTCAAGTTAAACTATTCTCGGAAAAGGTTGTTGACATTTTAAATTTTTACACAACTATTTAGTCGTATTCTAAATTGGAAAAGACGTTGATAGACGATGAATACTTTGGCGTATAAAAGTTTGCAAAAAGAGCATAAATCGTAGAATAACTTTGTGTTTATTTTTTTTTTTTACTTTTTGTATGTTACTAGTAAAAGTATTCTTAAATTTTTAGAAACCCGAACGTACCAATGGATATCACAAAATTCACGAACACCACGTGGCCAGCATATGATATGACGTCACAGCGTTATTTCCGGATTACCGATCAGATGTCGCCTGCATCAATCATAAGCGGATTCTACCGGAAGAGAATGGCTATATGGTCTGATATTATTCCAGAAATAGAAAAACGACATTGTCCTGACAAAAGGCAGCCAGATGTTTTTCATTATGACCCTTCTACAGAATTAGTTGGATGAGACAAAAGTAGAGATATGCCTTAATTGTGAAGGGGTCAAAATAATTTAGATTTTCTTTAAAATTATGAAGTTTTAGCATTATTGATCTTAAAATTGTGGAAGAAGAAGCGCAATATTGACATAATATTTTCTTAATTTGCTAAAAACAAAACATTTAGTTTAGGTATTGTATTATGAATTGTTTGAATAGCTCTGATTTCATCATGCTGTAAGTAACTTTGAATATTTTATAATATAAAAGTTGACATTCAAAATATGTTTTGTATTTTTTTGGAAATCCTCATTTGGTGTAGCAATCTAAAAAAATAATTTGATTAGAAGTTTAGAAGCTGACATTTGTCATTCTTCAATTTGCGAATTGTTATACGTTGCAAAAGTCATGTAGACAAATAACTTGCTTGTTCACGTTCTGAAAGATTCTTTTTAAACATAAAAGTGACACAGAAAATGATCTAAAACCTGATTCCACATCATAAGCACAGTTTCCGGACTTTTAGGGATTTAACAAAATTACAAAGCTTGTGAAGCTTGTAAGAACGATTGCTTATAAGTTAATAAAGAAAGAAGATTACAGCTTAAATTGAAATTAACTATTTTGCTACTTTTTAATAACGATAAAAATTCTTCTCATCTGAAAATGAGCACATGTACGGGCTTGCTGAATATAAAAAAATTGGCAACAAAAATCATTTAAAAAAAAGAAAAAATAATTAAATTAAAATTAAATTAAATAAAAACAAGCAAACAAATTGAAAACACCCAATTATTACACTTCTAAGTTGTAAGCATTTATTGTTGCAGGCACATGCGCGCTTGTAATTTTATTTGTATTTGTAAGTGCATGCAAGTGTTTGTTTTTCATTTTTTATTAATCTTTTCCATAAATAAATGAATGTGAAAGAAAAAAATGAAGCAATGTTTTTGGGTGTTTTTTCTGTACTCGTGAACAGGAGACATTTTAGCTCGACTATCCGAAAAATATGAAGAACAATTTTACTCACCCAGGCGCCGGTGTCGATGTCGCCGTCATATTTGGTTAAGATATGCGTTGTAACTTCACACTCTTATTTAAGACCGTTACAGACGGACACTGACAAAAGCCCATATTCTAACATGAGTTTGACAGAATTATGGCCATAAATGATGTTAAAACACTATCTAGGTTCTTGTTTTACTATCAAGCACTGAGAATAGTCGAGCATGATATCCTACTGACAGCTTTTGGTAGAGATGAAGCCAGTTCTTTAAGGGGTAAAATATACTCGAATGCTCTAAATTAAGTAGTAGTACTGCTACACCCCCCAAAAAAAAAAAACAAAAAAAAAAACAATAAATAAAAAAAACAAAACACAACAACAACAGGAAAGACATTTCACATTATTTACGTTTTGCTTTATTATTTCCGGTACATGAGTTTGAATGTGTGCACATAAGGTACACCACATTTAGCTCAATAGGTAGGTGTTGGACTGTGAATCGGGCGACAAGGGTATGATTTCTGGACGATGCAGGTCACTTTCATTGTGATTGATCATGAAATCCTTTCTACGGTCTTTCGCACTCTACTTCTGCTCTGACATGTACAGAACTTTCAAGTTCCTTGTGAAAGTGAAGGCAACTAGTACTGGTAAACTGCTTGACAGCTTGCCCAGTATCAATGCAATGGCTGATCTGCTCTGGAATTTTCAATGTGACTTACTGCCGTGATCCGGATTGAAAATGCCAATACTTCCACCACCACACATTTGTATTGAGAAAATTTCGTTTGCCGTTTGAATGGAGAACAGTTTGTCTCACCTGTTCATTTCCATTTGTTAAAAGGATATAGAGAGACCAATAAAATCTTTCCTTCTACAAAAACCGATCTCTTTTAGTCTCAAATGAAGTTAATTCAAGTTAATAGCTCAACAAGTTTTAGTTCGTATGTAAACGTTATATTGTATCCTATTTTATAAATGAGCGATAATTTAAAAGGTGTTACGTTTTAACGTTGTGTTGAAATACTGGTGTTAGTTACAGGTTCTCTTTTATTAATTTTAATATCCTTTTATTTCGTTAAAGTAATACAATGTACATGTATATTGTTTACATTTGGTTACTTTAATGACACATTCTTTCATATTCAGGACTAATTTCTTCAGGTGATCAGCATCTAACATGCTCTAAAATAATTATTTTAATGTTATAGAACTAATGTTTACAAACAAATAATTTAAGATGCCTAATGTGCAGTTAAGCCAGTTCTGGTTGAAAAAAAGATGATCTACAGTTAATTTTCTCTCACGAACACCTAGTTTGCAACTTTTATCTGTCCAGTTTGGTTTTTCTTTGGTTGATAGCTCTCATTTGTCTAGAATTTCTAGAAAATGTTGTGTTTTATTTATGAAAGTTTGAGCATAAATTCGCAGATCTATCAGCAGAATTATTTCTCTTTCATGGGCCTTGTTTTACAACTTAACCAAAATATGACCGATTGTGCTGTCTCCATGGCAGCTCCTGTCATTCTTGTTTTATGCCCCAGGGGCTTTTACTTTTCTTAAACATTTTATTTTAATTTTAAAATTATTGTAATAGATGTGTATTGATAAATTATGACTACCTAAATCATTAGTTTTTGTACATTGAACGTTTATATATATAAATATAATTTGTGTAAATTTCCTGCAGATATACTTCACAGTCGATCCTGTGCCATTTTGAATGAAAGAATATTATTTCATTTTGCATTTTAAAAAGTCACAAGTTGTTCTTTATATATTGATTACATTACACTTATTCGTTTGGGGCTTTTCCACTTGTTTTTGTCTGTATAATTTTACTCAAAATCCCTTATATACGAGCTCGTATATAGCAAATTGTAGAAGTGATATGCTTTGACAAAAGTTTGAGTCACAGCAATCGGATCACCTCAACCCTGAAACATCTTTAACCATCTATTTAGAACCTTAAAAGGCGTTTTGTTTGGCTAGGAATGGTTAACACTACATATTTGATATAACGTAAGGTATGACAGATGATAAGCTAAGACGTATTTAAGTTTTTAAAAATAAATAAAGGTGTATTTAAAATTGTCGTCTGCTCTGATACGCGCTTTTTCACGTACGCTTTGTCAGACTTATTTTAGGGCGATTTTGAGCACAGCGATAATCTAGGTTAAATTTCAGCACATTATTGCTTTGTTTTTTATATAGACGGTGTAATGTCGAGTACAATCTAAGTTGTGTGCCAGATATTGCCCTTAAGGGTAAAAAGTTGTTAGCTTCTCGTAACAGAAGAAATGAGGTGCATTCTTTCATTTATCTTAAAAAATATACGTCTATATTTAATTTATTTTCTCCTTTTTCTTTTTTTAATGTTGATGAGATACCTTTTTCTGGATCATTATACCTGTATGGGTTATAAGTATTGTTAACTGGCGTAATATAAACTCGATATGAATCATGCTGAAAGATGAGATAGACATAACATTAAATGACATCATTTTCATATTTAATTACGTAAACCAAAACGTAAAGACGCGTTGCCTGACATAAATAGTTTGGTCACTAAGTCGAGCCACTATAAAAGTTTAAAACTGGTTAAGTTATAGGATACAAAATATAGTTTTGCTCACAAAAGCTTAGAAATGTGGAGCTTGCAAACAACAGTGATCCTAACATGCGTTTCATTTTGTATTACACAAACACCAGTTTATGTGGACACAAAGGTCGGAAGAATTATGGGATTTCAAGAACATATTACTCTTGACAGAGAACAGAAATCAATTTCTAAATTTCTTGGTATTCCATTTGCCGAATCGACAGGAGGACAAAACAGGTTTAGAAAACCGGTTCCAAAAGCTCCATTTAATGGAACGTTTGACGCAAGTAAAGATGCAGTGGCTTGTTACCAGCAATCTGAGCAAATGAATGCTCAATACAAAAGTTACGGCGTATCCGGATTTTCCGAAGATTGTCTGACACTGAACATTTATGTTCCAAATGAGCTTCGAGCCAACGACTTACGACCAGTTATGATTTGGGTGTATGGTGGGGGTTTTGTCCAAGGTGCATCAACAGCATACAAACCTGAAGCGTTAGCCTTATTTGGAAACGTCATAGTTGTAACCATTAACTACCGTATAGGTATGCTTGGATTTTTACGAGACCCAAACGGTGTATTCCCAGGAAACCAAGGTCTCTGGGACCAACAACTTGCTTTTAAATGGGTTCATGATCATATCGATAGTTTCTTTGGTTATAAGGATGAAATCACAATATTTGGTCAATCCGCCGGCGCGGGTTCCGTTATGTTGCAAGCTTTATATCCGGGAAACGAGGGCTTATTTAAAAGGGTTATCGCAGAGAGTGGTTCTGCACTAGCTCCTTGGTCAATATATAAAGCATCAATTTACGATGGATATATACGTGAGCAAGGTTGTGATCCTACTTCGAAGACATTGGTTACTTGTCTACAATCAAGGACTCTGATATCATTACAATCTAATATGACAAGCATTGGCCCGGTTGTAGACGGCGACTTATTAGTTGCATCTCCCATTGAGATAATGACCGGAACCTCTACAAAAACTGCTAGAGCCAGAAACTTCTTCGCTTCTTTGGACATAATTATTGGCTGTAATGATAAGGAAGGCGCCGGATATTTCTTTTTGTATCAATACGCACTTAATCACTCTAATCTTAACTTCAATATCTCGCTTGACGAATTTAGAAATACTGTGGTTCCAATTAATATTGATCAGACATTTTCCAAAGAAGACAACGACACAAAGGTCGCATTAAAAAAGCTTTTGACATTTTCATACACTGACTGGAATGACCCGAATAATTATGTCAGTTTACGACAGAATGCAATGGATATACCTTCCGACGCTATAATGTTTTCACCAGCGTCCATAACAGTACAAGCGCATGCCAGATTAAATGTAGGAAAGGTGTACTTGTACGAGTTCGCAGTGCAGACAAAAACACATTATGTACCCGTATCTTCATGGTTGAAAGGCAAGTTTGTTTACAATTTATCTAAGATATATATGTGTAATATATTATAATTGTTTATCTAAGCGTACAGAACAATACATAGATAGATTTTGTTACTTGTACACATGAAAAGACAGCCTTAACCGGGCGAAACAATTGTATGCTTCATAACAAATATTGCCAAGCTAAACTTGTCTGTTTGTAAATGTAATTAATTTTGAAAATTTAAGAAAGCCAAATAGGAAAAATAGATTCTGTCATGTTGTAATTATATTGCTACTCGTCCCTTAAATAATGCAACAATTACTTGTCCTCTTCGCCTGCCACTTAAAAATAAAAGTTGCGACGACGACGTAAATCTGCTGTGATAAGCCGCTGTTTCAGTCAGATATTCTTTTATACTTTATGACTAGTTGAACATTAAAATTGTTACAGGATCTAACCATGGGGACGATCTACAGTTTGTATTCGGATTACCATTGCGTGAAAATATATCTATGATTGGTATCAGCGATTATAACTTTAGTCCGGAGCAAAAGCAAGTCGCCCGAGCTATGATGGCTATGTGGTCAAACTTTGCTAGATCAGGGTAAGATAATGTCTATGTGTATAAATGTGTCAAACCTGTCAATGTAAGCGTGCAGAAACGTTAAATATTTGACAATGCATTATGTATTATAACATTTCCTTTAATTACAATGCCAGTCCAATAAATGTATGCTATTCGTAAGGGTTTTAATAGCCATGGCAACTTTAATTTTTTCAGTCATAAACATGTTTTCTTTCTCTGTCTTTCGACAGCAAATCGTATTTTGTAACAAATTTCGATTTCTGAGTTGTATGTAGATAAAATACAGAGCAATATTTGTACAATCTTAAATAGAAACGTAATGTGTCTCATTGGAGATTCCATTTTCATATCCGTACGAAACTATCTGCTGATGTTTATACATTTCACCATATCCATTTATAAAATGTAAATTATGTGTTGCTTCAGGTTGTAGTTGGTAGCTTGCAATCACTACTACGTACAATAAAACAGAGCTTGTAATTGCTCAAACCAAGCCTGCAACATTTTCAACATTTTTTGCCGTTTTGGATGATCTTTAGGGTTTCGTTTTATTGAAACTTATTCTAAATTCCATACAAATATCAAGTTCATGTACTTCTTCAAAGTTTCATACAGGAGACTTATTTATACATGTAGTTTGTTACAAAATACTAGGGCAGTTCTTATTGCAAAACAATTAGTCATTATGACACAAAATCTATATTTGATAATACTGTCATGCGATGGCATTTATGACATGGCCTCCCTTCTTTTTACAGAAACCCAAATTTACCCATGGATATCACGAAGTTCACGAACACCACGTGGCCAGCGTATGATATGACGTCACAACGATATTTCCGGATATCCGATCAGATGTCTCCTGCATCAATCATAGAGAAATTCTACCCGAGGAGAATGGCATTATGGTCTGACCTAATTCCAGAAATAAGAAGACAACATTGTCCTATTAAAAATCAACCAGACATTTTCCATTTTGATCCATCTACAGAGTTAGTCGGATAAAAGGCTAATGCACAAAACCCATAAATAGATTACTACAAATACATATACAAAGATCTTTATTATTTTGGTTCTTATTTTCGCAGTAAGTTATATATCAAATGAAAAAAAAATGAAACATCTTCTAAGCAACCGTGTGTAAGCGATAGCTCCTCAAGTCTGTAAAAATATAACATCACTATTACAGTTGCCCTTCAGCTCTTATCAACTGTTGTTGTAAGTACAAGGGTCAAACTAAATTTGCGCGGTCATAGTAGGCTATGCACTTACATAAAAAAACATCAAGTCTGTCGTCTTTTTGATTGTTGTCATGTGAACAGTAATATTAATTTAAAATGCTCGATTGTTTAAAACATTACTTACAAAAATTGCACACTTAGATTTAGAGTTCAAATTTTTCGTTACTTGACGACGAGCACTTACATTAAACGACAATAAAATGTATGACTAAGCCTTTAAATATTTCCGTTGTTATTACTCATTCGATTATAATGTCTATTTATAAAATGAGACTTGTAAGGGAAATATAATCATTTAACCCAGAGAGACAGAGAATGACAGAGGCCAAACCAGCGCCTCTTAGTTATCATTTGTAAAATCAAACTGCATTCAACAGAAAGAGCGAAGAAACTTTCACTTATCATACAAAGCCAACTAGAAAGAAACGATAGGAAAGACTTAATGCTAATTAATATAATATAATGTTTTGTAGAAATATTTTATAATGAAATTAATTGTTTTTAAAGTTGTTATCTAAATATTGTTTTATCAACATTCTTTGCTTCAATTAGATTATAATTCCGTTACTTTAAAGCAATCATCAATTAATTATATATTACATTAGATAAATCGGTATTAAATTAATTAATTACCGATTTATCTAATGTAATTTTATTTAATGATTACTTTAAAGTTATTATTATTGTAAAAATAAGTTCTATGTAGAGATTACAGACGGGTTGATACTAGCTTTTGTCTCAGCAAAGGCTAAAACGTCTGTACATTAATTAAATGATAACAACTTAGTTACATCAAATTAATTATTAATTAAATGTCTATATATTTTATTTCGAAATTCAGCCGGGTTAATTCTAGCTTTTGTCTTAGCTATGTCACAACCACTTGTAAGAACAATAACAAAAAATTCTGGCATTTGTCGTCTCTTGTTTTCACATACAAACAAGCATATAAGGGCAGGCACACATCTTGGTTTGACTTTTCGCGTTTGATTGTATCTAGATATTTGGTGACTTTAGTTGAAATAAAATTCGTCACTTGTGTCATAATGATATGCCTATATTAATACATAAAGGTAGTGATGTACTTGAAACAAATTATGGGTCTCTAGTGCCAAGGTAACCGTTGCCGCATAAAGCCTGTGTTTATACGTTTGCTCACACAACTGATACATTTTATATTTAATAGTTACACACCTTGCGTGGTCTTCAAGCAGAGTTTAATAACTATATTATTTCTGTTTTCCTTCCGTTTGACAAATAAACTATCATTTATAAGCAGGGGTTATTTTCCGAAATCAAATACTAGTAGTGTTTGTGCGCTCGTGCATGAGAACAGATCTCTGTGTCTATATTTGGTAACGAATGTCTCGAAAAATAGGAGATCGCTAAGATAAAGCCATTTACAAGACTTGTATTAGAAATGCTGCTGCCGAAAAAGGACCAAAAAACTAAAATACGAGTTCTACAAAAGAAGGAGATCGAATCATATTTGAAACAAAAAAGTTTTATCTTTGATACATTGCCATAAATTATTGTGCTTACTGAGTTATTCACAGTGAAATTGTAAAAAAATGATTTAAAAGTATCTTTTTGCATATTTTGACCTCTTTTTCGGTAATAAACGTGCATAATAAGTGGCGTTAGTTACTTAGTCTGCCGTATTGTAAGTCCTTTTGCACTTGTACATTAAATCCTTCAAACTATTTCTCTGGTCTTATTGCCATATTCGCATATATATGTGGGGGAAAGTGGGGTTCATGTATTCAGGCATATATAAAGTTTGTTGTTTTATTTCTTTTCAGTTTGATTGAACAGAAACGAGGACATATCACCTGAGCTTTTATCATATCATTACGTGATGTACTCGAAAATTACTTTAATGATAAGGGTTATTAATAAATACACATTTCTTTTATATGTTGTCGCCGGCTTGTTATAGCAATACATAACACAAATAGTGCAGCAAATTCCTACGGAAAACCAAAGTAAACGTACCGGTAGTACCGAGCACTCTATGGCACCAAGAAATGAACGCATGGCATTTCATAAGGAACATACATATATAGAGTAATAACATAATGGTAAGCAAATAATATTTTACTATACAATATTTGCCATGTTTGACAACTTTATCAAAAAATAAGCACGACCTTAAATAACTCGGTTTCTATAACAAAATAATCTTGTACCTTGCCAAATCTTAGTTTAAAGGTATAAGAAATGATTTTAATATCGAGTTGCCGTTGCTTCAGTTCCATTAGAATAGAACGGAGCGTAACAAAATGTTCAACTTGCAGATACTAGAGTTTTTAGCGTTCGTTTCAATTTGCGTTACACAAACACCAGTATATGTGAACACAAAGGTCGGAAATATCATGGGATTTCAGGAGCACATTTCTCTTGATGGAGAACAGAAATTAATTTCTAAATTTCTTGGTATTCCATTCGCCGAAACAACAGGGGGCGAAAACAGGTTTAGAAAACCGGTTCCGAAAGCTCCATTTAAAGGAACGTTTGACGCTCGTAAAGAACCAGCAGCTTGTTATCAGCAAACTCAACAGGACAGTGATTTATACAAAAGTTACGGAGTATCCGAATTTTCTGAGGACTGTCTGACACTTAACATTTATGTTCCACACGATCTTCGAGCCAACGACCTACGACCTGTTATGATTTGGGTGTATGGTGGAGGTTTCACTCAGGGGGCATCATCAATTTACAAACCTGAAGCGTTAGCCCTGTTTGGAAATGTAATCGTTGTAACAATTAACTATCGTATAGGCATGTTTGGCTTTTTACGTGACCAAAACGGCGTCTTTCCCGGAAACCAAGGTCTCTGGGATCAGCATCTTGCTATCAAATGGGTTCATGATCATATTGATAGTTTCTTTGGTTATAAGGATGAAATAACAATATTCGGCGAATCTGCGGGCGGTGCCTCCGTTATCTTTCAGGCTTTATATCCTGGAAATGAGGGACTATTCAAAAGAGTAATAGCAGAGAGTGGATCTGCAATCGCGCCTTGGGCCATAAATAAAGTATCAAGTTTCGAAAGATATTTCTACAATCAAGGCTGTGAGCCATCTTCACAAATATTTTCTACTTGTCTGCAATCCAAAACTCCAATATCACTGCAATCAAATGATACAAGTTTTGGCCCAGTTATAGACGGCGATTTTGTCATCGCATCTCCAATCGACATTGTAAACGGGAACTCTTTTGAAACTGCCAGAGCAAGAGACTTCTTTGCTTCTTTGGATATTATGGTAGGTGCCAACGACAAAGATGGTGCCGCGTTTTTCTTTTACTATCAAGACGCACTAAACCACTCAAATCTTGAATTTGATATAACAAAAGAAGAATTCAGAAATACTGTTGTTCCAATAACTATTAATAAAACCCCCCTTTCTGTAGACCACGACGCAAAAGTCGCATTAGAAAAAGTTTTGATTTTTTCCTATACCGACTGGAATGATCCGGATAACAATGCCAGTATATGGAAACATGTGACAGATATGAATACTGACGCAGCGTTCTTTTCACCGGCGTCTCAGACAGTAGATGCACATGTCAGATTAAATGTAGGGAAGACGTACCTGTACGAGTTTGCCGTTCAAACAAGACAAAATTACATACCCTTACCTTCATGGATGAAAGGCAAGTCTGCATTTCAATTATATGATATGTTTGTAGATGCATCAAGATAGATTATTTATATTTCTTGTTTGCCTTTGATTATGAAACAAAATAATATTATCCGGAAATATTCTTTAAATCACCATACATTTCGTTTTGTGGAATGATATTGCGTGCAAGTTGCATAAATAAAACACGCACCTTTGGATTTTTTTAACAATATAACTTACAGCATTTAACTTCAAACGATCTTTAAATTTCACATTGGAAACTTACCCCAGAAAGTATGATATATTTCCAGCACTTTTAGTTGTAGAACTTAAATACTGTTTTGGGAATATGTGATGTTGTATCTGTCAATAATTTTAATGAAGATACTGAATAAGATCGAGTCTCCAACTTATTTTGTTGCTTTTATTACTTCAGAGGGATCTCGTTCTTTGATATTTTTTATAAAACAGAACCAGTAAAAGTACATTTATGTTACATTGCAGGATCTAATCATGGAGACGAACTACAATTTGTGTTTGGATTGCCTTTGCGTGTAAATTTATCAATGGCTGGTATGAGCAATTTTAGCTATAGTTCGGAGCAAGAACAGGTCGCTCGTGCAACTATGGCGATGTGGTCGAACTTTGCTAAATCAGGGTAACCATTTTTTTAAGCTATATTTTTCTGTTCATGAACTTAAAACTCACAGCTTTCAGGATTTTCGAGAATTTGAGAATGTTGAAAAATTCCATGGCCATTTGGTCGTAGTCGTACACAATGCTGTAAAACATATTTGTTTTCAATTTTATTCCAGTAGTATAACCAAATGGCAAATGCATGCACCCCTAGAAATTTTTCAAATACATCTATGGTCATTGAAAGAAAACAAGAATAAGAGTAATTTTAGATCATACATCGGAACCATGTTTTCTGTATCGTCTCTGATCATGCGTATTTCTGCAGGAATGTTCAATTGACAGTATTTGATTAAAATGATTTAAACGAAGTGTGTTTTGAGAACTAAATATAATTAAGGAATTGTCGCTGACATTATGAATTTTCACACCTTATCTACATGAAATATTTACAAATTGTAAGTGTTACAGAAAAGGGTGTTCAGTAACATATCATTCTGAACATTGACGTACAAAACATTACAATTATAGAGTAACATTGTGTTTGAGAAATACAATAAAATTGAGTAAATAAACACATAATAAAAAATTATGTTACTAATGATACAGTTTCCTTATAACTTTAGAAACCCGAACTTACCAATCGATATCACAAAATTCATGAACACCACGTGGCCAGCGTATGATATGACGTCACAACGATATTTCCGGATATCCGATCAGATGTCTCCAGCATCAATCATGGAAGGATTCTATCCCGAGAGAATGGCTTTATGGTCTGAAGTTATTCCAGAAATAATTAAACAACATTGTCCTAACAAAAAGCAACAAGACATTTTCCACTTTGATCCTTCCGCAGAGTTAGTTGGATGAGAAAAACAAATGTAGAGACAATTACGCGAAGAATTCACTAGTTCACGTTTCAAAATTTGGATTATTTCACTTACTTTTAAGTACATTTTTGATATTGTATGTTAATGTTTCATATTTCAATCATACTTGACTTGTATAACAATTTAACACAAATTTAATTGCTAAATAGACTTCTACAAATAAAGAGACATATTATATACGTTAGTACAACGTGCAAAGTATTTCATTATGAGAACTCATTTTTTTGCTTCGTCTCTATAAATCTTAACATGTGTATCGATAAATTTTAGTATACATTTAAAGTCACATAAACTGAAATTTCCGTGACCTTAATTAACGAGATATCAATGTTAGTGTAAATGTGTGAGCGTTAGTCAGAGCAGCTTCAACATGGTAACTTCATTTAACGTGAATTTGCTTTTGATAAGCCATATATTTCGCTGTTTTATGTTTATGTTTTATGCGTCATAAATATACGAGTTTACTAGCATAAAAATACTTCCCGTAATAAAACGCATATAAACTTTATCTGTCATATGTTTTGGTTGGATTTAATGTCTTACCAACACTGTACAGGTCATATGGCGACTTTCCAGGTTTACTTTAGCGTAAACTTAGGTGCCTAATTATTTAAGCACCTGAACAGAATCACAGACGTTTCATAAGCTAGCTAGATAGCTTCATCACATGAAAGGATCCAAAGTCCCTTGCGGGAATCGAACCCACGGCAGTGAGTGGCAAGTGGTTTTAAGTCCACGACCTTAACCACTCGGCCACTGACGCCCATTTTTATTTCATGCATGTAAGGTTAAGGTTAGTATAACAAACTAAGTCGCAACGCTACAAACGAGCAATTGCTCTTTACCGGTAGGAACAATTGCATCTATTTTCAATCTATAGTTTTATTTACATCGACATACATCACGTGTCATTTTGAATCATGTATGACATTTTCTTAATTGTTTAGTACTTTTTACAAAATTGAATGAATGAATGAATGAATGAATGAAACCAAAAGCCATTGTTAAGGAAACATTACCCATCAAGGCATCTGGAGAAAAACACTCTCATCACGAAGACTATCTTCGCTGCATTTAGAATTGACTATGCTGAAATGTTTAACGACTCTTTTGGCTTTTATAAAAGATATAGTTACACAAGTAACCTCAATATTTATTTAGTTTTAAAGATGAGGCTATTATCTTTGTTGTGCTAAGTATATCACGGTTGTTATCTTTTTATACAGTATACTGCCACAATAACTATTTCAAAATTCAAAAACGCAATTTCAAACGTTATGATTGTTTTTATTTCACTTTTCCTTTCTATCCAAAACTTTCCGACCGACCGGAGTACAGAAAAAAATATACATTGTGTCAGATTTCGCCTACTTTTAACTAAAGCGTTTGATAGTTGGGTTAATGGAGTACACTCATACACCCATGCACACACTTCAGTCATATTACTTGTAATATGAAATGTGGTGACGAATAAATACAACCTTGTACAATGAAGCCGGTTATAGTGGAAATTTAAATTCTCTGTTTCTTACAGACGAGAACTTACTTTAAACGACAACGAAATAACAGAATATATTTGTAATATAATAATCATTTATCTCATTTTTTAGATATTTCGGATATTTTGGAAACAAAGTGATCCAGGACATTTGTCCGAGATAATGTTTGGCACAATGAAGTAATTGCCGTCCTTAATATTGACCTAAACGAAGATAAGTAAGCAACGCATTTCACAATAACTATAATAAATATCAAACTGATACTGTGCAACATGTAAAATAAATTTGTTTGATCTATATTCAGACTTTTATGCACCAATATGAACTGTCATTGTTTAGATATGACGAACTGGCTGTTGCTGCTCATATTTTAAGGCCCTTTATAGGCACAGTGATTTGTAAGAAAAAGAAAATGGTACCGGTAAATAATTTTCATTAAATAAAAACAAACCCCAACCAATTAACTCTCTTGGTTGGTGACCATACGTCACATGTTAAAAGTCTGGAAATTGTATAATTTAAACAGAAAGGGAAAAAGAAACCCCATTTCATACAAAGAGCAAGGAAGGAACTTTTGTGACGGTGCTGAATTTTTTTCAAGAGTAGATAATTTAAACTCGAGCATAACATGCTTGCTTTGCTCGAATGAGTAAATATTTTTTTTAAAAAAATGGCAGAACTCAAAGAAAATTTCTATCATTTTGCAAATCAACAAAAGACAATAATCTAGCGACATTTGGGCAATGATAATGGAATAAAAGTTTTAAAACACGAGTTTAAAGTAACGGCCCAAAAGACCGTAAATAAAATTAACATTATTGTTGAAACGTTTCTTATTCGAAATCATGTATGATTCGATCGTTCAGCACGACATTATTGTTGTGTACACATGTTATTTGGTACTTTAAGTTTCTTCTATGTGGCCTTTTTTCAACTTGGGTGGTTCCAGTATTCCTACTTGAATACTGTATAATCACCCTTAGGATATATTGCCTGCTTTTAAATTTGACTATTGACGTCTTGTCTGTGATATGCTGGCATATAACCTCAGATCCCTTTCAAAATTCCATTTTTATTTATTTCCGGTCATTGTTTTCTCGTTTAGGGCACTGGAGACCATACGCCGACTTTCATGGAAAGGCCCTTCTGTGTCACATTGAAGGTTATATTCTAACCGCGGTATGAACACATATGCGGATGTTCCTAAATTCAAAATTTCACCATTTTTGTGTTTAAATGTTGAATTCTGCTTTTAAAAGCCGGTGCTAGAGGGCGTGGACGGTAACTCGCACTTTCCAGTACCGTCCATGAACAGGCTCAATCAAACCGAGCCTGCAACATTTTCAATTTGCCGTGTTGGACTTTCTTTAGGGATTCTGTTTTACTCTATTTCCTGGTTTTCTAAAAATATTTATAGCACACGGAATTGAACACATTCTGAAAAGCACAATTCAGCGATTGATGTAATTACAAAAATTAAAACAATCACAATATTTGACATGTAGAAATTAGTTATTTAAGAAAAATATGCACGGCCTTAAATAACTCTGTTTCTATACCCTGATAACACGATACGAGCTAAATATTGGTGTAATAATAATGGAAATTTGTATTTATTTGTGTTTCGGTTACATTTGTATAGAACAGAACGTATCAAAATGTTGATCTTGCATATGTTAGGATTTCTTTCATACTTTTCATTTTGTGTAACACAAGCACCTGTATATGTGAGCACAAAGGTTGGAAATATCATGGGATTTCAGGAGCATATTTCTCTTGACGGAGAACAGAAAATGATTTCTAAATTTTTTGGTATTCCATTTGCCGAACCAACAGGAGGCGAAAACAGGTTTAATAAACCTGTTCAGAAAGCTCCATTTAAAGGAACATTTGACGCACGTAAGGAACCAGCGGCCTGTTATCAACAATCTGCACAGGATACTTCTTTACGGCGTATTTTTGGCGTCTCTGAATTTTCCGAGGATTGTCTTACACTGAATATTTATATTCCGCATGAGGTTCGAGCCAACAACTTACGACCAGTTATGATTTGGATACATGGTGGGGGATTTACCCAAGGGACTGCATTAATGAACAAGCCCGAAGGGTTAGCCTTGTTTGGGAACGTAATCGTGGTAACAATTAACTATCGTTTAGGCATGTTTGGATTTTTACGTGACAGAAACGGTGTCTTTCCTGGAAACCAAGGTCTCTGGGATCAGCATCTTGCTATAAAGTGGGTTCATGATCATATTGATAGTTTCTTTGGTTACAAGGATGAAATAACAATATTCGGCCAATCAGCAGGAGGGGCTTCCGTTATATTTCAGGCTTTATATTCAGGAAACGCGGGACTATTCAAAAGAGTAATAGCAGAGAGTGGATCTGCAGTTGCTCCTTGGGCCATACAAAAAGTAACAACTTACGATGAATATTTCATTGATCAAGGATGTAGTACTACATCGATGACATTCGCTTCTTGTCTGCAATCAAAGACTCCAATATCAATTCAATCAAATATAACAATGTTTGGCCCGGTTATAGATGGTGATTTTGTAGTTGCGTCTCCCATCGACATTATCAACGACAATGCTACAAATACAGCCAGAGCTAGAGACTTCTTTGCTTCTTTGGATATCATTGTAGGCGCAAATGACAAAGACGGTGCTGGATTGTTCTTTTCTTATGAACGCGCACTGAACCACACTAATATTGATTTTAATATATCTAAAGACGAATTCAGAAATACGCTTGTTCCATTTATTATGAATCAAATTCTATTCTACAAAGAAAAGGACACAAAAGACGCATTAGAAAAGGCTTTGATTTTTTTCTACACCGACTGGAAAAACCCAGATAACGACGCGTTTATAAGGAATAAAGTTGCAGATATGACTAACGACGCTGCGTTTTTTTCACCGGCGTCTCAGACAGTAAATGCACATGCAAAATTAAATGTCGGAAAGACATTCCTATACGAGTTTGCAGTTCAAGCTATAACACATTACATATCCCTTCCTTCCTGGATGAAAGGCAAGTCTGCATTTTAGTCATGTTATTTGTATAAAAATACATCCTCAATAGCTAACTGACTAAGTAACATTTTCCGAAATATCAAACACATGTCCCGAAAATGGTCTTGCGATCAAGTTGATTGCAAAACCTTTCGTCAAAATACTTATTATGAACATGAATAACATTTGCATTTTTAAGCTATGTCAATTTTTAAATGATTTAATAGTCATTATTTGTGAGAAGTATATATGCTACGTTTAACAAAGATCTTTCTCAAGTGAAATCAGGTTCGTTATTTTCTTGATTTAATTCTATAAGATCACTATAGCAAGTTATAAATAACCAATGGCCATAGTTGTTGAAAATCAAAACAGGGCTGAGTTTTATAGAAAGTCCTATGTGTATCCTAAGTCCTAGGACATCAAACCAACTTAAGGACTAACTTAACACAGCTTCAATAATTAGTTTTTATTGTCCGTCAAATACTGTAGACTATAAATATATTCATTACCCTGAGAAAAGTTAAGAAATAACATGGGGACCCTTTTATTGAAATGTGTAAATGCCTTCAGCTTTGCTAAATAAAAAAATAAAAGAAAAATAACATATTAGTCATAAGCTATCTTTGATACAAAAATTGTCTCAAGTTTGGTCTTGAGACTGATTTAAGACTTGTGACTTTCTATAAAACGCAGTCAACCAGCATTGGATTTTTTGGCGTTAGAAAGTTTTACACATAACTTACAAACCTCAAACGACCGCTAAATTTCTGATTCAAAACCTAAGCCTAGGCAACTTGATCTAATTCTATAACAACTAGTATTAAACGTTGAAATAGTGCTTATGCCGCTGCAAGGGGACATGTGATGTTGCATTTTTTTGTAAATGCTAATGGACAGACCCAATCAAACGGAGTCTCCAACTAATTTTGTTCCTTATACTATTTTTGAGGGTCTCTGCTTTGGAGAATATTTACGAAATACAATACGTTTATTAATAACCAAATCCATATAATATTGCAGGAACCAATCATGGGGAGGAAATGCGATTTGTTTTTGGATTGCCGTTGCTTGCGAATGTATCAGTTCCTGTAAATAGCAGTATCCGTTATAGTTTAGAGCCAAAACAAGTAGCTCGTGCAACCATGGCAATGTGGTCAAACTTTGCTAAATCAGGGTAAATTTTTTAAAAACTTTTTTCTTTGTTTTTTTTAGGATGTTTAAGGAATTATATACATTTTTATTTTAAAATATTCATGTCTACTAGCAATTTAAAAAAAAACTATATATTTCTTTAATTTTTTGAACCCCGAACTTTTAATATATACAAAAATTCACGAACAAAATGGCCAACTTATATTCGTCACAGGGATTTTTAATTTGATCAGAGTCTCCTGCATCCATTATGGAAGGATTTTACCCTGAGAGGATGGCATTATGGTCTGAAGTTATTCCAGAAATAAGAAAACAACATTGTCCTCGAAAAAAGCAGCCAGATGCTTTTCATTTTGATCCTTCTACAGAGTTTGTTGGATGAGAAAACACCTCTAAACCTCTATAAATCTACATATATGTTTAGAGAAATTCAATTACACTTAACTCACAATAACGGAAATTTCCATGAAATGATATACTAAAAGACAAATGCATTTGGTATATACATGCATAGTGAATGCACTAATAACGAGCTAAGACATATTTTGAATTCTTTATTTATAGTATTTAATTAATTCATTTCGTAGTTCTTACAGGATAAATGGAAGAATGAACAATGTGGAATTAAGGAAACGCCACCCCACAAGGCATCTAGAGAATTAACCAAATTCAAAATTCCCATTAAATGCATTTCGAATCGATTTTTATTGACTATGCTGAAATATCATGATATACTCTTACAACGATAACTTATTTAGACATGATATGGTTACACTTGTAGCTAAAAAATTTGTTTATTTTTAAAAATGATAGCCAACATGCAACGGTATCGTCTTCGTCTTTGTTTGGTTTAGCATATTACGGTTGTTACCACGTTATCATACTGCAATGTTTAATTATTAAACGTAATTTTAAGCGTTAATTTTATTATACCACCGTAAAGAATATACAAAATAGTGACACAGAACATGTTACACCAAAATGTTTTTCAATGATTTATATGTGTCTTTACAGATTTCCTTACATGCAAAAAAACAACAACAAAAAATCCAAAACTTCAAAGTTCCCCACACTTATTTGCTATTCAGTCGAATGTTTATTAATATTTTATTAAACTTTTTTCATAAAGAAATAAATGTAACATTAAATTAAAATTAAAGTTATTGTTTCTTTTTTAACTCACGATTTAGCGATGTAGTCGGTTGTTTGCCGAATTAAAAAGTGGTTCCACCGACGAACCAACCGAAACTTTATCCAGATGCTTTTGTCTTAGTCGAAACGTTATATTGTATCTAAATAGGGAGATATGATGGTGATGTCAATAAAGTTGTTACATTGAATTATGTTTCAAAGGATTTGTGATAGGTTTTTTTTTCTTCATCAGTCGCGTGAAGATAGGACATGTTCCAGGGCTGTCCCAGAAGTAAGCATAATAGTTCCTTTGTGAAAAACAAGGTACTTACTGCTTTTTTGAGAAAACGTTATTTAGAGATATCAAACCACATGGCAGTTTGACAGACAATTCATCATATTCATTTTTTGAGACTTCTATTTAAAAGATGTTTCAAAATAGTTCAGACACTTTTCTCTGATTTACTTAAATGGTAGAGGACTTTATTGTTACGCACATACACTATATTGTAGATGTTGTTGCTATGCAGTTTGAAAAGACGGCATTGGAAGGCGATAGTGCCTTCAATAAATTTATCAAATATCTCGATGAAATGGTAATTTAGCAAACGTAGAGATGTTCAGGAAATACTTACTTAGTTGTCTCTGCACGTAAAGTAATATATACTGAACAAAAGAAGAAAATTCCCATACTAAAATATGAAAATCAGGATAAAAAGAGATTTATATGTATTGAAAGAATATTTTATTGCAACTTTATGTGTAACAATTATTGCTGAGGTAGTTAAAAGTAGTGAAATGGTATTTAAAATGCTGAAAATAAAAAAATGACAAAAATTGATATCGGGCATGACCACCTTCAGCATGAAGGACTGCCTGGCATTGTTGGTGCATAGAACGGATCAGCGTATTAATTTCGGCTTCCGTGCAACTACGGCGATGTGCTCAAGCTTTGCTAAATCAGGAAAACAGTTGTTTTAAAGACTTATTGAACTGCATGAACTCAAACCACACAGTGATTGTTTTCATGATGTATGACCAAAAAGCAAATATATGCTCGTCTAGCAAAATTTTATATATGGTCAATATCGGAAAACATGTAGACATAATTGGTCATTTAGTGGAACCATGTTTTCTGTTATCGTCTCTTTGTTAATCATGCCTATTTGTGTAGAATTATCATATATGCAGTATTCTATTTGACATACTGAAACGTTATTTGTTTTGAAGAATCCAAATGGAATTACATAGGGAAATGTCACCGACATTTTAAATGTGTATACATCTAGTATATGTTATATTCAAACATTGCAAGTGGTACTTAGTAGGTGTTGTTTATCAATATATTTGCAGATTAAAGTGGACCAAGGAGGCATAAAAAGAAGCATAATTATGTGTTAAATACACATAATATACTTAAGGTATACAGTCTCGATATGTTACTTATGGTTCTTTACATCTTTTAGAAACCCGAATATACCCATGAATATCAATCACAAAATTCACGAACACCACGTGGCCAGCGTATGATTTGACGTCACATAGTTATTTTCGGATATCCAATCTGAGGTCTCCTGCATCAGTCATATAGGAATTCATTCAAAGAGAACGTCCTTATGGTCCTACCGAATTCAAATACTTAGAAGACAACATTTTCCTAACATTTTCCTGACAAAAAACAAACAGACATTACACATTTAGAACCTACCACAGAGTTAGTTGAATAACACAAATGAAGCGATTGACAAATAATTTGCCTGTTCACATTGAAAAAATGATTTTCTTACCATTGCGTTTTTGTATCATATGTATAAAAAGACTAGCCTTGCGACTCAGTGTAGCAGAAACCAAAGGATTCCTTCAAATAAAAGGACGCAATGAGTATTATTTGGTGAAACACATATTAATCAGTAGGCCTATGGGCTAACCTTTTTATCAGTGTTGAATGTTGAATTAAATACGGGAGAAGTAATATATTAACAATAAATAAAACATTATCAAAGTATACGTTATATATAAAATGACGCAAAAGTAGAATAAAATTAAAACGAAAGCATTTGCTTCACCAGTTTATCTCAAGCATGTTGCCAGCACCGTAAATTATGGACTGATACGTCATGAGAGCACTTAATTTTCTTTTATTTCATCGCAGCTTACACAAAATATTTGGTAAATGGTTGGTTAACGCTAAAAGATTTAACATTGAATCTGCTTTCCCATATTTTTAAAATTAGTCTATTTAATTATATGCATATAACGTTTTGTTGGGTTTATCTAATCTCACAAACATATAACATTTTATTAGTATGCACATTATTGACATTAACATGATAAATTTCTATATTTTTAAATGCAAACATAGAAGATGAATGACGACACACTATTGACGACAGACATTAAGCTATCTCAAAAACGTGCTTATTTCCGTGCACTTTGTGCTCAGATAAGATAAAATACTTCATCCTCGACGTAACCGTCAGTTATATGATATAAAAACAAACAAACAAACAAACAAACAACAATAACAAAAAAAATCAGATTTACTTAATCAGAGATTTCAAAATAAAAATCGTAACAAACGTCATTATTTTCTTAAATACAACAATTTCATCACCATCATACTTAAATTAAGATACAATATTACGTTCATATACGATTTAAAATTTGTGCTATACCGGGATGCGCACTAAGCATTGTGGATTACTTATTATTCATTATTTTCATTTATTTTGTTATGTTATAATACAACTTTAATGATAAATTAAATTTAATTTTCAAAACATAATTTGACATCAAAGCAGACTAATATTGAATCTGCAACATTTTTATGCATGCTTTACATCTGTTGTATTATCAAAATGGAACATATACAGGTAGTTATTTGATAGAAAATATCGTAAAGTAATTTTATTACTCATGAATGCTTGACAACAAACTCCTCAAATATTAACCATGGCCTTAAATAATTTGGTTTCTACAAGGAGCTGCAATCACAGTCTTAAATAATGAAATTTCATCAACGAGATAATTTTGTTTCGGTCTGGTTTGATAGATCAGAAAGCAACAACATGTTGATCTTGTGGATATTAGGAGTTTTAGTGCACCTTTCATTTTGTATTACGCAAACGCCGGTGTCTGTGAATACAAAAATTGGAAATATAATGGGATTTCAAGAGAACATTTCCGTTAATGGAGAACAGAAATTAATTTCTAAGTTTCTTGGTATTCCATTTGCCGAATCAACAGGAGGACAAAACAGATTTAAAAAACCAGTTCCGAAAGCTCCATTTAAAGGAACATTTGACGCAAGTAAAGAACCAGCGGCTTGTTACCAGCAATCTGAGCAATTTAGCGCTTTATACAAAAATGTTTACAGCGTTCCTGGATTTTCCGAGGATTGCCTGACACTGAACATTTATGTTCCAAATGAGCTTCAAGCCAACGACTTACGACCAGTGATGATTTGGGTTTATGGTGGGGGTTTTCACCCAGGGGGCATCTTCAATATACAAACCTGAAGCACTCGCATTATTTGGAAACGTTATCGTTGTAACCATTAACTACCGTATAGGTATGTTCGGGTTTTTACGAGACCCAAAAGGATTCTTTCCAGGAAACCAGGGTCTCTGGGATCAGCATCTTGCTATCAAATGGGTTCATGATCATATCGATAGTTTCTTTGGTTATAAGGATGAAATCACAATATTTGGCGAATCTGCAGGCGGAGCTTCCGTTATATTTCAGGCTTTATATCCGGGAAATGAGGGATTATTTAAAAGGGTAATCGCAGAGAGTGGATCTGCAATCGCACCTTGGGCCATAAATAAAGCGTCAAAATTCGAAAAATATTTCTACGATAAAGGATGTGATCCTAATTCGAATACATTAGCTTTATGTCTGCAAGCAAAAACACCTATATCACTACAGTCAAATGTTACAAACTTTGGCCCAGTTATAGACGGTGATTTTGTAATCGCCTCTCCCATCGACATTGTCAACGGCAATTCTACCAAGACCGCTAGAGCTAGAAACTTCTTTGCTTCTTTGGATATCATTGTGGGTGCAAATGACAAAGATGGCGCTTCACTTTTCGGTTTATATCAACAAGCACTTAACCACTCTGATCTTGATTTTAATATATCGAAAGACGAATTCAGAAATACAGTTGTTCCAATTTTAATTGATCAAGCTCTATTATCTGAAAGCAGTGACACAAAAGAAGCTTTGGAAAAGGTTTTGATATTTTTCTATACCGACTGGAATGACCAACATAACAATGCCGGTATATGGAAACATGTTACAGATATGAGTACTGACGCTGTGTTTTTTTCACCGGCGTCTCAGACGGTAGATGCGCATGTCAGATTAAATGTCGGGAAGACGTACCTGTACGAATTTGCCGCTCAAACAAGGCAACATTATCTACCTGTACCGTCATGGATGAAAGGTACGTTTGTGTTTCAGTAATGTAAAATGAATATACATCGATAACAACTATTTGTTATTTAAAATCTGTTTGTCTTATTAAAAATATGAAATACTTTTTAATATTCACATACGAAAATGATTTGCATAAGCAAAAATATCATATAGCGCACAATTGTGTTTTTCCATAACCTTTAGGTTAACTAAACTCTAATGAGTTAAGAAAATATGAGAAAGCAACAAAATAGGTAAAAAAATTAACAATTTATATAATAATTCGACATGATTTAAAACCATGTCGATGGTGATAAAGTAAAATCGTAATTTGTGACTAGCTATATTAAATTTTAAATAGAATCAAGATGGATAACCCTGACTGAGAGTGTGGAAATGAAACATATTGATCTCCAACGTTGGATTCCTTCTTAAGATGAAGATATTCAACTAACTTGCAAATAAAATCACAAAAGCTTTTTCCTTTGCCATTTGCATACCTAGCCTATCCTAGAATCGCCGAATAGATTTATTTACCAAATTAATTTTTAAATTTCAAGAGGTATTATTTTCATTTTCTCTCATGAACATACTCAGTGAAAAACTACGCTGCAGTTGTGTAGTTGTTTTATTGTTAAAGAACGTCTTTTTTAAATTGCAGGATCTAACCATGCGGACGAAATACAATATGTATTTGGATTTCCATTGCGTGAACATTTATCGGTGCTGGGCATCAGCAATTTCAGTTATAACTTGGAGGAAAAACAGATCGCTTCTGCAACAATGGCGATGTGGTCTAACTTTGCTAAATCAGGGTAAGTCATATAGAGTATGTTTTTATATCTATTATAATTTCTACCACATGGTGTCGCATGCTTAAATTATTATAACATTACGTATTATTTCATAGTTTCAGCGTTTGAACCATATGATGGTCCAATAGAAATCTTAATCGAATCTTTTAGCCCTATCCAAAAGTCCATGTCAAATGTATATCTTACCCCATATAGTCTTGGTTTTTCCACAATATCTATACCAAATGCCTATCATTTTCTTTTTTGTCCAAAAAAATACATATCAAATTGCATATCGCATTTCTTCTAGCCTCATTTTTAGAGTATAAAAATCATATCAATTCCTTTTCTGTAATTTAAGTAACAAGTTTTGTCAAAATGTAAAAAAGATGAAATATAGATCCGGAAGATTATTTATTCCTGAGAACAATATTGATTCTATTGGACTTCAGCTGTTGTATACTCGTCCAAAATAATTCAGTATTGTACTCATCAACGTTTAATAACCTCATAATATTACACACGTGTAATATAACATTGGGCGTAAAACGTCAATACAGGCTATTTTTATAATTTTCAATAGGTGAATTCATGTGATAAAATGAGAGCAAAGTTGATATGATATGAAAATTATAATTAACTCGTCCGTGAAAATGGTTAGAAACTTCCTGTAGGCTCGCGTTATGACAATTTCTTGAACGCAATTAATCAAAGTTTATATTAAATGGCAAGTCTTTTGAGACCCAATATATATATTTTGAAATATGACCGTCGATGGAAAATATATATTTAGAAAAGTAATATTTGTAGATTTCACATAGTACCAAATATGCTTTTTCAACATGCATGTACAAATTTCAAGTCTCACAAAAAAGTCGTATCAATAAGTGTTCATAATTTATGCATTAATATTAAGGCTACAAATAGAAAGTACACAGTCACGTGATAATCATATGATAGGCTTTGTTTTACAGAAACCCGAACATACCAATGGATATCACAAAATTCACGAACACTACATGGCCGACATATGATATGACGTCACAACATTATTTTCGGATATCAAATCAGATGTCTTCTGCATCAATCATGGAACGATTCTACCCGAGAAGAATGGCTTTTTGGTCTGACATTATTCCAGAAATAAGAAGACAACATTGTCCCGACAAACAGCAACCAGCCATGTTCCATTTTGATCCTTCTACAGATTTAGTTGGTTAAATACAGAAAACGGCAAATCATTTGCTTTCTTAAAAATTAATCTTCAACGTTATATCATTTTTCAATCCAATATGTAAAATCTATTGCTGTATAAAAAGAGACAAGTTTTGAAGAGAAAAAAAAAACACACACAAATAAACTGTATTCAGTAACCAAATAAATAACTTCGAATGAAGAGAAATATTTATTATTCGTTGGTGCAACACTTCAAGCGTTAATGCTCAAATCATGCATATCTCCTATGTTGTTTCCTGTATGAATTATGTATTATAATAAAATATTTTAATCATGTTTAAAGTAGCTTAAGATATGAAAAACTAGATCAACAAGAAAGGGCGGCGTTCAACTCAAAAACTCACCTCCGCTGGTATTTATATGTTATAGATAATGAGAGTAAGCGCTAGAATTTTCATCAGAACATCTTCAGCTAACATTGTACTTGTGTGTACTTAATTTTTATTGAGATTACTTTTGATGAGTCATATATCCATGACCTCTCTAGAGATAAAATTTAGTCATAAATACAACCCAAATATTTACTAAGTAGGTGTCATCTTTGTTTGGCCGGACGAATAATGGTTATGCCGCAATGTCTGATTATAAAATTTGATATCAAACGTTAATGTCATAAAATGACTTCTGAAGGTTACTAAAATCATGACAAATAGAATACTGTAGAGCCACAAACCTCAGATTGTGATAGCATACTTACCTAAGATGGACAAAATCGACAAAGTTACCAAGCTTGTGGTAAAAAGACTACATTGTTTGTTTGTTTGTTTGTTTCATTTTACGCCTTTTCCCATCAGTATTTCAGTCATATAGGCGGGTAGTTTCCTAACCATCGTTCCTGGAGAGTTACACCAGTACTTGACAACCTTCCTCCGCGCTAAACTACCAAAGCATCTCCCGGGGATCGAACCCACGCCAGAGAGGTAACTGGATTAGAAGTCATCGTCTCTAACCCCTCGACCACGGAGGCGGCCAAAAAGACTATATACTAAAACGATAGTTAAACTTGACTACTAGTATTACAAATCCATGTCCGGTTTCTTTTGCTTCTACATGTAGAATTATTTTTAATAGCATGTGCGCGTATTCCTGCGTGCTATTGCTTTTTGTTTCTTATTCATTTAATTGGATACTTCTTAAAGAAATAAATGAGAAAGAAAAATATGATCGAATATAGTTTCGAGGTTGAACATGGAGAAAGTCTAAATTTCACAAGCGCAACATTAGTCCAGATTTCAAAGTCAATCTTCAGTAAATTATTAAAGCTATATTTCGAATTCTAACATAATATCATCTCAATCAAGTAAAATGACCTCGCCAAAACCGTTTGATCGATGTAACACATTGAATGAATTTTTATGGGCAAACCGACTTCACTAGGTTTTCACGGAAATCTAGCAAGTACTGTATGGACGATCTGTCCAACCTATAAAAGTACAAGATTTCATTCGATGTATATAATTTTCATAGCTAATCTGAGTATAAAATGCACAGAGGTGAGCTTTTTTTAAATAAAAACCATAACGTATGGTCCTCTACAAAAGTTATGTAAATAATGTCCATGGGGTCAAAATTGAGCCTACCACGAGGTCACTTAGTTTAAAAAGATTTATGTACGAAAACACATTTAATCTTCTTGTAGAAATGACCACTGTTAAGTTATTGAGCATCTAGCATCACCCTTTTCTCTTAAACATCTCCCACTCAAAACATCGATATATGCAGCATAAATATATACATTTGACCGGTGTCACATAGCTTATATTGATATGCAAAGGAGACCAATTTAAATATTGTAGAAAACAATGGCGCTAGATTATATAATTGGAATTTAGTATTTCGTAGCTGACATCTACGAGCATTTTATAAAGCATGTAGCTGGGGTCAAAAATGAGACACCATCACTTACTTCCGCATTGAAGAATTATTGTTTTAGCATTTGATATCAGATAAGAAATCAAGGGCCATAAGGATCAAATGATGTACACATTACTTGTTGTTATCACTTGAAATAATGTTGTTGTTTTGGTCATTGACAAAATTGTGTCACTTAGCTGTGTAAAATGAAAAAGGCAAATATATGGTGTGTACATATAAACAAAAAGCTTAATGTGTTGTTTCCGCATGTGTAAATTAAAATATATTTGTTATAAAAACAGGCTAGATTTATGCATCTTTATAAATTAATTTGATATTAATTAAAATGCATCGCAGACCAAATAAAGCAAACCGTCCTTTTGCAGGCTCAATCGAACCGAGTAACATTAATTACTGTGAAATATTGCACAATAATTTCAGTATGTATGAATTTTTGGCACCCAACCCAAATAATAAGCATGGCCTTAAATAAATTGGTTTCTACGATGAGCTACTATCACAGTTTAGTTGTAAGGAAAATTTATAAGCAAGGTATCGTCGCTGCAATTGCATATGCATAGATCAGAACGCATCAGAATGTTAATTTTGCGGATATTAGGGGTTTTAGCACACTTTTCATTTTGTGTTACACAAACACCAGTATATGTGAACACAAAAGTTGGAAATATCATGGGATTTCAGGAACACATTTCTCTTGACGGAGAACAGAAATTAATTTCTAAATTTCTTGGAATTCCATTCGCAGAATCGACAGGAGGACAAAATAGGTTTAGAAAACCAGTTCCGAAAGCTCCATTTAAAGGAACGTTTGACGCAAGTAAAGACCCAGCGTCTTGTTATCCGCAATCTGAACAGGATACTGCCTTATCCAAAAATGAATATGGCATATCTTATTTCTCCGAGGACTGTCTGACACTGAACATATATGTTCCACATGAGCTTCGAGCCAATGACTTGCGACCAGTGATGATATGGGTTTTTGGTGGAGGTTTTACCCAGGGGACGGCAGTGTCATACAAACCTGAAGCGCTCGCATTATTTGGAGACGTTATCGTCGTAACCATTAACTACCGGATAGGTATGTTTGGTTTTCTACGAGACCCAAAAGGAGTTTTTCCAGGAAACCAGGGTCTCTGGGATCAGCATCTTGCTTTCAAGTGGGTACATAATCATATTGAAAATTTCTTTGGATACAAGGATGAAATTACAATATTCGGCGAATCCGCGGGAGCGGCTTCTGTGATATTTCAGGCTTTATATCCGGAAAATGAGGGGTTATTCAAAAGAGTAATCGCAGAGAGTGGATCCGCAGTTGCATCTTGGGCTATACAAAAAGTGTCAAGTTTCGAAAAATACTTCTACGACAAAAAATGTGATCCTAATTCGAATACATTAGCTTTATGTCTGCAAACAAAGACACCAATATCACTACAATCTAATGTTACCAGCTTTGGTCCTGTTATAGACGGTGATTTTGTAATCGCCTCTCCCATCGACATTGTCAACGGCAATTCTACAAACACCGCTAGAGCTAGAAACTTCTTTGCTTCTTTGGACATAATTGTAGGTGTCAATGACAAAGATGGCGCTTTAATATTTGGTGAATTTCAATATGCACTTAACCACTCTACTCTTGATTTTAATATAACGAAAGAGGAATTCAGAAATACAGTTGTTCCATTTATTGTTGATCAAACTCTTTTCCCAGAAGACAATGAAACAAAAGTCGCATTTGAGAAGGTTTTGACATTTTCTTACACCGACTGGAATAATCCGGATAATTACGTCAGTATATGGCAACATGTTACAGATATGAGTAACGACGCTACGTTCTTTTCACCGGCTTCTCAGACAGTAAATGCACATGTTAGATTTAACGTTGGAAAGACGTACCTGTACGAATTTGCCGTTCAAACAAGTTCAAATTTTATACCCTTACCTTCATGGATGAAAGGCAAGTTTGTTTACTTTCTGTTTGTCCCAAATTAAAAAATATATACACTGTATGTATTAATAGTGATAAATTTATATACAAGTTAGTACATGTTTTCAAAGAGAACATTAAGATATGCGAAATAATGCCCTAAAACTTGTCATAAACTTTAGGTCATAATAAATATCTGGGAAACAATGATTCCTCGAAAGCATTAAAATAAGCAAATTTACGTGAAAATTGTGCATGCAACTTGAATCATTGCCATTGGAACTGTACCCTAGCCAAGTGGATTTTATTAACTAGCACAATTAGTATTTGGGAAATAATACTGCCCCGAGAATGAGACTTATCACACTATTCAGTTTCTTTCATTAAAGCGGCCTTCACCCTTTTTAAAGTTTAAATATGTTATCTCTAGATAAATCATTCCATATAATTGTCAAATCAAAAGGATTAAGGTGGAGACGATAAAATACATGAACAATAAGGAAACACCTCAATACCTCTAATATACCGGTCCACTCTTTATATTTAAATTATAGAGTACAGCAGACTATTCGTTTTCCTATCTTTTATTTTTAGAAACTTACGTCACTGACGCGCTATAAATAGCTCTCGGTATCTTTGGTAGTTCGTTGCCTCCTATTAAAATTTATAATGATCAAAGAACATTATTTGAATTACAGGATCTAATCATGCCGACGATTTACATTTTATCTTTGGTTTTCCGTTGCGTGCAAACATATCAGTGTTTGGTTCCAGCAATTACAATTATAGCTTGGCGGAAAAACATGCCAGTTATGCAATAATGGCGATGTGGTCTAACTTTGCCAAATCAGGGTAAGTTGTAAATTCGAGATCCGTTGTAAATTGTTATTTGGATATGCTTTTTTGTTGTTTTCAAGTAAAACATGACTAAAATAAATAAATGAATGCTCCTCATATACATATATAATCTTTGAAATAAGATCTAAACTTGTTAGCATAATAATAGATTCTGAGGGCGAAATAAGTTTTAAGTTTTTCTTTCGGATAAAAATGTACAAAGATAGCATAGATCTGTAGACTAGCATGTACGTAGTAGCTTAACATGGCGTTTCAGAAACATATGCAATTTTGGTACATCTATGTTACTTATGTTAGATCTTCCTTTCAATTAACAGAAACCCAAACCTACCAATGGATATCACAAAATTCACAAACACCACGTGGCCAGCGTATGATATGACGTCACAGCGTTATTTCCGGATATCCGATCAGATGTCTCCTGCATCAATCATCGAGGGATTCTATCCAAAGAGAATGGCATTATGGTCTGACCTAATTCCAGAAATAAGAAGACAACATTCTCCTTACAAAAACCAACCAGACATTTTCCATTTTGATCCGTCTACAGAGTTTGTTGGATAAATAAAACAAAGAAAAACGAAATATCTGCCAGTTTACATTTTAAAGTTCTTGTTTTCGCACCAAAAGCTTTTGATATTCTATTTACATGTAAGAATATCGCTGCATTAAATCGGAGAAAAGTTTTGCAAAAAAAAAAAAAAAAAAAAAAAAAAGAACTTTAAAGTGACAAAAGGAATTTCTTTTCTTATTTCCAAATATCTCCCTTCCAAATAAAAATTAAAGAAATATTATAAGAAGAAATAATTCCACACCACCCCCTTCCAGGGCATTGATATGAATCATGTTTAAGAAATAGCTTGCCTAGACAGAATATCCTGTGTCTGGATACGAGAAAATTTACATTTAATGGTAACCTACTACATGAATTATTAGATGTACATATTTTGGTTGCTTCCACATTATCATACTGAACAATGTCCTTATATATTGACATGAGGTGATTATATGTGACTTTAAGGTACATAGAAGAGTGATAATCGCGTCACAAAAACAATGGTACATACTCGGACAATCGCATCTTCTGACGCACAAGCGAGGCTGCAATGCCTCACCCCTGTTACTAGAGGACGTGAGTGCACAAGTCTTCATGCCTATGTCACTACATCAAATTCGTCATCGGTGACATTCTCTCAAAAACGTCGTTTCGTCGACGCCAACAAAACATTGTACATAGTCTTCTATTGACTTTCATACATCAGCTGTCAACAAATACTGTTCTACCTTTAAAATGTGGAATTTAAGAATAGAACATTAAATGCAGAAATCATTCCTTACATTTTTGTTTGTTTGTTATTGTTGTGGTTTAAGTCACATCAACAATAAAATAATCATATAGTGACATTAAAGCTTACCTGATGGAAGAAGACCTCTGGTGTACCTCCGTACATTATTTCAGTCATGAGCGGGCACCTGAGTAGGACAACCGACATTCCGTCAGCTAGCTGGATAGCTTCTTCACAGAGAAAAGTTGCATAATTTCATAACTTGTACACACGTAAGTGCATCGTTATAACAAAGTTGAAACTAACTGAAATACAGTGCATACGTCACGTGATGTAAAATTTCGAAAAAAAAGAAATTATAATACTAATTAAGAAATAATTCTACATCGTATTCTGAGACAAGCTTCTATATAATCGATCCCTTCAAGTTTCTTTACCTGCATACTGACCTGTTTAATTGCTCTTAATATACAAATCTAAAATAATTTTAGTAGTGTGTTTATGATACAATAGCGGCCGGCTCTTAAAAATTAAGTCACGTTAACTTAATCACTAAATCAAGAAAATTCTACCAAAGCATTAAGGGGATTACAACGCCTTCTGATAAAGCTAATAATTCCGGATACGTTTTTTTACAGATAATTAAGCAAACATAAAAGTTAAAAATATTACCTGTATCAAGTGAAGATCTCTACGATATTAATGTCACGTGGGTTGGCCACCATGAATAAGGTGTTAAAATCTAATTACATAACTTATTTGTTAGCCATTGAAGAGATTATGTATATAGGACTTTCAAAAATAGTCATAAATCAGAGCGGGCGCTGTAGTGCAGTGGTAACACTGACTGTCTACGAATCTAGGGGTCGCAAGTTCGATCCCCCGCTACTCCACTTCATGACTAAACATACTAAATGACTAAACAGAACATACACTAACATAACGGAAATACACAGGTACACATGGACAGACAGAACAGAAAACACAGGCAGATATGGACAGACAGAACGGAAAACACAGACAGACATGGACAGACAGAACAGAAAAACACAGACAGACATGGACAGACAGAACAGAAAAACACAGACAGACATGAACAGACAGAACAGAAAATCACAGGGAGACATCGAGAGACTTAACGGAAATACACAAGCAAACATGGACAGACAGAACAGACAATCACAGGCATACATGGACAGGCATAACGAAAAAACACAGGCAGACATGGACAGACAGAACAGAAAAAAACAGGCAGACATGGAGAGACAGACATGGAGAGACAGAACAAAAAAACACAGGCAGACATGGAGAGACTGAACGGTAATACACAGGCAGACATGGAGAGACAGAAATGGAGAGACAGAACAGAAAAACACAGGCAGACATGGACAGACTTAACGGAAATACACAGGGAGACATCGAGAGACAGACAGAACAAAAAAAAACACAGGCAGACATGGACGACTTAACGAAAATACACAGGCAGACATGGACAGACAGAACAGAAAAAACAGGCAGACATTGACAGACTTAACGGAAATACACAAGCATACGTTGGAAGACTGAACGGAAAAACACAGGCATGGAGAGACTTAACGGAAATACACAAGCATACACAAATAAAAAAAACTTAAAGAAATACACAGGTACACATGTTCAGACTGAACGTGAATACACAACCATACATGAGCAGACTGAACGAAAATACACAGGCAGACACATGTACATACTTAACGGAAATACACAAGCATACACCCATGAACGGAAATACAGACATACATATACATGTACATACTTAACAGAAATGTACATGAGCCACAGGAATACACATACACGGACAGAAATACACATACTAAACGGACACTTAACAAAATACACATTGACAGACATGGTTATACGTAACAGACTAAACGACATATTAGGTAATTCAACATGGAAGTAGACGAAACAGATTTAACGTACATAGTACCGTAAATAGACATATATGAAAAAAAACAACAACAAAAAAAACAACAACAAAAAACTGAAATCTGAATCTGAGAGCCAACTAGAAATAAAGAGAAACTGTATTTAACAGAAATACAACTTGAAATAAAAAAATATACAAATTAACAGCTCAAATAATACATCTACCAGTTTAAGACTAAGAATTAAGTTCGAATGTCGGACAAAACCCCACCAGTTAAAACCCCACCAGTTAAAACCCCACCACTCAAAATTTTATAGAGTGGACAAAACCCCACCACTTAATTTAATAGAGTGGACAAAACCCCACCACTAAATTTTACAGAGTGGACAAAACCCCACCACTTCAGTTTTATAGAGTGGACAAAACTTTCTTGTAAACATGTTAAAAAACAAACAATTGTGCATCAGCAGAAACTCAAAAGAATATGTGAACATCTCAATCAATAAGGAGAAGACTGTACCTGAGTTTCTTCAGGCTATCGGCCACTGTATCCGCTTAAACTAAGTGCAATGAAGGAAAATAGACTCAACTGACTAAACTAGAAATGTGCTATACAAAATGTGCTATTTTTAACCATGATTTGATGAAAATGTGCTATATTCTTGATTAATAGTAAGTAGTTTATTTTTTATATAAATAAATTGAAGAAATGTATTTGAAGAAACTAATAATAATGGATAATTCAAGTTCATAAATGTGGCACAGTCTCAAATAAATGACTACTCTTTGATGTTGATTTAACAGTTTGTAACACCTTTTTTGCATATTGCACATGCAAGATGTACATGCATTGTTAATAAAATTGTGGAAAAAAATGTGTATATTATATATATTTTAATTCATCAAATCTTGCCAAATAATTGGTAAGTGTGGGATTTTGTCCACTCTATAAAACTGAAGTGGTGGGGTTTTGTCCACTCTGTAAAATTTAGTGGTGGGGTTTTGTCCACTCTATAAAATTTAGTGGTGGGGTTTTGTCCACTCTATAAAATTTTGAGTGGTGGGGTTTTAACTGGTGGGGTTTTGTCCGTCTTCCGTATAAAGGGAATGCTTTTATACAAGAGGAGAGTCTCGTGTCATGCTGTGTATTGGTATTTTTCTGACAGCGACTGTTTTCATTACACTGGTCTCCTGTTGTTAAGAGGCCTCAGGGTAAATAACAAAAATGCAGATGTATGCAATATTTATATTTATTTAAATTTTCCTGTTGTTGTTGTTTTTTTTTTTTTTTTTTTTCAAAATACATGTAAGACATAGATAAATGACTATAATTTTTGTATAAATAATCATAATGGCATAAACGCATGTTAGATATTATTGTCATTATTGTCTTTGAAGTGGAATTTTCTAATCTTATCATAAAAAACTGTTTAAAATCAATATCAGTTTAACTATTCTAGAAAGACCACATATCAATATTTATCCACATTTCTTGCAATTCTGCATTAAAATTTGCAGCGTCTTTTAATTTCTGAACTGGGAAATGTTATTTTTTTCTATTATATATTTGACAAATTTGCCTTGTCATTTTTAACACATTTAGAAGATAATATATTTTAAAGACACATTTAGAAGAAAATATATTTTAAAAAAATATTTAAATACATGACTATAAAACTTTTGCGTTGTTTTTTTTTTTTTTTATTTTTTTTTTTAAATAAAATATCATACATGAGCAGAAAATATTTACAGAAAATTAAAGTGTCAAAAGTCATGCTTTGTATTGGTGTTTTAATATAGTACCCTGCTGATAAGAGAGCCCCTCAGGGTAAATAACAAAAGGCAGATGATAAATAGGGATACGGACAACCCCCCCCCTCCCCGGACGAAAGCCCCCCCGGACGAAAGCCCCCCCCCCCCCCGTCTAAAAATGACAAGGTGGACAAAAAGCCCCCCCATGAAATTTATACATAGGACAAAAGCCCCCCCCCTCATAAAAAAGTAAAGGTAGGACAAAAGCCCCCCCCACCCAAAGTCAATCAAATTTACATATAGTGTATTAAAGTTGTGTTTTTATGTGTTTAAAAAATATGTATGGACATCACATGTAGGTGACATAGTGCTTAGGATATTCATTTGATTCCTTTACAAAAGTGATTAAACATTACTACTCTTCTGACCCTTGTTGTGTATATGAAAAGCTATGAATTCGTTATCGCATGCATGCATTATTTAATCTGTTATCATAAACTTTGTTATCACTTCAATATATACATTATAAATAAACATTAAAACAAATTCAATTCATTTTTATTTAAAAGTTTGTGTGAAATTTGATGAATTTGAGCCCCTACAGGTGCGTGTGAAAAAAGATGGGGGGCTTTTGTCCTACCTGTATTTTTGATGGGGGGGGGGGCTTTTGTCCTATGTGAAAATTTCATGGGGGGGCTTTTGTCCACCTTGTTATTTTTAGACGGGGGGGGGGGGCTTTCGTCCGGGGGGGGGCTTTTGTCCTACACTCGATAAATATAAGTAGACAATGTAAATTCTGTATTCTCTGGATGTTGGTCCCAATAAATTTCATTACAAGTAGTACAAAAAGAAAAAAGAAAACTGAAATATTTTTGCATTTTATAATAAACTCATAAAAATAATCATATTGCATAATTATGTTACAATGCATGAAAAAAAGAAAAAAAGATTGGTGTCGTCTCAAAAATGGAATTGAAAGATTTTCTAATCTTTTTGTTAATATCCATGTCAGTTAAAGTATACTAGTGTCCCACAGGTACATATCAATACTTAATCCACACATATCAATACTTAATCCACATTTCATACATACCACCATTATATATAAATATTTATTTTCAGAATAATATATATCATTTATATTAATCTTAGGTAATTCTCAGTTTGAGAAGGTAAGAGAGATTATAAATGAGATAAAATTGACAAAATTTAGGCCAATTATAAACATATTAATTCTTTAATGTATTAAAGGCTATTAAATGTATTAATGCTTAAAATCATTATCTTCAACTAAAACAACCATAATTTTGCTTAATTAGCATAACCTGTTTAAATTGACTTTCTAACTTTATCAAAATGGCTACAGGAACTGCAAAAGTAGCAT